CAGAAAGCTTTCTAGATACACCTCCTGTTATTGGTCGGAATCACCGCTGTGTGTGTATCAAGCGACGGCAGCAAAGCAGCAAAAAAGCACTTTTATAGACATTCATTAAGTGTGCTTCATTTTACCTGTCTGCCGCCTTATCTGGCGAACGCAGCCTCGCCGCCGCCGCTCTGACACTGGATCACCATTTAGGACGAGGGAGAGAAAGCGGATTTAATGGTGTTTATTTCAGCATCTTAATCATGTCATCTCGCCCTCCTCTCCCTCGCTGCGTCTTTTTTCTGCTTATTTTTTTCCCTTGCGTCTACCTGCTGTTTTCATCACCTCATCAGCTCCGTGTCGCCCTCTTTATTCGCTTATACATCTCTATTGCATGCATGTACGCTAAAGTATACCGCGCAAACACACACAGTGGGTTTTCTAACAGAGGCATTCATACCAGCTGTGCCATTCCCCTTCTCTTACACCGCGCACACACACACACACACACACACACACACACACACACACACACACACACACACTTCCTCTACACAGACGAGGCCTTCATTAATATTCTGTTGTTGTGCACTGTCTGTGTGTAAGTGTCTGTGTGTGTGTTTTTTTTAAACTCAGAGCCAATTTGCTGTCTGCTGTGGCGGGGTGTTTTGTGTTCGCAGCTGTATTTGATAGCACTACAGCCAGAGAGAGAGAGAGAGAGAGAGAGATAGAGAGCAATGAATTGAATTTAAAAGAGAGCGAGAGAATGAGTCGGTTCTGGTGATGGCGCCCGGTGATTTACGGGCTCTTACAGTATATAATGAACACACCCAGCGTGCCCACGGGCGCAGGCACCCTCAGCAGCCGGCCTTTAGGGTGTCAAAAGAGGAGAGGGGGTTGTAAATGTAGACATGGTGCAGGAGGAAGAGGGAGGGAGGGGGGAGGGGAGGGGTGGTCAGGAGACGCAGGTGGTGATGCTCGGGGGCACCCAAGGGTCCACTCACGGTGCTGTGGTTCCACCTCACTATGCTGGGTCCTCATCTGTGCTCTCCCTGCCATGTGTGAGAGAACAGAGGAGGGAGGAAATAAAAGGGAGAAGGGAGGACACATAGGTAGAGAGAGAAGGGAAAGTAATAGTGTCAGATTCAGGATGGACAGAGGACACGCGGCAATTATTCTGCGAGCCCCCCCCCACCCAGTGAGAATATCCCGACAGAATGGAGTCCTGTCAGTGCCCCTTTTACATCCTCACAATGTGATAATAGAATCCCTGTCTTTGATTTATTCAAAGCTCTGCAGAGCATCTTTGCACTTTGGCGTCCCCGAGTGGCTGCAGGAGATAACATACATGATATGCATCCTGAGCACAAACAAGATGTAGAAGCTGGAGAGCAGCATTCTGGTATTTCATGCTTCAGATGACACCAGACGTAGTTTACAACACTAGAAATAGAGAAATACTGCATTTTAGTTTTGTCTTTTTTTACTCTTTAAGCTGTGTTGGACTGAGCTTTAACGGGAATGCATTTAGTTGTTGTGGCTGTCACTCTGCAAAGTTGAACAAACATGTTCGTGCCACAGATAGTTCAGTTTTGAATCTTAGTTTCACACTTTATACTATTTGATTTGTTCTTTTAAGGAGTTGGAGAGGCAGCACTCAGAGTTGAAGACATTTAATCCAAATACTTCATTTAAGTGAATGTCGATAGTTGCTTTGATGATAAATATTTCAGCATAAAGATGAAGCTTTCAAGAAGCTCAGAAGAGGAGATAAGTGAGTTAGAGGGCTGAGAATGTCTGTGGAATTTGATTCTCGAGAGCATTTGAGAAATAAAGCCAAAACATGAAGTGTGATCGACATGAAGTCTTTATAATGTGAAATATTTTTACATCTACAGGTGATGTCAAGGATACCAATCTAAATACTTTTCCTTTTGGCATAATGTCTATTTGATTAAGTGTTTTTAAAGAAAATGTGAAGTGCACATGTTTTGGAGGAAATCTTAAAATGCATATACAGCGGTAAATTATTAAACAGAGAGCTTTTTCCTGCTAATTGCAGCTTTTTGATGATGTTTTTGCTAACGGCCGACGTTAGCACAGCAGCAGGACATTAAGCGTAAATAACCTTTCCATAGTCTTCCTGTAAGTATTAGCATCCCACTCGCCGGTCTGATCCGAGGCCCTAATTAAAGTCAGGTGAATCTGAGCTCAATTATTATTCCTGCGGCGTCGTGCGAGCCCACCCGAGCTCCGTGATGGATTGTGATCTCTGCTGTGGTTGAAACGCTAGAAAGAGCACAATGTCTTACAGCGGGAGCCGCTGATAACTTCACGCAGACAAATAAAGACTGTCACTTTTATTGATTTTTTTTTCACCCCGCCCCCACTGCCATATACACCCACATCCCCTGCTCCATCCCTGTCTCGGTTTTATCCCTCCCCCTCCCCCCCCTCATCCGCAACCCCTCAATCCCCATCAAAGCTTCTCTTTAATGTGAAGGCGTCCAACAACAACACAGCATAGAAAACATTTTCTTCCATGAAAGTATAGAACACCTCAAAATGTGCTATTTCATTCCTCCTTGAAATAAACCAAAGAAACACACATATACTGTATAATGTGCATATAAAATCTTAAATAAAATATGCAGGACGGAGTGGAAATTGTCTCTTAACAGTGGGGCAGCGGCAGCAGCACATAACGAGAAATGCAATTTATTCGCTGGCACGTTGCTGCTTGGACAGGCAGATAATGAAAGGCATAGGTCACTGATGGTGACTTAAACCTGCAGCACTGGACTGAAATACATTAATAAATATCCACAACATTACTGGAGAGCGCAAATGACGCAAGGAGCAGCTTCTCATCAAACACCGCAATACAATTAGTCATTGGACGGCTGGAAATAATAATATCCCTGATCACTGACATCAGAATAGCCATTAGAGCTGCAGCCCAACGTGTAGAGCGAGATGCCTGCTTTCATTCTCCTTTCCACACACTGTACATCCACTGCAAGCCTAGTGTGTGGAATAAGTCCCAGGATGAAAATATGGTTCACTCTACATAAAAAAATGAGAAAACATTTACCCAGAGTGAGAGGATTAGACGTGGGGAGACAGAAGGAGAAGCAGACTGTATGCTAACAGTAAAGTAAAGTCAGGAGAGGAAGATGGAGGTACATTTGTCTGCAACTTAAATTTAAGTTTAGTTCCCTTTCTTATTTTATTTAACCAAAAAATAACAAACATTGCTGAAGTTTAAAAGGTATTAAGATATATCTGTTGAAATCTCCTTTAACCCCTTCAGTCACAATTACAAAAAAGTTATATCTTTACAATCTGATGTCAAAATAAGGAAAACACAATCTTACTCTTTGTATGTTGGCATCATTTAATTAAAGGCTTTGCTCAAACTACTATTCCCAATCTCATTTATTTATATCTAGACTGTTTTTGAAAAAGCAGGACAGCAAAAAAAAGCACAGAAATCCAAGCAACTTTGGATATCCTCAGGTGCATCTCAGTCTGTACATTTTGTCCACTAAAATCAAGCTTCAGGTTTACGATAAACTGGGTTAACCTGAGGAGTCGGTCAGAGCTATGTAGTCAGCACTGTAATCCATTCAGATAGGTGGGTAATGTCTGGACACACACAGCTGATCTAGGAGTGGAGATGTGTTTTTTTCTGTAGTCAGGACAGATTAAGGTCACCTTCACATTTTGAGAGTAAATGAACAAGCAGAGTGGAAGACTTCTAAAACAAGTTTAAAAAAAGAGGTGCAAGCTAAAACTCTCATTTGCATGAAGGCTGGATTGAATAATTTACAAAAACTTGATTTATGTAAGAGACCGATCGGGTCATTCTTTATGGAAGCAGGATTTGAAGAAACAGATGGGATGTGAACAGCAGTCTGCAGTATCAAAGACAAATTGAGTCCATCTTAAAGGTCACATATGCAAAATGCACTTCACCATATTTCTCTAACACAGGTACGTGTCCCCAGCCTGTTTAAAAACTCCCCTAAGTATGAGAAGAGTCTATCCTCCCCGTCTTTTGCCTGCTCCACTTTCAGAAAATCTGTGCTCAAACAGGCTGCTGTTTGTGACATCACAAAGGGGAGAAACGGATATTCAGATGAACTCCATGAAACAACTCAGCAGAGCATCTATAAAGTAAATAATCTGCAATCACTACAATAGCATCGCCTCCTCTCTGACGCCTCCTGTAGGCGCGCTGTGCTGAGGAGGACGTTGATTGGCTGAGACTTTCACGTTTTTACAGCTGCCTTGTTGATTTCCAGGAAGTGGAGAAATTGGCGTGCGTGCGAATTGTTGGTGTAACGTAAGGGCAAGAAAGTGTTATTTCTGAAGCCCTTTTAGTGATATTTTAAAAAGCTTTCCAGAAGACAGAAAGGGAAACAGATTTCAAAGTAGAACAAGTTAAATCTGTGTATAAAAAAAGAAAACCAGAAAAATCGAAATTTATTTTCATATTGAAAAGATGTTCATCAGTCAGGTCATAGTAAATCTTGAGCGCATGGTCAATAACACATCTCCTGGACAGTGAACAGCCATGACAGCCTATAATTATTACAGGCTCCCACAAAGCAAACAATGCAGGTGATTTTTTAGAAAACGGATAAAAGATTCAGGTTCAGTTGTCGGCTGGTATTAAAGCCATTTAGATAGAGTGGGTATCCATTAGAGCATCACGGCTATTGTTCAGGGATTGTGCATAAACTCACCAAATAATCAGACAAGACATTCAGCAATGTGGCTCCCTTTAGGTATCTCAGCTTCATTCATACACACAGCCATACACAGACTGCTGATGAGAGCTTACCTGGTTTGTTTGTTGGGAAAAACTCAACTTTGGTGACATTTAAAGATTAATTTCACAGCGTTAAACGTACCCACAGCCTCAGTTGTTTTTCAATCCTCCCCTAAATCCTCCTCTTAAAAAGCTTCTTGTCTGCATCTGAAGTAAACCTGTATTATTTCTCTCCACATCACAGCAGGGGACCATCCATACGAGTGCGAGTTCTGCGGGAGCTGCTTCCGAGATGAGAGCACGCTGAAGGGCCACAAACGCATCCACACCGGGGAGAAACCCTATGAATGTAACGGCTGTGGGAAGAAGTTCAGCCTCAAGCACCAGCTGGAAACCCACTACCGTGTGCACACAGGTAATGTGATCGAAGCTTTTCTGACTGTCTTGGGTTGCCAAATGAACTCAGAGGTCGTGGATTCAGTATCTGTGCAGACATGATACCAAACCTGGCAAACCCGATTGTGTCAAAAGTTGATAAAAAGAAGATTTTGTTTGCTAAGACAAAGATGTGAGATTTAACAAAAAAAAAAGGTACAGCTAAGATCGAGAGGTGTTGGTTGTTTTTTGAGAAATGGATATAGGCAGACTATCCGTTCTCACCTGCGTCTTTATGCTAAGCTAAGCTAACAGCTCCCTGACTCCAGCACCAGTCATAAGACCTTTTTTTCTTGTTTTTTTAAGATCTATTTTGGGCTTTTTGTGCATTTAATGGAGAGATAGGACAGTGGGTAGAGTTGGAAATCAGGGAGAGAGAGTGGGAATGACATGCGGAAAGGAGCCACAGGTGGGATTCGAACCTGGGGCCGCCCGCTTTAGAGGACCATGGCCTCCATACATGGGACGCGCGCACTAACCACTGCGTCACCAGCGCACCCATAAGACTTGTTTTTACATACTTTTATTCCCATCAAGGGAAACATATTTCACACAAATGTTCATGGTATCATGTAAACATAACTTAAGTCCCAACACACATCTTAATGCTAAGCTGCCCCCCCCCTGGAATAAGCACACAGACATGAGAGTTTAGATTTACTCAACAATATAATGAGCATTTTAGATGATAGCAGTGAAATGTCATGTCTTTCTCTTCTTAATGTATGTGCATCATGAAGTACCTCATAATAATTCAGTGTTGAAAGTGATGCAGCTTTTCGTTCCTATTAGAGGACTCTTGTTGAAATCCGAGTTGCACGTTGCAGACCCGAGCAGATGAATATCTTTGTTGCCGTGATACAGTAGACGGATGTCTCAGAAGACTTTGTATTGATCCCGGTATATTTAGAGCCCCATAAAGATGTTGACACAGTGATAAGCTGGGTGCCCCGGGAGAACGAGTGCGCGCTACGAGGCAGACTGAGCGTGGATACCAGGGGTGCTCGCCAGGATGGCACGCCGCCAAGGCTTTATGCTTCCTCACCATCTCTTTTTCTCTAATACACACACACACACACACACACACATGTACAGAAAGCCCCCTCCCATCTCCCATTCAATAAGCCAGCTGTTAAGCTACACTATCAAGGCAGCCTGTCCAATAATTGGCTCCCCTCCGTCCACCCTTTCCCCTTTTGTGAGGGGGAGGGGGGCTTTGCGTTAAGCCGGAGAGCAGCAGCAGATAACAAGAGCAAGTGACAAGCTCACAGTCAAAGGCCACCTCGCACAAAAGGGAGCTGCTTGATGAATCATCGACATTGGCAACCTCACCCCCCCGCCGCCATCTCCTCTCCACACATCCCAAATGCCAATGAGGAATCAATACCAAGGCCCCATTTGCAATTCATTATTAGCTGCTTATTTGAGGCGACTCTGTTTACAGTCTGGTTATCAATATCAACGCCGCGCAGGTGTCCATACTTGCACAGAACACATCACGACCTGCATCTAGTGCTTTTTATGCTTGTTAGCTAAACAGTGCGGTTACCCAGCCCCGGTTGGAGGTCAAGGTTAACCAGGCCTCACAAAAAGAGAACAGGCAGACCAAAACCGTCTGATGCATGAGGACGCCCCGTTTTGCCGCGTGCGGGATGCGTGAGCACCCCGGCTGAAAGGTGACAGCGAAGCGCCGGGGCCAGATCACTTCCGACAGCTCATTCCAAATGCCATTGCTAAAGGTCAGCATTTACATGTCTAATTTGCGTCTGCCGGCTCGAGAGCTGGCGGATTATTCCCCGCCATCACTCAAATCATTAGCACATTTAGGAAGGCTGCTGTTGCTGAATTGAAATGTGCCTCTCCAACATAATGCCCCCCCCCTCCACACACACACACACACACACACACACACACCAAGAAACGAGTGCTGCTTTTTGATTTATGACACCTTCAGGAGTTCTCCACGGCAACAGCTGTATTTAGTGTAATGTAGATGAGGTGATTCAGAAGAAATACCAGACTTTTAAAAATCACATATTCCAGTTTTTTTTTTCACGTTCAGATCATAAATATATTTCATTACATCGTTCACATCTCAATCCCCACAGGCCTCTTACAGTATTCTCACATTTGAAGCATGACCATCATGTTTGATGAAATAATAGTCACAGTTAGGGCTGGGAATCTCAGGGTAACTCATGATACGATTAGATACAATACATGAATCGTGGCCCAATATAACGATAGAGACATTGTGCATTCATCGATATATTGCAAGACATTCATGAAACCATACATCACAATATCTGATGCATTGAAAGAATACAATATTCCCCTTAAAAGATGAAGAGCAGTAAAATTGTATTCATTCACTGAAGTTCGTTTTCAGTTTCACCTCTGAACAAGCTACATCCTTTAACTTCTTTTCCCCGCTGTCCGACGTTATCCTGCTGTCAAGTTCTTCATCCTCGGCCAGTTAACTTCTCCTCAGGCTCCCTAACTCGTGTGTTAAGAGCAACTGAGTCATGAAGTAGTGACGCGGTGAGGCAAACTCCTATAAAAATCTGTTTATAGTGCCGAATAATATTTTTCTAATTTCTTTTTAAAATATGGATATGTGGGGTGAGGTCTTGGAACACGCTAAAACTCAGAGATCAAAGGGCAAAGGTCACCAGGTGAATAAACACCCAAACAGAAAAGCTTGACAATGACATGAATGAGAAGCTTAAAGTCATTCAAAACATCATTCATTTATTAAAAATGTAAATGTTGCACATCTTTTTTTTTTTACTTTAAAAAAAAAAGGTCTATTATTCTACTGGTTACAACATGGCGCCTGGTTGTAATGCAGTACTACAGTTTGACAGCTGTTTGCTAACTGCCATTAAACAACAAAAGAAGAAGAACGCATTTGGGTCAGGTGACATATTTGCTAAGTAACTTTGCATCTCTTAACACGAGGAACGATCAATCTGACTTAAAATTGTTCCGTAAAATCGATCATTTAAGTAAAAATTACTGTGATCACAATGCTAAACCTGTTAGCCTGTGAATGGAAACTTAAAGTATGTGCACACCCCTACATGTAATAGTCTTCTTCAGCCCCTGCAGTCTGATGTCCTAACTCGTCCTCAGCTATGTCTTTTGATGTTTTTACAGAGAGATTAAAGCAAAGTGGACTCTGAACATTAAAAAGCAAAAGCAATTTAAATAAAAAAAGACCTCCGCTGTCACATTTAATGCATATTCGATTAAAAAAGCTGAACATTTCTTTTTCATTTTCTTCACACACACAGTGTGATGTGCCTGAGAAGCCTGTGGTTGTTTCAGTATCACAGTACAGTGGGGTCTTTTTAATAAAAGCCGTAATGAGAATTGATAACAAGCTAAACACAAAGGATTCCCTGCACCCCCCCCCCCCCCCCCACCCAAACAGAAGATTAATCAGATCATTTTAGTAGCTCTAGAGGGAATGTTTGATGCACCTGAGTCTCTCAAAGGTGAACAAACTCCACTACAGTACATTTCCTCTTTTTATTCTGCCCTCTCTTTCCAATTATCGTGTGTTGTTTTTCTGCCGCAGTTCAAGGATTTCACTCCTGTGTTTGTCTTGTCACAAACTTTGTGCACACTCCAATTATGAAAACAACAGCAGTATTTCTGTGGGCAAACAGGATGAAACCTGTGGTCTCTAAATTAGGATATTTTTCTCTCCTGTAGCCTGACGTAGAAACGACTTAACCTCCAACATAAAAAGGTTTCATATCCAGCAGTCTTTAACTTTCATCTGACAACATTTTGCCATCAAGAGAAAAAGTCACTTTTGGATCCACTCTGTGGATCATATTTCTGTTGTTTTGGCCACTATCTTTGTGTTGCCAGATTTCTTCAGTATACTAAGTTATGTAACGCCACTGTGATTTTCTCCCTGTGATTCAGGTTTCTTAGTTGTTCAGGTCTTCGAGTAAAAAGGACAAAGCCTTTACATGTGATTGTCTGATTGCAATACATCAGTTTAGCGTCTCCAGGAGGGATGCAGTTAGCAACAGCAGTGCTCCTGATAATGCTCGGCTGGCTTCACCGTTCAGTCTCAGCTTATCTTCCTTACTAGTCCAACTGCCTGATCTGAGATATGTGCATGGGTGACTTGAAAACATGCAGCATGACCTAGAGTGACTAAAGGAAGCATAGTATGTTTCCATCAGTCTAAAATCTATTGGTCTTTAAACATCTTTAGACTGATACTGAATACACAAAAAGTATGACTATGCGTAGTGCAGAGTTAAATACTCCTTTCCAAGGGGGAAATCTTCAAGCTTGGATGGATTTACTCCACTAAGCTGTTCTGTTCATTTTTAATTCTTCTTGATTGAGCCTCAAATATTTCTGCATAAGACATCTGAGTCTCCTGAAACGTGTTCAGTCACAGCTCTAGTTTGTCGTGACAACTGATAAAGATCATGAAATCATAATCATCATAAAAAAAATCATGACATGAAAATATTTCATTATAACCTAGCGACTTGGCTGTCAGGGCATATACACATCCACACTGGAATGTGGTTTCAGTGGTCTGATTACAAGTTTACACTTTGCATTAAGAATGTGCCTCCAGTGACCACCTGTGTTCGGATCAAACCTGTACATCATTTACGTTTGAAAAGGCCATACCTCTCATAATATTCACCTATTGGGAGGCAGCATTTGTTATTCCAGTTCTCAACAGTGCTACAGCAGATAGTGTAACTAGAGGGGACGGCTCTTAATGTGGACCAGGACACATTAGTGTTAATACTTCCAAACTAATGTGGACAAATACATCCTCTTTGTGTCCTCAGGAGGCATTGGGGTGCATTCACACCTACTATTAAGTTCTGCCGACTTGTGATCCCATAACCACTGAGGGATGTTATTAAAGGTTTGAACAGGGCCATTCATAGATTGAGTGATTGATTGATGTGACTTTATTGTCAGACAAAGCATGAAATGTGTCTTGCATCAGCAGCTCCATATGCATCATAAAATCTAAAGTCAAGATACTTGGAAATTAAACTTAAAGGGATACTTCACCCGTTGAAACATGAATCTGTATTGACATTGGGTCATACATGTAGTAGAAATGTGAAATAAATTTTGAAGTTGGTGCCTTCTTGGCCGTGAAAAGGCAGAAAGTGTCTTTTTGGCTCATGTTAATGAAAGACACCAAATCCCAGAATGGGATTTAGGTGGGTGATACAAAATGTTCTGATTAAGCCCACCTTGTTTTTAAGTATTGGTTGTGATTAGTTAATTTTGTGTTGCATTGATTCATTGTGAAGATATGTTGGTTTGCGCTGTGTACCTCACAGACAAATACTGCTTGTCTTTTATTTAAATGTCTCTGACAAATGATCTTATGCCCTGATTAAAAGTCACATTACGGTTCGGAAAAGGATACCATTGAAAGACTAACCCTGATGTTGTCTTCACTCCCACCCTGTCATCCTCAGGTGAGAAGCCATTCGAGTGCAAGCTGTGCCACCAGCGATCCAGGGACTACTCAGCCATGATCAAGCACCTGCGCACCCACAACGGCGCCTCGCCCTACCAATGCACCATCTGCCTGGATTACTGCCCCAGCCTGTCAGCCATGCAGAAGCACATGAAAGGCCACAAGCCCGAAGACGTCCCTCCAGACTGGCGCATAGAGAAGACCTACCTGTACCTCTGCTATGTCTGAGGGCCGGAGAGCGAATGAAGAGAGGAAGGTTACGGATGAGGGAGGGGAAGGGGTTAAGAGGTAAAGGTGGAATGTATTCGAGTAAAGAGCGGGAGGCTTGAGGAGTGTTGACGATCGAGGAATGTCAACGGCAAGAGACTCGAAAGCAAGCGGGTTTGTTTTCTCTTTTTTTCTTTTCATGCAAAGGTGGCGACGACCAACTGATGGAGTCAAAAGGTTGGTGATGTTGGGACAAAAGTGCTAAGAAGAGGAAGACTTGGACATGGAGAGATATTCTCCACCATCGTTCGGATTCATCGGGTCATTCACTACATCTGCAACTGTGTTTATTGTTTCAGGTCGTTTTCATGCAGCGCCAGAAAGTGAGCAAGCTGCAGGGAAGTGACTTAATGGATGCTGCTGCCAGGAGTGAGAACGCAGATTCTCAAGGGCTATCTGAAGCGAAACATTCTCGCCATTAGGAACCCAATCTTTCGCTCCAATTTGCTTTTTTTTTCTTTTTTTTTAACCTGGGGATTTGGGGTCTTTTTTGTTTTTCTTTGGTATTGGTTTGTTTACATTGAACCTGTCTGCCATAATTCTCTGGATCACATGAAGAATATGTGAGTTCAAGCTTTAGTTCAGGCCCCCCACTGGATTATTTGTTGATTTGCTTCCCAAGTATGGAAGAGATTCTGTCTTGCAGAAGCCGAAACTCTCTCCAAACGGCCACAAGCATTCTTGTTTTAGTTGTAATGGACCACAACAAAGCAGTCTTAAACTTGGATTGAGATGAATTTTTTTTTAACCATTACACCACTTTAAACAGCCTGATTTAAAATGAAGGCTTCAGTGTTACAATGAACTGCTGTGGTTCTCCCAATTTAGTTCCAACCATTATGGAAAATGTATGTTTCCTGGCTTCCCATCAATTCTTCCTGTGCATTTAGTTGCATACCTTTCAAGCTTTCACATTAATCCGTCATGCTATGGATCCTCTTAGATCTTTGGCGAGGCAGTAAGATAGCCCCTGAGAATCCGCAGTAGAGTCGGTGTGCAGTAGATTGAACAGTTGAACTGGATGAATGGGAGCACTATAATACTGACAGCCAAGCACATGTTTGGTTGTTGGTGGGGGGACAATGTTTGTGCTACTTTTTTTTTATTGTTGGAAGTCTCCCCAGATTTCTCAGCAGTCTTCCTGGTTCATCTCTGTCAGATGAGGACTGGTGAAGGTCGAGTGACCACTTGCCACCCACGGTTCTCCGCAGAGAGCCAAAAGCTTACAAGCGTCACTTTTTTCATCATATATATTTTTTTTCTAGCTCTGCATCGTAGTTTATCATGGCTTGATTGCACATGTTAAAACAAATCACGACAACAGTCTCTGTTTGATGTCCACAAGTTATATCTCCTTTCATTACTCGCTATTACAGTACGCCACATTAAACCCAGCCTATCCACATACTCAGCAATAGATTACTGGACTGCTTGTATCCATGTACATTAACCTGATGACTATCGTTATCTCACACTAATGATGAACTACACAAACTGACTCACAAACAGTAACACTCTGACCACAACAGACCTGTCCATCCACCACAGTGATGGAAGACAAAATGGGGGGAAATGGTAAACCGCTGCTTTCCGTGGGGAGTCCTGTGACTTCAACTGCTCGTATAGTGAATGTTGAAGACGTGCTGGGAATGCCTTTAGCCGCACACCTTGTTTTGAAGGTGGCGTGGCTGGTTGAAGACTGTTATACAGCATCAAAAATATGAATGTGAAAGACTGTGAGCCGGGTTCATACTGGGCTGTGTCAGAATAAACAGCGAGTTAATGCTGCCTTTGACTAGAGGTCAGAAACCTACAATTCACATATTCATGGAGGTGTTACTTTTAAACACCTTCAATTCACCGTATGACCATATTGACCACCATAGCGACCATTTTTCTCTCACGTCAAGCTCAGGCTTGGAAGCTCAAACACTGTTATAATGTAGGGTTGTTATTTTGTGGGTTAAAAATCATAACAAAAACAATTAATTCTAACAAATTATTAATTTAACTGCTTCACAATTGATAGGCAACTGTGAAGACAACGTATAGTGAGAATCCAGAGGGGCTTTGAGACACATTTCAAGTTAAAACACCGTAGGCTACTTGTGAACCGTTAAGCTACCCTAAGACAACTGCTAATGTTAGCATTCAACAACAGCTATTGTTAGCTAAACTTTTGATGTTCATTCTCAAATGTGTGAGTATATCCTTTAAAAAAATGTCATACTTCATCCTGGCTACATTTATTGAAGTCTAGAATTTAAACTCTGGATCTTTCTTATATCAAATCACACTGTTATGTTAGCTAGGAAGTTCTTCAATGCTAACATTAGCTTTGCTCTTACAGTACTGTCGTCTTGCAGTAGCTAATAGGTTATCAAACATGTTTTACTTTCCAAATGTGCCTTTGAATCTACACTATTTTCTCTTAACTATTTGTGTAATTATGAGGCTGTAAAAGCATAAACAGTAAATCAAGTTAATTACTTTAAAAAAATCGTGAACACTGCAGTAAGATCTTATAAAAGCATTTTAGCTTTCCAACGTGTGCTTGATGTCAGAGGAAAATGGCTGTCGTGTAAATATGGGGACTCATTTAGTTTGACGATTTACCTTATCTAACTTTAAATTGAAGCTCCCTATGTAATAGCAGTAGGCTACAGTGGCTAGCTAGCTAAAGCAAGCAGCTGTTAATGCTGTTCTTAATTTGGGGTGTAAGGCTATTAAGGGCCCTTGAAATATTGTTTTAGCCTTGGTTGGTTACATGTTAAAGTGTGGCGTAGCATTTTCTGTGTATGCTGCATTGTTGACAAACTGACGTTAGATCAAATGTAGCTTTGAATGTGAGACTTCCTGACGTTTCTAAAAAGCAGCATTAGCCCCGTTTATGGACAGCCGCAGTTATCATGGTTGAACCTAAGGCTTTCTTAAGCATCACTGCATTGTCACAGCGTTACCGGGGTTAGATCACATCCAAATGGCCGGTGGAAAAAAAAAAAAAAAAAGGGGGGAAATCACTGTTAGGACGAGACACGGCCCAGCAGCTCAGGGGGCGACCAGTAAGATAACGGAATAAATCAACTCTTTCTCTGTGGTTTTGTCCCTGCGCTTCGTCTCTCGTCTCCTGTCGTTGTTGTTGTCGTCGTTGTTGTTGTAATCGTTGTTGTTGTTGATGTTATTATTGACCTTGAGTTTGAGCTCAACACATCGTACTTGAATTACCTCGTTTTGTGACCTCATGTTGCTTGTGTATTTTTTTAATTTTCCCTTTTGTTTCATTTGTACACTTTTATTTTGTTTGTAAGTGTATGTCGGAAAAGATGCATTGCACAACATGATGAAGCAATGTGTACGCAGAAAAAAAATATAAGTGCCACGGTGAAGAGATTTTTGTTTGTTGGTTTTTCTAATGCTGTGTATTTCTTTGTGCATTATTTGTTACCAAACTTGGTATTATTAACCCTGCTTGTTAATGAGCCGTAAGGTTTGGTCATTTGTTATAAAAGCTACCTCTAAGTTGTTTTTCATTATTTTTGGCAAAAGCACATTTGTGTGTGTGTTTGTGTTTTGCATTATTTCATCATTGCTACTTCATCTCATGCTTATTTTTTTATTTTCAAAAGTTGATTTATGATTGTGTTTTTAAGCAAAGTGTATATAAAAGGGTAAGAGATAACAAACATAGAGGTTGATAGGATTGGAAAAAGTCATTCAAACGGATGTTTATTCTTCTCTTATAGTCTCCCCCTGCACCTCCGACAACAGACGAGCAGAGAAAAAAAAAAAGCAATTTTGAAGCCTTAAGTGATGAGCAAGAGGGATGTGGCAGATAAGAGGAAGTACTATTGCTTTTTAAAGAGGGTTTAAAAACAAGAATTTAAACTTGAAAATATGTGAATAGAAGTGTAGTTTTGTAATGTGAAAAAAAAAGAAAGGTTCATGAAAAAAAAAAACGCTGAACCGCCCAGGACAGGTCATACTTGCAGTGATGCAGAGTGCGTTGGACAATTGGAACAGCAAGTGGTAATCAAAACATAAAGAAAAACCAGAAGGTTAAAAACAGAGATTCTCTCGGCTGATAAAGCTCTCTCTTGAGAAAATGAGCGTATTCCTGAACAAGAGCCAACAGAGGCAATTTGATATATAAAAATTGTGATATTTTTGTATTCAGTGTCAGTCCTTTTTCCATTTGTGGAGGGTTACAGCAGGGCACAAATATTTGTATTTCTTTTTTTTACCTGTTTTTTTTTTCTCTCTCTCTGGGTGTGAATCATTTTTGCCTTGCTCCCCTTTGATATTGTTGGACAAAAAACATGTGTGTGAACATATTGTAATAATAAGTGTTGCTTTCTGGATGTCAATTGCATTGTAGGTGAAGGACTAAATCTATCCGCCACAACTTTTACGAGTGTGTGTGTGTATGTGACAAAGTTAAAAAAAAAATTAAAAAAAATTAAAAAGCCAAAAAAAAAAACATGATAAAATACGGGACGGCAGGGGGACGCTGCCAAACCGACCAATTAGTACTTGTCATTCACAATTTTTCAATCAAACTTGACTGTCGCCATGTTTTTTGTTTTGTATTTGAAAAAAAAAAAGAAGAAGGGATGGCATGTCCCGTTGGTGTCTTGCCATTTTATTCTCAAACACTGTGAGCTGAGGGGCTTTTTCCCCCCCTCATATAATATCCACCCACTATGATATACCCTGAAGTCACTCTCAGTCTGAACCACCACAATGCAAACTGATCAGTCACATTGTTCCTATCATCGTCCTCTGAATGTTTTCTACTTTCTCGTGCGGGTGAAAGAGTGCGTCAATGAGTGTGTTCAATGTGTGTGTGTGTGTGTGTTAGTGGAAAAATGCACTAATCAGATCAGATACAAAATAAAATGATATTCTATGCCACTTTTTTCTCTATGTTGGAAAAAATATATATATACATTGGCATTGTTATAGTTCTTCCCTCAGTGTTCCTCCGATGTTTCTGTACTATCTTTGTGCCTAAAAATGGAATTTGTTCAACAAAAATATCCATCTATATCTGCTTAGTTTCTGTATTTTCAGAAGAAAATAAATGGTGTCTCCAGCACCCTAGGGATGTCATGACGCTCCAATGTGACCTGAATTGTTATTTTTATGAAATCCTGAATGGAGCAGGGCTTTTTTTCTTCAAGTATTGCAATAGACGTGTAATGCTTTTTGAAAATAGCAACTGGGATTCTGCATCTTTACTTTGGCCTCACTCTGTGAAAGGCACCCAAAAGCATTTATTCAGGAACACAAAACAAAGCATAGAAAAAAATTACTTGCAGAGACTTGCTTTTTTTTGTGACAAAATCTACTCCTTTAAATGGTTAGTTTTGCAAGGAAATTCAGCCCCAATTCTCTCACTCATATTCTATATTGTTTTCTTTTTTGTCAGCAACAGGCTTGCTGAGGCGACCCTTATAATGCTCTTGAAAAAAAAAATTAAGAAAACCTCCATTTATGGAGGTTGGCACTGGGGAATTCCCCTTCTGCTTTGTTTTGAGTTTTTTAAAGTACTTCCCCCCACCTCCCCCTTTTTTTTTTTCTACAAAATGCATTTAGAAGGGGGATGTAAAAATGCGTCAGGGAGGAATCATGGCATCCCTGGAGCTGGCACTCTGTGTTTTGGTGTGGTGTTTCTAGAACAAAAGTAGCCATTTCATGCAGTGTTGCAATGCATGTGCCATCGAGGTCTAGACTAAAAACTGTTTTGAGTAACAAAGCACCAAGACATTGTATTTTTTTATATTAGCACTGAGGACCAATTGCCCTGTCGGACCAAGCATAACAAAGCTTTTTATGTAACGAAGCTTTTCTCTCTCTCTCTCTGTCTTTCCCTGGCTTGTCTGTGCTACTTCTCTCCTCCATTGTTGTGACAGCACAAGTGCCAGTCGAGTTGCTCTGTATTAAGAAAATAGTGTTCTTATTATGATTTGAATTGTTATAGTTTTTGTCTACCTCAGCACCTAATCTTAGCCTAATCTTAGAAGGTGCCCAATTATTATTTTTTATTTTCATTATTTTTTGTTCTCTTGCTGTTGTCGGTTGTATAAGTTTTTGAAAAATTTGCATTAGAGCTTTGCAAAGGTCCTTTGTCTTTTCCAGCGACAATGTGCTATTTTGTTTTTTGTTTTCCCGTGGCAGTACGTTTCCTGTTAAGCTGTGCCACCAATCTATAGCCACCGTCTGTTGATATAGAGGTTGTTCTTTTTTTCGTTTCTTTCCATGTAGAATCAGACACCTCTCTTTGTAACATTTCAGTGTTCTCTGATGGAGTGTGAAAAAAAAATAAAAAGGACAAATAAAAGATTTAATGCTGCAGGTTCTCTTCTCCATGTTGTCACTAAAGTCAATGTTGTGCCTTTGATAGTGAAAATATAAAGAATATTTCTTTTTTCTACATCCTACTAACAGTAGATTGTTTTTTGTAGTGGATATTTTTTGTATTTTTATTTATGAGTCTCATAATAAAAATCAAATCATGATGTTCAGTTGTATACTTTCAATCTGCGGTTAGAAAAAAATAAAAAATGGACTTCATGTTGTCTGTCTTAGACCTCTTTCTGGCTCGCTATTTGTTCCCTGATTTAATTTATTTTTGATTACTAAAGGATCTAACACACAGAAAAACTATTTAGCATTATTATCCTTTTTTTTTTAACTCTTAAAAAAACCCACCAGTTCGACTCGGTTTATGGACTTGGATAAATCGTCTTGTCTTCGATTGTGTGTTCTGATGTAAGGTCAGCAAAGGTCAAGTCCTTTGAAAGGCACTTTATTAATTCAATCTAATATTATTTCATTTATTATTATTGACATCATTTGTATTCTTTATTCTAGTTAAGAATAACTTCTGTAACTAAAAAAGCTTGATTGGGAAATGAGTTTAAAGAATTAATGTCGTTTTTATATACTAATACAGTATTTTTTCATTTCTCACAAAAATCTAAAACAATGCCTGGTTTTTAAGAATTAATTGAAAGTAAGTGGAAAAAAAAAGCTTAAAAACATCATGTAGCTCCGAGCACCTTTACATGTAGCATCTGTAAATATGTTTCAAATATATTCACACTAAGGCAAAAGAAACATAATTAATATGATTATGTTTCTCTTTTCATCTTGAATTTACGGTCCAGAGACAATAAAAGAAAAAAACGTTTTGGGATGACCACATAATAATTCATCATCATTTACAACACACTTTATTTCAGCATTTCAGACATTTGTAGGTTTTACCCTCAACAGTGCACGTCTTTTAGAGCTAACAACAAGAATCTGTGTTGAACTAGAAAGGATTGCACCAACTTACAAACTCGATGTAAAAATAATAAGCCAATGTAGGAGTGCAAAATACTGAAGTTTCTTCTCGTTCACTGGTTGGCTCCAAAAGCAAATGAATCCCCTCTAAGGTCTCATACTTATTTTTGCAGCAGAAATAAATGTGTTTACAGCGTGGTCCAAAAAAACAAACAAACGTAGTATCAATAGCTCATTTCTCTATTGGTAAAAACTTTAAGTGAGTGTGTTTTAATGAGATATCTGTTATGAATATATCAACCGATGGGGGGGCTGCCAGGGTTCGGGTCCGACCTGTGGCTCCTTTCCTGCATGTCATTCCCCTCTCCCTGATTTCTCCACTGTCCTGTCTTTAAAAAAAAAGCCCAAAAATGAATTTTAAAATAAAATATATAAAATATTTTGGGCAGTTTAATGGGTTATACATTTTGTGTGAACCGTTATTAATAAGACTGATTTAAGCTTATCTTAAATCAAAATAAAAAAACTTACTCCATGTTGCTTTATCATTCTGATTTGAAATGTTGAACTCCTCACTGGATCAGGTTTTTATTTTTTGCTTTCAAACTTGTGCGGAGGAAAGGGGAAAGCTCCTCCACCTTTGGCTCTGCTGACAGAAATTCAACACATTTCCTACGGGCAGTTTTCTGTAACCTCCTCTGCCCTCGCTGCTGTACAACATGAGGAATGCCAGCAAAGCTAAACGGAGCACGGTCACCGTTAAACTGACAGGTACGGTCGAGAAAGGGCAAAAACACATCAGCTGTTCAGCTACAAACACTGAGACATCATGATCAACAAGCCGCAGACACTGTTCTAGAAAGAAATATTACCCTGGATTTGTTTAATTCTCTGTCTGTCTGAGTCACAGACCGGTCAACAACCAAGATGAGGCTAAGACTGGCCCATTGTGGTTTGGTTAGTTATCTTAATGTTATCAAACATCAAGACGGTTTATGTCATTGTGGGACTTTGAAAACTGTTGTTGGTCATGTTGTAATTTCTAGATACAGAAATTAAATTATTATTATTCAGTGACTTAGGGCCAAATCTAGGTTTTTCTTCCATCTCTTTAAATTCTAGAAGCAGAGTTCCAACCTATCGGTCTCAGTCAAAAAATGTCTTCATTCAACTGAAGAAATACAAGACAGGCCACAAATTATAACCTGCGGAGGGCCTCGTTACACTTCCCAGTGCACAGCATGCCAGAATTCCATAGAATTCCATAGAAGAAGAATAAAAACAACCAAGATGGCTGCCGCTAATGTGAATGTTTTGGATCTGTCATCTCTTCAGTTTGAAGAACCAAGAAGGTATTTCAAGTTTTCATTCAAAAGGTGAATATGAGCTTTTTAATAAACCTTTATGTATTAAGTTAAACCTGAAGCCATGTTAGCTTAAAATTAGCTGATAGCTCTTCTATCTAGAGGTACTTTGGTCGCAATACAATCACAAGACTCAATACGATGTTATCACCATTTTTTAGACATGTGATCGAACGGAAACAACACTGACTCTAAACTTCAAAATCTTGCTTTTGCCCTGTCTGCACGTCCCTCTTCGTTAAGCTACTGATGTCGTACAAGAGAAGCCAAAAGCAGATAGCTCCCTCTGCTGGTTAAAACGGAGTATTGCAGTATGTTTTTTGTCAAATTGATTAAAATTGTCCATGTTTGTATCCAGTTTTAATTGCATTGCGGGGTATCGTTGCATCCCTAACCATACATGTTTCAACAGGGGGAATTGGTCTGGAAATGTCATCTTGTTTTCTATTAAACTACACCTCGGGCTTTTGTGCACTCTTTTTTTGTAATCTAGTTTACCCTCCTTGAGATTTTTGGTTGTTATGTGGGCGGCACAGGCCTTCAAAGAGCGAGACATCCTTAAAGCACAAACTGATGCAAGAAAGTGAAAAGCAACAGACTAAAATGCTGCCACTCACTCTCTCTCTCTCTCTCTCTCTCTCTCTCTCTCTCTCTCTGACAGTCTGCTGTGTGTTTCCACAAATGTTCCCATGCTAAAGCACATCCTGCTGTCTGGCTTCACACTCACCACCTGTCTGTGATGAGCTAATGGTAACTACCGCAGCTCAAGCTTCAAGCCTGACTGCCCTTTGTCTGCTCTGCCTCTCGTGCCTTAGAGGTCATAAACGCTATCATTAGATATGCAGGGCGTGAGCGTGCGTGCACCTCTTCTGTCACACTCGCATGACTGTCATTACAGAGGAAGTGAGCCGCGACGCTAAATGTTCAGAGTAGATTGACCTGAACAAGCTTTAGATGAGTCTTTTTTGTGGCGGGTTGTCGCTCATGTTTTGTGTGCCGGCTTGTGTTCTCGATGCTTTAGCAGATGATTTAACATGTTTTTGTATCCTCTTGTTCAATCTCTTACCTTCCCCCTGCAAACATTTCGACACACAGTAGGTACAGAATGATGTCGTGTGTTGCTCTACTGTGTGAGTTAAAGACTCTCTGTCTCTATAAAACTAAGATGGGGAGGCTACGTGAACACTTTATATTCAAAGGAAAAAGAGCCCAGTGGAATCGAGACTCCTCCGTCGCCCCCCGGTGGTGGAATGAACTTCCAAACTCCATTGGATCTGCAGAGTCCCTCTGCACCTTTAAGAAAAAGCTAAAGACCCAGCTCTTTCATGAATACCTACTAACTTAATGATGATGGTCTCCATATTATTGATGATGATGATGGTAATGACGATGGTTTTTGTTTGATAACGATGACTTATAAGATGGTTTCTATACTGATTAGAGCTCTCAAGAACTGCCCTCAATGTTGTGCTTTGCCTCTGGTCACTTCCTGTCAGCACCTGTGTGTCCAATCAGACTCAAAGCTGATCGTTTGCTCTTACTGACATTGTTCCCTTTTTTCTAGATCCTTGCTTGTGTTGTTCTTACTCTCTGATGTACGTCGCTTTGGATAAAATTGTCTGCTCAGTGAATTGTAGAATTGTAGAGTTTTCTCAGCATAATTTCAGAAGTAATCTCTGCCGTTGTCTCTTGTGCCACAAAGTAGTGTTGTAGTACTTGAAAATGGTTTTTGTCTCAGGGCCGGTCTCAAGACCACTTTTTTAAGGTCTCGGTCTCGGAATCCAAAGCATTTTTATTTGGTCTTGTCTCGGTCTCAAACTGGACAGATTTTAAATCAAGACCAGTCAAGACCACCACTGATCTACTATTTTCCCCCATCATTACTTTGATTAGAAGGAAACGCCTCTCTTTAAAAGAACAAATAACTTCAATTCATTCTTAACTAGATTTTTATTTTCCGGATACAGCCGCAACCTTTCCGCTGTTACGGTCTAAGTGAGTGAAACACCCACTAAACACAAGCTGATTATTATTATTTTTTTAATATTCTTGGCCTTGGTCTTGACTCGGTCTCGCCCTGTCTTGGTCTTGGTCTTGACTTGGTCTCGATCCCTAAATGTCTTGGGCTTGTCTCGGTTTCGCCCTGCCTTGGTCTTGGTCTTGACTTGGTCTCGATCCCTAAATGTCTTAGTCTTGACTTGGTCTCGATCCCTAAATGTTTTGGTCTTGACTCGGTCTCGGAGCACTCTAGTCTCAGGTATGTGTTGGTTTCGGTTAGTGTGGTCATGACTACAACACTATACCACCAACAAACAGTCCGACATGTTTATGCTCTCCAGAGTTTAAACTCTTTTTAAATCAAAGACTCACTGCAGGATTTTAGTTAAGAAACGTAATAACTGACAGAGAAAATCAAGTGAGGCAAGTAAGGGGAAAAAAACGTCTTCACTTTGTGTCCTTTAACAGCCACAAGCCGCCTTTGAATACACAAACAGCTGCTAACAGGACATGTTTTGATCTGTGGTTTGTTTTGGTATAAAATTTGAAGTTATATTGAGTAGAAGTGAATGCACTGAAAGATGCAAGTCTTAGCAAATGTAATAATAAATCCTCATTTCCAGCTGATTTTGGTAACTTTGAACCCAATAAAGCTTGACTAGAAAGGGCATGAGATGTGGCACAAACAAATACCATATTAGAAGTGACTCTAATATGTCCAGATAGTGCCGGCACATTTTGCTCATTTCCTGTCTGTAGCACCAGGGATCAGATTTTTTTTTACTTCAGTGTGTTTGAAACTAATGAGGCACCTCTGTCCAGTGTCGCAGCTTTTGTGGTTTGTTTATTTATTTAACTTTTTTTTTTTTTTGTAAATTGTGTCAGAAAACAAAATGAGGAAATGAGAGAAAAGAGGCTCATTGTGAGCGGGGTTTGTTGCTTTGGTGGGACTTTGATCTTATTTTGGTGGGGGTTTTAGGAAGGAAGGGGCAGAGGGTTTGTGAATGGTTTGTCAGGATGGTAATATGAACAGAGAAGGGCTCTTTGTGTTGCAGTCTGAGGTTTCAGCTCTGATCTTTGATCCACATATCAAGGATTCTTCAGGTCACCAGACATCTCTCCTATAAGTCAGTCAGGGTCTTGAAGATCCTTTTTTTAGTCATGATTTACAATCGAGGACTGATATTCTCCAAACCAGATTGTACAGCTTTGATGAATCAAACAAAGATTTATTTTTTTGGCTCTTTCTTTTAGAGATAGGACAGTGGATAGAGTCAGAAACCTTGGAGAAAGAGAGAGAGAGAGAGAGAGTGGGGAACAACATGGGATCCAAAGGTTGAACTAAACGCCAGGCTACATGCGCCCTGATAAATTACATTTTAGATCAGTTTGTTGGCTTTGAATAAAAAAGTGTTTTTCTTTAACGTCACATGGGACAGGTCTGTTTATTTAAGTACTTTAGTTTTATACATACCAAAAAAAAATCAGCTGTTGCTAAGTTTAATGATAATCAGGCCAAGTGATGAAGCTAAAGATCAACTTGTGTGTTCATGTTTTATTTATTTCAAAGTGTAATAGTCGGGTGGAAGAAGCCGTCTCTCAGCCTTTTTTATTAAAAGCAAAAAAATGAGTTTGTAGTTTAATTTCCAGCTTTGAATAAGTTTCCGTATCCTGGAAACTGAAGCAGTATGCAGTTGAAGATCTTTGAGATTTAAATGAGTTTTGAGCTTTTGTCATGATTGATGCATGTGTTTATGTTAATGGCCAATCAATACAATGAGGCCTCCTCTCTCACATCACCTCTTTATTCATTCATAAGTTTATCAATTCATCCCTTTCTCTGGTATTTTCAATCTTCCACAAAAGGCTACAGAAGAGGTTCATAACCAGTAACGTCATGTGGAGACTCCTGTAGTAACGCCAAGCTGTAACTGATGCTGTTGTGTGTGGCGCCATCCTCTGGCTGTTCTGGTGAACTCAGTATGAGAGCAGCATGTGTACAGGAATCAACAGGTTTGTTTTGATGATAGTAATATTAATGTTTTACTTGAGTCTATGTTGATGTTAAATCACATTTAATCACAGATTAAACAGAAACATATCAGCTGTGTTTTAACACATTTACTCTCCGTCATGTGTTTAACAATGTAATAACACTAACTTGGATCTCACACAATCATATTAAAGCATGGTTATTTAGGCAACACGTGTATTTATAATACATTTATCAGCTCAAATACAACACAAACGTAAAAATAGAAACAATTTACATGAAATTACACACTTTAGTTTGACTTAATAATTCATCATTTTATGAAATAACAAAGAGTATGATCTAGATCTTTTTGTAAAGTGTCTCCAGATAACATTTGTTATGAGTTGGTGTTTTAAAAATAAAGACTGATTGGCTGATTGGTTGATTGATACTTTGTAAAAACATTGCAATGCATAAGTCAAAGAAACCAGCCACTCTGTTGTAATCTGAAGAGGCCTTTTGTTGATGTTACAACAGTGTTTCCCCTACCATTATATTAGGGGGGTGGCCCGCCCCCCAATGGCACCCCCCGCCCCCCCTTGGAGGTCAAGTTAATAAAAAAAAAATATATATATATATATATATGGGGTTTTTTTGATTGATTTTTGGGCTTTTTGGGCCTTTATTGTAGAGATAGGATCGTGGATAGAGTCGGAAATCAGGGAAAGAAGTCATTTAGGATATCTTTCCGATAGAACAGGACAGCTGTCATTAAAAGTAACGCATGAACACCAAGATTCCTTCAAGTGTTTGTGTCGGCGTCCGTCTGCCCACAGCCCCCCCCACCCCCCATAAAGCTGTAAACCTAGGGGAAACACTGTACAATGAAGTCATCTAAAATCTTTTAAGATCAATTCTATATTAGATATATTTTTATTGGTTTTTTTGGCCTGCAGTTATTTTATAAACATAGAGAGGGAATCTGTAAGAATATTTATAGATGAGGACGTTTCTTTTGGTTAAGAAGAAGACCGGGTAGAGGGATATGTCCCTTTAACCCGGCATATGCATGCAACACCTTGTAATGCAAAACAGGTAAAAGTACATATTTCACATATTTATGTAGATGTTTTACACTTCAATAACAATGATATTATATATTTTTAAATGAAATCACCAAATATCCCTTGTTCAAATAATTGTTCATTATAATTTGCTGGACATTTCCATGTTTTGCCTTTAAACGATGTGTCTGTTCTTCTCAACTTTTACCAATGTGGGCTTCTTAAGTTCTTGATCTGATATTCTGCATCTTTTTTTAACTGGTTTATTTTATTCTGAAACCTTTTTCTTCTTAACACAACACAGACTACTGATGACTTGTGATTTTAAGACCCCCTAAAAGGGTACTTGCATGTGATTTTTGTAGAACTACACATAACAGATATGTGTTATGTAGGTTCATGTATTTGTTGATGTTGGGTTGTTTTTATTGTTTTCTATTAACTTCATCTTTTCAGTTTTAATGTAAAGATTTTTAATGCTTCCCGTACTTAAAAGACATGATTGTTGGGTTACAATTTTTGTAATCATTTTTAAATTGTAAGATATTTGGGATGTATGTCATTGTCTGTTTGAGTTGCTCCTAAAAACTAATCTCAGATTGCATTTATATCACATTTAAATAATGTTTGCAGGGATATAGTTGCTCACCTAGTAGGTGATGTAACCTTTATCTAAAGGCCTTCAGGAAGCCTTTTCCTGTTCCATAACTATGCGTCTGCCTCCCTGTATCCACTGAGCCCACAAAGGGCACAGAGCCAGTAACTCTAGCCTTTTTAATCCCGCGCTCAACCCACTGAGAGCTTGTGTCCACAGCAGTGCAGGTGTTAGACTCAGGCGACCTGCCACACCGACCACAGCGTGCCCAGTGTGATGCTGTAAGCCACCACAGCCACCAGGTAGACTCTGAAGAGCAGCACGTCCAGCACGTAGCCCACCTGCAGCCACTCTTTGGCCACCTCCCGGCACTTGTCCCTCTTCTCCAGGAAGTGCCGTATGGCCGTCACTTCCTGCAGGATGTTGTCCATGACGGGTGGGGTGGGTTCCCTGGAGGGCGGCAGACCCAATCCGAGCAGACCGCCTTCTCTGTCGTGATGGCTGAGCCTCTGGCCGATCTCACAGGTGTGGTGGAGGGTGCACTGGGCTGCAGGTTTGGACAAGGACAGGTCACTTTACTCTCTGTTACACTTATATTTTGCGAGTCATATGTGTTGTTATTATCGTTTTTTTAGTCTGTATAATCTGCAGTTATTTTTGTCACTGTTTGTAAGTCTCCCTCTGACATCCCGCCCTCTCAACCTGCATGGGTTTGCTTGGTTCAGCTTCCTGGCTCAGAAGCCAATTGGCAAAAAAACTGAATACACCTCCCCTTTAAATTCACAGGACTGTTGTACATGTACATGTGCACCTTACCAGAGCCATAGTTGTCCTTGTAGTGCTCCATGTCGGAGGCCTGGGAGGACAGTCTGGAGCACAGACGGTGCTTCTTGTGGATGCAGAAGAGGACTGGCGCTCTTTCCAGAACCAGGTACTTCACCCAGTGGGGCACAGGGGGCTGCAAGTCCTGCTTGTGCACCAGACGTACGATCAGCACGGTCTCTGTGAGGCTGATCACCAGGAGGGCCATGCAGACCACAAAATACACACCTAGAAGGAGCAGGTATATGGAAGATGAAACACAGTGTTTGGTTACGATCCAGTAGCAGTAACAGTAAGATAGTCGCCTTAAAGATGATGGTCACCTATCAGTGGGGTTCCTATGGCGGTGGCGGGCAGTGTGTCAGACACGATGATGAGGAAGACAGAGTAGCCCAGCAGCAACGTGATCTTGAAGGAGACCCTCTCTCCACTGTCTGGTGGCAAATAGAAACCCACAATGTCCATCACCATCAGGAAGATACTGGGAAGCAGCAGGTTCACCGTGTAGAATAACGGCCGCCGGCGGATCACCACCTGGGAGAAATATGAAATATAATACAGTCATTACTAAATAAGTATGCTGTGGCATATGTAAGTTGTTCCACAGAGCAGGACGAAAACCTTTGGTGATGCTGCTTTCAGCTGTTACACTCTGAGACTGTGGAACGTCCTTCCTGAGGATCTGAGAGGAGCCGAGAATATTGAGATTTTTAAACGCAGTCTTAAAACTCATTTATTCAGTCAGTGCTTTATATAAATTCAAATCTTAACATTATTGTATTGTCTTTTTTTATCCTACTACAATTTTAAATATTCTTCTCCTATGTATTAATTGTAATATCGTATTGCTTTTATGTGTCATATTTTATTTTTTCATTTATATATATATATATATATATATATTATTCTTATTGGTGTACTCAATGATTTTATAGACTTATTTTTCGTCAATAACTTTTCTGCACTCTTTTAAAGCACTTTGAACTGCAATTTAATTTCTCTGAAAGGTGCTATATAAATAAAGTTTGATTGATTGAAAAACAAAACTATGAAAAGTGTGACAGAGAATATATCCCTGAGATTTATATAAAACTTGTCATCACACTTTCCTTAAAAAAAAAAAAAAACAGAAAAAACTATTTGAACCTTTAATTATTTAAAGTTTATTATGGATAAAAAACTATTTTAAATAAATAAATAAAGAGTTGTTGTGCTTGTTTTATTTTACTCAATTATATACTCCTTTTTATTGTATTTCAGTTTGTTTATTTTAGTTTATTCCTGAAATTCAAACTCATAAGTATCCACCTTGTAAGGTTAGCTGTTATGAGAACAACAGAATATTTGATTAATATCCCATATTTCCCCTACAAATCTAACCTAAAATCTTAAAACGTTTCCACTTACATGGAATTTCATCTCGGCGTAGTAGTCGTCATTGTCCACGCTGAAGATCTTGTAGTTGGACAGGATGTGGAGCAGCTCCCACTCCCCCTGGTTCATGAACACACTCTTGTCCTCGCTGAGCTCCTCGGGGCTTCTCATCAGCGTGATGTTGATGTCGTCAACTGCAGATTGAACACAATGTCGAGAGCAGCGTGAAGCCGCCATCACAACAAGTTACCTATCACTCTCCACTCGACTCTCTAAGCACATTTTCACAGCGGGGGGAGAGAGCACCATCACAACTGTAGATCTGATCAAGTGTTTGTGAGGAGAGTGAAGGAGAGAGCTTGTGATGTCAGAGGTTGTTTTGAAGGATTTGTTATGAAGAAATATTCAATAGTGGGATTGTTTAAATAATAGATGATGTCTCATTGATAGGGGTTTGGGGTTACATGTCTTGCCCATTGACATGCGGCTGCAGGAGCTGGGCGATCGAACCCCTTACCTTCAGGTTGAGAGATGACTCTAAAACTGATCCACAGGGCACTTTGGAAGACTGAAAGTTACAAGTGGGGGATTGTACAGGGTTTTTTTACGTATCCAAAGATCCTGTTGTCAGGTGCAAGAAGCAGAGAACAGGTTTTGTTTGCAGCCAGTGGAATAGCACCCATAACAGCATCCAGTACTTCCGGATGTAAATGAACCCTGATCTCTGAGTCCTTTTTTTACTCTCTGTAGACTCTCATGTGAAAACTTGAAATCTGATTCATGCTCTGACTGTCCTGTAGCTGCTGCAAGTAGCACGGTTCTCATTCAGCGTCGAGTCCCTTGTCTTTATCACACTTCCATTTAAGAAGAAAAAAAAACATGATGACATGGAAGAGGTTGTGTGATGTAGTGTTTCTGTCATAACACTTTGTAACACAGTTAGAAAAGCCTGCGACTGTAATCAACACTTGAAGGGGATTAAGACTTCAACCAAATCAAAAATGTTGGAAAATGCATGAAAGATGATTACACTAAAGTTCATTAGCATTAGTAAGAGAGAGTCTTACTAGTATGCAGCCAGCTCTGGAAGGTGAGGCTGCATTTCTGCACATCGAATGGGAAGTTGTAGATGTTGAGAGTGCAGGCCGTGACCACCTGGATGGGTTTGTAGTTTCTCACCAGTCCATCATGTGTCACATAGACATAAGGGATGTCCGGAGACTTCCCCACGTCCACGCTGCAGGTCAGAGACAAAGGTGTTTATTTGTGAAGGAGCAGCAGCAGCAGCCTGAGTACAGAAATAATAATACCAACAGCAGCAGTTCTTACAACTCATTGATGAGGATGTCGGGCACCCACACGTTAGCTGTAGGTAGAGAAACTTGTTTCACTTCATCAAAGTCTTCTGGATCCCAGACCAGAAATTCATCCTTCCAAGACTAAAATATTAAAAACAAACAAACAACAAACAGAAAATGTAAATCAGTAAAAAACAGTCTTTAATATTACGAAAAAAAAATTGTTAATGCAAACAGTGACAGAAAAAGAATGAAACCTGCTTAGATGAAGAATAAACTCTGGAGAATAAGGGAGAAAATATTAGTTTTTACATAATGTGTGTAATCAAACCAGCTGTTCCAGATGTGATATACGGTGCAACTTATAGTACATCTTATAATTCAACTAAACCCCCAGACCACTTCTTTAGCTGAAACCTCTGTAGGCCTATATGGGTATTAAGTTGTAGGCTACTGTACGATGGTAACGGCACAAACCGTTGAGCGGGCACATCTAATCCTTAGACTGTAAATATTAATGGAGGAAGCCTGAGTGGGCCATCTGTTCCTGCAGGGGCCTCCGGAGGCTCATCAGCAGCAGCCGCCATGTTGGAAATCCTGCCTCAACCTAACTTTCAGTCAACCTAACGACAGGCTGAGAGCTGGAGCTGAGGCGGGTTTTAAGCCTCCTAACAAACCGTTAGATCGCACCCACCTGTACAGTGTGTGCCCAAGATGACAATAACTAATCAGACCTTTTTCATTTATAGTAGGCTGTAAACATGTTTATTTCTGGCTGTGGTGTGTATGTGACTTCCTGTGCTCCTGGAGCCAGCGTCAAGCTGACCCTCGACAGATTGCAGGATTTTGCACATCAGCATTAGCTTAATTTTTCAACACCGGAGGTTGCCCCTTGGTCTAATCCCTCGTCCTCCAGCCCAGACCTCCATGTTTTTAGGCTTTTTTTTTTTTTAATTCAGGGGTAGAAGCCCTTTAGCTGAAACTCTGGGGTTTAGTTACCCTTTCATGTTTGTCTTACCTGTCTATACCAAACATACGTAGTCAAAACCTGATTCTTCTCATCCTGTAGGGGAATACAAGATGACATCAGAGAAAACATTTTAGATTCATTTCATTGTAATTTTTCGTTCATGTATATTTTAGTCAGTAAAATATCCTACTCTCTTTAAGAGTTTCTTTTTTGTTTCCAAATTAATGATTTGTGTTTAATATAATTAACACACATGAAACTGGGGGTCAATCAGTATCCCTGTTTATGAGAACAGAATCTGCAGCTGATTTGTGTAAGGACCGCAGCATGTTAATCAGTTCATGCTCCTGTCTAAATATGAGATTCATTAAAAGCGTTGCAGATCAAATTAAAGCCAAGCTGAAGAGGTTTGCACAGTTGTGTTTAGCCGTTGTGCATCATGACTCACCACATTGAGGATGGAGTAAACCATGAGGTCTATGGCCACTATAGTGGACGTCCTCCAGTCCTTCACTGGTCTCACCCCCTTCTTGTACCCAGCACTCAGAAACTCAGAGAGCCGCACTAAAGTGGCGTTAGCAAACCTTCCAGGGCTGCCGCCCACTTTCTTCACTGAAAGTCATGAAAATTATGACACAAACAAGACAAAAATACAGAGTGTGTAACTTACAATCTTAGCGTGACGGGTAGGTACATTTCATATAATAAAGTTTAAATAACATCCGTCTCATAACAATGCTTCAGAGCATCTTGAAATTGCAAACTATTTATTTATCTGAACAGATTCTGTGCAGGTTAAAACTTAGAAAGGGAAAGGTACAAAAACATTTGTACATTTAGTTGATGAATTATTTTAAAATGTAGTATTTAGTAACAGTCCTAGAAGTAACTCATTTTACTTGAATATTTGTACCAAATTTTCAAATCTTCTTTGAAATGAAATTACATGTCAAATACTTTATTTTACTTGATAATTCACCAATCTGGACTTTTCAAATGACTCTCACATCCTACAACAGGTCTCCTCTCTGTCAGCAGTGATGGTTTTGTAATGTTTTCTGAAAGCATTATTATCTGGGGCGCCGGTGGCCTAGTGGTTAGTGCACCTGCCTCGTGCTGGGTTGGCAGCTCTGGTACAGCTCTGACCTGTGGCTCTTTCCCTGCATGTTGTTCCTAACTCGCTCTCTCTCTTTCCCCATTTTCTCTGTAAACGGGGGCATAAAATACCCCAGAATAGACCTTTAAAAAAAACCTATTATAATCTTCATTGAACGTACTTTAACCACAGTTTAATTATAATGTGATAATCCAGATATTTTTTTACAGGGACTAAAAGTATTATGTTCAGGGAACCCTGAATAATAAGCAGTTTAATAAACAGTTTAATGCTGAAAATATTCTAGAATTCAAGCTTAATGTTTTAATTTGTAAGAAACTGCAACAAATAACTTTAATGTTATCATATTTCATATTTAATTTATTTGTTCATTTCAGTGAATGATTCCAAAACAATAATACAACACACATCGTACAATATTTTCTCAAAATACTTATAATCTGTCCATGAACAAACAGGAAGAAGAAAAAGGTATAATATCTGTCACTTTCTCAACAACATGAGTTGCTGTTGATACAGAATCAGATGGCTAACCCGTTGTTTCTTTCACAAATCAAATCAGCTGTACCTACTGAAACAATCAATCTTGGCAGAGTAAATTGATAATTTCCCATGACTTTTTCAGGATACATTCTTTTTAAATTGAATAATATTTGAGCAGCATTTTAAGTCTTAGCCTATTGACTTTTTCAGTCATCAGTAAAACAGAATAGGAATTTCAAAAGACTTATTTAAAAGTGCAGTGACTTTGTCCTGTCCTTGGCTTAGGTATATTAACAGTCGTCTACATGAGGATAAAGTGTAAAACAAAAGCTGCTGTACCTGTGCAGGCTCTTGTGGCTCCCTGAATAAGCAGGAATAAAAGTGCTGTCCAGGCTGAAGCGACCCTCATGGTGACAGTTCACCTGTGTTTTCCTCTCTCTCTGTGACAGTCTACCGGCCGCTCTGATGAAATCCACGAGATGCCTGAACCCCTTATCCTCCATATCCATCACCTCATCCTCTCCTGCTATGGAAACCTGGTTAGTGTCACTCAGCTCATGAGGGTGTATCCGTTCGCTCTGATGCCACTCCTCCCTGTTCAATAACGGAAGCTATCACTGAGATAAACGGAGCTGAGAAAGTCATGAAAACATCAAACCAGGGAGCGGATAATATTTCATCTTTGAGTCATCATTTAATAAAGTAATATGCCAACACAAGCCTAGTGCGTTACAGTGATTTAGAACAATTAACAGTTTGTTTTATCATGTTTGTCTTTTTCTGTCCTTTTAATGCCTTGCTGCAAAACCAACGGAACAAATAAAGTTGAAGTTTAAAATAATAAAAATCCAATCAACGGTGCAGCACTCACAGATTTAAAAAAAAACAAAAGCTGCCAATATTCAAAGAGAAACATTTCCATGTTGTATGTGCAGGATGCACAACTGAATATGCATCATTTTGATCTCTTAAAAAATAGTAATCCAAGATCAATATATAAACTAGGCCTGGGCGATATAACGATAATTATTGATATAATTTTTCTCAATATAAATATGAAAATTGTTTGATAGATTTATAATTACACCTGAAGATATGTTGGGCTAAAACAGAAATATTTTCAACCATTTGAAACAGTACCACCCGTCCCAGTGAAAGCAAGACCAAATAACAAACGGGTGTTAGTGGACCCTCAGTAAGCAGCGGCCCGGTAAGTGTGACTGCCCACAACCATAATGAACCGTCTGGTTTCCTCAACTTTCACTGAAGAGCAAAAATTCAATTTGTAAGAACGAATGATTTGACATTTATCTTAATAATTATCGACTGATATGAACATTTTTATCATCCAGCCCTTATATAAACTCTGAAGTCAAATATACAGCGTCGCTGGGGCACTGGTGGCGCAGTGGTTAGTGCTCACGCCCCATGTACGGAGGCTGTAGTCCTCCAAACGTGCGGCACAGGCTCGAATCCCACCTGTGGCTCCCTCACCGCATGTCATCCCCCCACTCTCTCTCTCCCTGATCTCCAACTCTATCCACCGTCCTATCTCTCCATTAAAGGCAAAAAAAAAGCTAAAAAATAAATCTTAAAAAAAATATACAGCGTAGCTCTATTTTTTTTTTGAAGTGTGGAAAATATCCTGAACATGAGTCATTACAGCTGTTCTTTTAAAATATATGTTTTTAATAATAGGCTGATTTCTTCTGGCTCCTTGTGCTTTAAAAGAATAGGAAAGAATAAGAATAGAAAAGAAAAGGCAGGTTTGCAGTTAGTTTGACATTTTCAATCTTTTTATTTTCACTTCTCATGTGTCACAAAGATAACAGTTTAAATGCGTTGCCAGATAATACAGTCATCCTGAGGTGGTATTTATATTCAAGACAAAGACACAACACACAGCCATTCGTTAGCTCGTACAGAGAGTAACAAAGCACTGACTTGACATTTATCTCCAGCTCTGTTGCGTAACAACTTTTAACCAGATCCACTGGAAGAAGAGGTTTGCAGACGCTGTGAAAATTGCATTACCATGGATCTTTCCAGCGGCAGGTTTTCTTTGAGGCACTCTTGATATTCTCATCACGACGGTTAAAAAACCATCGGGGAATGGAGACACAGCAGCCGAGCTCTGAATGGGTTTTATTGATCTGTTCTGTGGCAAGTGGGATGGAGACTAAAGTATGAATACAATATCATATCATCACACCGGCACTGTGGAATTTCTCCCCAGAGCTGATATATTATACACACAGACTTTGAGTGACTCTTCACTGTCGGGAAAAACATAACAGACTCAATTCAATAACGTCTGTCAAACTGTGATGTTGTTATACAGGGCAGGATCTGGAGCTAATGCAAAACCAATATTTTAAGGGAAAGTTCTGATTTTAAACAGCCTGTGTGTTATTCTCTCAGTATTCAGGAATCATTTGGACCTTTTGAATCCATTTAACTCAACAGTCAGAGCTGAGATCTGGGATACGTTGACAAGTAGTTGAATGGGCAAAGCAAGAAGAGACAATTGTAAACTAACAGATGTGAAAAAACTTAGTTATTAGGCAAATGGCCATTTGTAAGCATCCATCAACAGGTACATTTCTCTTTGACAAGGTGAGCTCACTTTAGTTTAACGTTCAGACGATGGGATTTCGGTCAGATAACTGTCATTTAAAAATCCAAAATTATTCCAAATGCTTCTGTAGGCATACATGGTGGATTTTTCTTTGTGGTTTTGAAGAACTTGAATCCATCACGTCCAACCTGAGCTCACTATGATCACATGAGAGCTTCAGTGACATTAAGCATTAGTTAGGATGGCAGGGGGAGTATGAATATGATAATACTGTGAAAGAAAACAAATGAAGCATCAGTCATCCGATGATATTTGATCTATCGTATATGATGCCAATCAGCTGAATAAAGCGTGCGTCCATGAGTGTATGCGTGCGTGTATGTGCGCTCATTTTACAATTTCTTTTTTAATTGCTGAATATAATTTGCAAACAGAAATGAACAACCTTTAATTGCATGTTTTAAAATCTCTATCAACTTGCATTTCAAGGTCTGTTATGCTTTTATTTTCTTAAGGTAAAGGTAATTTACTTCCTGCTCCTTCTTCCTACTGAACTTCTTTTTTTTTTCTTTTTTTTTAAGTGAAATGATGAGTCATTCAAAGGTGCAGCAATGTTGTTGTTTCTATCACCACAGCTGCAGAACGATGCTGAGGTGGCTAAACTATGGTGCACCAAAAGGGACAAAATGAGACGCTTTTAATTGCAAAAAAAAAAACAATGACTGCGTTGATCTCGTTGTGATTTACACGTTAACCCTGACAGCCCATTCACAGCCTCTCTGATGTTCTGATGGCTCATGCTGCATTCCCAGTCTGACTTTGCCCACACTGCTCTCTTGTCTTTCTGTTTGTTTAAGATATGTTGTTGGAAGAGATAGTAGATAAGCCCTGTGATTGACTGGCAACCAGTCCAGGGTGTACCCCGCGTCTCACCCAATGACAGCTGGGACTGGCTCCAGCCCCCCACGACTCTGAATGGGACAAGCGTATGAATAATGGATGGATGGATTTTACCACTTATAGGTTATACTCTAACTAAATCAGATTATGTTTTGAATGTCATGGTCAGGCGAAGCTCCAACTGGCCCAGAGCAGCAGCAGAGTGCTGGTATACAGGATGAGAACAAACAGGTAAAAGCGGAACAGGTAGAGGTCCAGTTTAAGGCAGAGAGCCAGCCAATCGGCCTGAGCTGCAGACTCCCTGTCATCCTCGGAAAAAGCCAGACGGAGGGAGACCAACTCCTGGAGGAGCCACTCGAGACCAGAAGGAGCATGTTGGACTTCATTCAGGGACAGCAGGTCCTCCTCCAGTGAGGGATCCAGCTCATAATCTATAGAAGACGAAGAAATCTGGTTTTAATTAGGTAGATTCATGCAGAACATCCAAATCTAGTATTCAACCAGCTGAATATGGTCAAAACTATAATGTCTATGGTTGCATTGAAGGTGAATTTTTATACTTTATAGAACCGAAGGTGAGCCCTGTGCTGCCAAAAAGCATTTTCACAACATTGTGAAATAATCGATTTTTCTAAGCTTTCCAACAAAGACAAAAAGTTCCTTAGCTTCATATAATTCAAGAGTTGATTTAACTTCTACTCTAGTGATGGTCCTGAAACTTTGCCTGTCGGCTGGAGTTTTGAAAAGTCTCAGTCATGTGTCTAACCTTCAGACGGGTTGATAAATTCGAGGGTTTTCAGGGAGGTCAAGGTGCTCTCGGTGAACTCCTGGCCAGCCGAGCCGTACTTGTCCAGCAGGCAGGCCGACACTGAGAATTGCTTGACCTCTTTCTCGCTGTGGTGGAGCAGCTTCACCACCAGTATGGACTTAGTCAGGCTGAGCATCAGCATAGCCATGCACACGGCGAAGAACACACCTGGACGGAAACGGGAGAGAAATCAGAGACGCTTCCAACACTTGCTGCTTATAGAACAGTTAGGTTCTAATGGTTAATGGTGGATAATCAGAGTAAGGTGTTAATGATAACAGTCATCAGTCTAAATATGAAATAAACCATTTCTCTTTCCAAAGATTCAGAACCATAGTTTTAACTTGTTTTCTGTATTTCCTTCAATAAATATCTTTTAAACTCTGATGGGAACCTTCTCCAAAACATGCATGCTGTCCCAGATTTTAGGATATTTAACATCAGCATGCTCTTTACTGTTTGCTGATGTTTATGAAAAGAAAAAAATGTTTACTCGTGGAGTTCAAGGTTGTAGGATTTTGCATTTTGAAATTAAGTGAGAAACTTGGGTTTTTTTGGTTGTTATAAGGGAATAACTAATTATAGGTGAATCACAGACGATGGGAGTTCAGTAGTACTGACATTAAAGCTGGGTTTGTAACAGAATATACAGAGTAGATTGGTAAAAAACAACACGTTTTCTTAATATGGAACAACAATAATCAACGTATCTGACCTATGAGGGGAGTTCTGACTGCGGTCGAGGGAAGGTCGTCCGTCAGGTTGACTCTGAAGACTGTGTAGCCCAGCAGGATGCTGATCTTAAAGGCGATGCGGGTTCTACTGTTCAGAGGGAGGTAGAAACTGATGACGTCTACGAGCATGAGGAAGATGCTGGGGATGAGGAGACCCACCACGTACAGCAGGGGGCGCCGGCGGATTAACACCTGAATGAAAGAAATGCACAGAGAACATAGATTTTATTGCAACTACCCCCTCAAAATTTAATTTATTCAATCAAATGTCACCAAAGGGCACAGTATGTTTAGTTTGTGGTAACTTTACCTTGATTTTTAAAATTAATTTCTGTAATTTGAATTCAAATAATGACAAATAATGCTATTTTAAATATGTTTTCTTTAAGTTCTGCTTTCAAGTCATCAGGTTGGCATTTAGAGTATTTACAGAAAAGGCACTAAGCCGTTATTGTGTGTTTAATGTATATGTGCAGATATGTTTGTGTGCTTATACATAGGTGTCTGTCCCTAAGATGTTCACTTCCTGTTAGGTTTAAGCTGCCAATTCACATGCCTTGCTTCTGAAAATCTTTTATAGGTTTCATTAAAATCTAATCTTTGCATAACAACTCATTCCCTGCTACATGGCTACATTCAGAAAAAATACAGCCCGAGTGTAACAATATCTCAGAGAGCCATGAAACGCTCCATTACCAAAAGGGCCTCTCTCTTTGAGCTGAATAAATAGCAGCCCTTTCCCCTGCTCTCCACCTGCAGCGGGCTATGGAGCCATTTTCCCTCACCACTAACAAGAAGTCCATTGATCAGGCAGCCACTGAGACAGGCTCATTATGGTTCCTCGCCCTCCCCTGTCTATCAGCCTCCCTCTCTATCTGTGTCTCTACTTGCCAGAAACAGCCTCAGTCTCATCATTTGGCATTAGCTCACTAGCCCGATCCATGAAGGTCGCGGCCAATTGCTTAACACTTTGCAATCCTGCCGCACAGCATGCGTCGAGGGAGTATAACCCACAGAGAGCCACAGTTTAAAGCTCGCCATCGATAAGCTATCACAGCCATCACTGTGCACTTACTGGCTCACTTGGTACAGAGCTGTTGCTGTCTCCTAACATTATGACCATACGGCTATTATCTGCAGAATGACTCTCTCTTTTTTCTTTGTCTTATTAACATTATTTCCTCCTTTATATTTAAATTAAACAGAAATAGCTTCTTTTTTTTGTGACAAATTCACATTAGTACATACATTGAACTGGATTTGTGCATAATCAGTGTCGTCCTGGTGGATTTGCCAGTAGCGGGAGGGAACTGACAATAGCTCCCATTCTCCGTCATTCATGAACTCCTTCTGATCATTAGCAATGGCCTCTGCACTCCTCAACAGAGCCAGGTCTATTTCCTTCACTGCAGAGGAACAGAGAGTGGAAACAGAACAGAGACGCTTTAAAACACTGAAGGAAAAGATCAAATGTGTTTATCACTTTTGCCTGAATCTTAAAGACCATGTTTTTCATTCATTAGAGATACTTCATTTGTACTCACACTGTCTTAAGAAATTCAAACGAGGTGAATTATAAGATTTATGTTTCATGTCTATGTCATCCTCCCTGCTGCCGTTTTAGCTTGAAATATATCTGAATCTTTGAGCTGATGGTTTATTTTTCCTTCTACAGAAACGTCTGAACCTCCTGCTATTCAGACTGACTTCCATCCATCCTGAAATCAGGTTTGGCCTGTCTCATCTATTCATCCGACATCAGGTGAGTTTGATATGATCTCTGTTCAAAGCGGCCTTTGAAGCACTTTCATGTCTCCTCTTGATGTGGAGCTCTCCAAGTATGTGATTATCTAAGATGGTCAAACTGGAAGGTAGTTGTTTTTACGTGCGTAAGTGTTGGCTTCTAAATCTTGTCATGCCAAATGTCTGTGTGTTCAATAGATCTAGATGTCATGAGTTGTATGTTCAAACAACAACATGGTAATTGAATGTATTGAGTACACCAGGCTGAGGTGGAGTGATACATATTGTGAAAAGTCCTAGTGATGTTGTATATCAGAACTCATAGCATGCCTCTTGTCTAATCAGATTGTTTGGAAATAACTATGGTTTAAAGTCATTTTATTCTGTCCTATATTTAGCTTTTTTTGTGTGTGTACAAAATCTGTTTTAACATTTGAATAGAATAAAATAGAATAGAATTACTTTATTGATCCCAAACTGGGAAATTGTGGTGTTACAGCAGCAAGTTATCAAAGCAAATAAAAATATATAAGAATAGATACATAAATAAGCACTGAGAATATAAAAAATAAGAATAGGAAGAGATTATATCTTTTGGTTTGGGTGCTGTAGTTCAGAAAAAAAAACCTATTTAAAGACGTCACCCTGAGCTTTAGAAAATTGCGGTTGACATTTTTGATTTGACATTTCATAGACAAATTCATTAGTCAGTTACTTAGCTAAATAATTGGCAGATGAATCCCTAATTGTTATCCCCTGCCTCCAATCACAGTTGGTCTCTCATTGATTTTTTCATCAGTCGATAATGTGACTTGGACTGGTTTGTTCACAGTTTGACTGACTGGTAAATGTTTCTGGTTATTATCCAGTCAGTCTCACTTGGATTCATTTAGTTTAAAGTTGTCTCATTAAGACGTGTAAACTATCCCGTTATCCAGACATACAAGGGGGTCTCACTGCTGCTGCTGGTCCCTGTTAACTTTAAAACTGAGAAAATGTCATCTCCTGATGAAGATTGTTCAAATGCTTGAAATTCCCCCTGAGGTAAGAGTGTTTTGCAGAGCTCCTTTACGGGTTGTGAAGCTGTATGATCTATCTTGTTAGATAGCAGGTATGCATTTCTTCATCACAGGCAGGAACAGACCTGAATGAAGCCAGCTGCGGAAGGTGAGGCTGCAGTTCTGCTTGTCAAACGGAAAGGCGTACATCTCCAGGCTGCAGGCCAGCACCACCTGCATGGGCCGGTTGTTCTTCACTGATCCAGAGGAGTTGACGTAAACGTAGGGGATCGGAGGGGACTTCCCTGCATCCACACTGTGAACACATGAAGGAGAATGGGAGGAAAGGTGAGACACAGACAACAGTGCAGAATATGAGACCGGTCAGACTGACCTTTAAGATGACCTCTGCTCATAACTTCTGTGGCTCTAAGGTGGTCCAAGTACTCTCAATGCTCTTTTTTCATACACTGTATAAGACATGGACGTATAGTCTCAGTGATGTCACCCATTGGTTTATGAAGAGGTGTTATGAAGCTCCATGATGGCAGACACTATACTGGAAATGCTATCTCATCCTAACTTTTAAACATTCAATCAACGGGACAAGAGTTGGAGCAGGATTATGAAATCATAATTTCAAAGTGGTGCATAAATATCGATCAAATCGAGGGAAAGACCCTTCTGGTGCTAAAAATGTTCTGGGTGAGACCTCCAGACCTCCTACAAACATGTTTTTCAAATAGACTAAACTTGTCAGCACAGTTTTTGTGCTTTTAAAAACATTAGTTAGGTTGAACTGGTCAGTAACTTCCAAGTTAGTCTTAAGATCAGTATGAAAAAAATTGTGATAAAATCGTGATTTTGCAAAAAACAAATCATGATATGATATTTTAACCACCTCTAGCTGCATGTTTTTTTTTTTGTTTTTTTTACTGTTTCTCTTCATGACTTTCATACTTACTATCAACTGGATTAAGTAAAATTAGAGGTCAGATTAAGATCATTTTTTAATTAATCACTCTTAACCAGTAACAACACATGGTTATTTATAGGGGCAGCAGTAGCCCAGTCTGTAGGACTTAGGTTATGAACTGGAACTGGAGGGTCGCTGGCTCAAGTCCTGGTGTGGACCAAATCTGGAAACTGGTCTGGTAGCTTGAGAGGTGCCAGTTCACCTGTTGAGCACTGGCGAGGTGCCCTTAAGTAAGGCACCTTGAGCAAAAGTTGTCTGCTCTTTTGCAAATAAAGCACAAGTGTAAACTCCTGGTTACTGGTTTGGTACTCTCAACGTGTTGTGTCAGATTAGGAACTTTTTAAAATCTTCACATAGCTGCTTTAATTAATGATTTAACGTTCTGGCCTCATGATGTCATTAAGATTTTCAGACTAACTTGATTGACATTAGTAGAGGTCCATTTAAGTCTCTGGTTGTACTGAAGTACTTTGAGTTGTTTGATAAAATGTTTCAATATATTATCGAATTCTTACAATTCACTGACGATAACATCAGGTATCCAGATGGCATCAGATGACAACGAGATCTCAGTGATGCCGTCAAACTCTTCTGGGTCCCAAACCAGGAACTCATCTGTCCAGATCTGGAGGAGGAGAAGCCATTTCAGTATAATTTACGGTAAAAAATAAATAAATCTATGAATCTATGAATTTATTAATGTATTAATTTAAAGTAAGTGCTTACTTTCCTTCCTTTTTAAAACAAGTCAAAGTAAAAGAAACATTGAGTAAGAGAGGCCACTCACCTGTCTGTACCAAATACTTATTGTCATGCTCTGGGTCTTTCCATCCTGTAAAAATGAGAAAAATAAATTGTTACTTTATATTGATTCCTTTCATTTTTATCAAGGCTACTTTGTGAGGCAGTGTGAGCTACATGATTTCATCCTCAAGGCGCCTTAGTGAGCTCACTGTACTAGAGAAGGAACGGGATAACTTTCAACACAGCATACTAAAAAAAACAATTCAAATTATTCAAATGAAAATACAATAACAAACATGAGAGTCTCAGGAGACTTTACAAATGTACAAATCAAGTGTTCAAATGCAATGTTTTTGTCTGGCCTCATATCATGCCAAGTAATTGTCAACGAGCCTGAAATTATGTGTTTCTCTTTATAAATGATTTGTTTGATGATCTTGAACATGTGGAGTTTAAAAAGTAGTCATAATATGAAAGAGTACTCAAGGTTAATATACCACGTCAAGGACAGACTGCAGGATGAGGTCGATGTGGATGGTGATATGACTGGTCCAGTTGTGAACGGGTCGAACTCCGCAGTCGTATTTCCTGAGGAGGGTCCGGGTCAACTGGTTCAGAGCAGACCTCTTCGGCTTCTCTGGCACACATTCAGCCAGAGGAGCTAAAAGAGAAAGATCGATCACTGCCAGCTAAATCTTCAGGGTCAGTAAAATGATCAAAACCTTTAAGAGGCGATTAAATGTGAACGTCTACATGACCCCTTTAGAAAACAAATGCAATACCATTTGTTTTTCAGCGTATATTTTGAACAAGTGCCACTTGTAGTTTGATTACCACGTAAATGTAGACACAGGCACCCATGGGCTCATCATTTTACAGCACTGAGCACTGATTGTTTTCTGGGTATTGTTTGGAAAATGATGATAAAGCTCCCATGTTTAATATGTCATGTCTGAAGGGTACTTGAAGGCAACGCCATGAAATGCTACACAGCAGAGGCATTAAACACCTCAAAACTTTTTTTGCACATTAATAAAACCCTATCCTACTGATTTTTAAATGCAAAATGTGCATTAAAAAAATAATATGGAAACATGAATAGTTTGCGGGGGGGGGGGGCAGGGGCATAATATTATTTACCCCCGGGCCTCTAATCCAGTTACTCCACCCCTGCTAATGATGACGGCAAATATCAGATTTCTGAATGAGTCACATATTTACACAAACAGATCCCAAGAAAAATAACTGGTCAGGATATTACAAGGAAAAGACTAATTGCATTCACATATTTATAACCTCTCGAATGTAGGATTTTACACAACAATATGAATATATATTTGTGGTTTTGAAACACTAAATATGTGTGCATCCGCTACAAGACATTTGAAAGTACAGTATCAAAGAAAGTGGAGGCTGCCGACCCAATGTTAGTAAAAGTAGATGGAAGGCATCTAGATCAACGTCACAAAGTTGTACAGAAACATTTGAAAACTTTACATTAGCTCAATGTTGTTGAATTCATTTTCACAAATCAGAAATCTCTGTCTCTTTTAACATGCACTTAAATCCTTCTTCTATCAAAATGCACTGGGCAAGTCCTTTCTTAACCCAAAATAAGAATTCTTACCTGAGAAAGCAGCATCAGCCAAATGAACGACATCAGATTCAAACTTCAGATAGAAAGTATCATCCAGGTGTCTCATTAAAAAGCTCGCTCTCGTTTACACCAAAATATCCAAAGTTTCATCATATAACTTCAAGAGGAGTCATACTCGGTGTAGAAGGAGAACAATGGACGGGGTAGCAGAGACATTTTGGATGAACTGATATTGATTTTCCACTCCTCGGGTAAGGTGATACATACAATAATGAAGCCGGCTGGAGAGGAAACTCCCTGAGGGTTTAGTGCTGCTGCGCTGCTTCATTTCAGAGGAGCTTGAACACTTAAGAAGATGATGTAGAAAGGTGTTGTAATGGTGGAAACAAGAATAACGACATGATATAATGCAATCTGAACTTCTAATCAGTCTTGCTTTTCTTCCAAAGAAGTTTTTCAAACTGTTTTAAATGTTGATATCACTAATCAATCTTTTTAGAAGGCACAAATGAAAAAAGTTCTCCACAGAGATTTACAAACCCTACAAACACACAACTCTTTATTCTAATGATTCAATTGATATATTTTGTTTTGTTAAGATCTTTATTAGCTTGTGCATGGCATCAGTGATTCTTCCTAGGGTCAACATGATTTCCAAAACTGACAACACAACAACACACAACAACACATCACAGTACGACCAACAACAATACAACGTGATGTAAAAGTGCCCTGATGCACAAGTTACTCCATTTGAAAAATGTCTAAAAAGATGATAAAAACAATGAGATAAAATTTTCCCTTGTACCCCTTTAAACACACCTTGTTTTAAAATCCTACAAGACCTCAAAGTGCTCGGGGGTCATATGTTTTCATTATATTTGAATGATGCATTTTGATTTGGAGCAGAAGCTACAAACATCCACTATTTTTTGTTTGGATATTGTATTCAGTATCATTTAGTAAAATAAAGTTTAAAGAGAAATCAATCAAAGCGCTTATAGAAAAATGTTGATTAAAATAAGACAAGCTACTTGTTTTTATGGTTCAGTTTTTAAGCTGAAAATTAATTATGTTGGCTTTAATATCAACAAAATCCTCTGCCTTGTACTTTCTCTTTAGTTTTTATGTACTGATTTTAAACAGAGTTTTAATTAATAAAAAAGCTGAAATAACAGTAAACATATCAGGTCAAGATTTCTAACATTCTTATTCGTGTTCAGTAAGAGTAAAGGTTAAAGTTTTATTTTAAAATGTAAAAAGAATGTCTCCTTTTATATTCGGCTTCTCCTGTGTCTAACTCTTGTGAAGCCCGTTTCCGGCCACTTTAGAAAGACATGGAAAAGATCAGATGAAAAATGCGATAGAAACAAAACTCTTTAATTATCTGACAGAAAAATGTGACCAACAAGAAAATCTGTTTTCCACTCATGTTGCTTCAATGTTTTTATTTTCTTCATTAGTAAAAGGGGAGTGTGAGCTTTTCCCCTCTGGTAAGAGGTTCAGGGTTTCCCGTTGAAGACTGGACAGGTTTATAAATTCATTCATCCCTATACTGTGTCTATAAAACTTACTTAATAGTTGCAAATAAGACAGGATATGCACTGGACGGTGATTTGTTTTTGCGTTTTGCACTGTGTGTGAAGAATCTGATGTTATTTATATTATTATATAGTCTACCCGGACATTCTTGATATTATTGGTGTATGTTTAATGTGAAGGAGGTTGATTGTTGTCTTTTTATGGCTGCAGCATGGGTGAAGAGCCAATGTCTCACTTTATAGGATAAATAAAGTTCATGTTGAAAAGCTGAATTTGCTTTGGAGCACAATGCTGTACATCTATTCGGGCAATCGTTGAAGCAATTTAAAAGTGTCCCAGACACGGGAAGTATTTTATTACATTAAGAACTGTGCTGTCACGCTGCCCGGGCGCGCGCGTGCGTTATCGCTCTTGTCCACGCGCATGCCTTGACAGGTGAGCGCGCGCAGCTGCCTGGTCGCTCTCGCGCTTGACGGATGGAGTTGGTTTGACTTGGTGACAGGGCTCACAACATTTTTTGGGGAAAAACGGGAAGAAAAATTCCGTTTTTGTATCTGCAATGAGAGGGGAACAGGCAGGAAATGGAGAAAACTCAACGAACTCGGTGAGCGCAAAGGATGATGGGGAACTCAATTAACATGAAAAGTGACGTGTTTGTTTTTTTATTAACGTTAACACTAACCCCCTCTGTCGCGTGAATACCAAATCTGTACTAAAAAATCACCTATTTCACTTGTTTTGTTGTGTGAACACGGAGTACAAAAACGACACTGTCGGAATTTACAGAATTTCGATAAACTTCAAACATTTAGAATATTTTGTGCTCGACATATACTGTTAAAGCAATAGATTATTGCTGATTTTTGTTAGCTCCTCTATTCTAACTGAATGACTGATATCCCTCATTATTTAAAAAAAGGTTATCTCAACCTGATATTGTAACTAAATGCTTATTAATTTAATTTCCATTGACTCACAGTCTAATATTCTTAGTTGTTTCTAACACATGACTTCTCAGCATATTCCAGTCTATAGGAAGATAATAATAAAGATATGAAAGATTACATATATTTTTAATTAACTAATTGCAATTTAGGAGAAGTGAATCTCATTATTCTGGAGTGTAAAAATAACCTTTAAATAAGTATTTGCTTTTTACCCATCCACTCATTCCCTATCAGCAGGCCGTAGACAGAACACTGAACCAGGAGTTTAACAATGTTAACAGGGAGGGTTTGTGTTTTGTTTTACATTAATGTCAGAAAATGAAATGTTTGCTTCTGGTGTTTTTTTATTTGGCATTGACAAGGGAGGTGTGTGTGTGTGTGTGTGTGTGTGTGTGTGTGTGTGTGGTGTGTGTGTGTGTGAGGTCGAGAGAGAGAGACACCCAGGGCCTTTGTCGGTCATGTCTGATGGCATGGTGAGTGGAATGATAAACAGAAGCTTGAGCTATCCATGTCAGTAGACTAAAATAGAGGCTGACCAAGGGGGTCTCAGATAGCCCCTGGACTCCATATAAGTCTGGTCAGTGCTGCTATTGGCTTCCTGTGTGTGTGTTTCTTTGTGTGTATGGCCGTGTGTGTTACAGTGATACAGTGACTTGTCCACCTGCTGTTGGGGAAGCAGGCTTAATATAGCGCCTCTCACTCAGCAGGCCCCGTGTTATTTCTTTTAAGCACTTCATGTCTCTGTCTGTGAGGTCAAAACATATGACAGTGTGTTGGAATTTATGGTTGCCAGTCTCAGTGTGGATAACCTGATGTCTGCTGAGGCGGTGCACAATAGCCTTACTACATTAATTTGTTTATTTAACCTTTATTCATCCAGGTTAGTCCAGTTGACATCAGAAATCTATTTTTTAAGGACGACCTGGACAAGAATAGCTCGAACACACATAAAACCACATAAAAACACTCAAAGTCACTCACTCAGTATACATTTCATAACAAGATACTTTTCTGATATAGTCATCATGTTGAGTTTAGAGGAAGCTTATAGTTTATTCAACACGTTGTCCCTGCCAATGATTCATTTAGAAGTTAACATTTTATAGACAACAGACTTTTGATTGAATCTTTAATAAACTGCATGCTAATGGATAAGTTAAACATTATGAGTGAACACTATCATTGGGAAAACATCCTGTACCTTTTGTGCTGCTCACACTTGGAACACATTACTTATTAAAACTCAATACGATGGTTACCATGGGTCAATTTAAAAACATGATTATATCACTGTGCTCATCAGTGTAAATGTTTTGAATTTGTATTTCGTCTTTGTTTATTTTGGTCGTCTATTCGTTTTAATTGACCTCCCGACATCATTGTGAATGAGGGCTTGCCCTCAATAATCTCTCGAGAGTAAGTACAAATTGAATAAATGAATGAGGAAATCCACTTTGTTTTCAGTAAATATTTATAAATAGCTACTCGCAGCTAATTAGCCGAGCTGTGCTGAAAGACTAAATTGTTATCCAATGATAGTTGGGTCTTTCGTACTTCCACCTCTAAAGCTCACTTAGTAACACTTGATAATACAAGGCTGAATGATACACAAATATAAAAAAACAAAATGTAATTTTAACATTTGTGAATGAGGGCTTGCCCTCAATAATCTCTCGAGATGTAAGTACAAATTGAATAAATGAATGAGGAAATCCACTTTGTTTTCAGTAAATATTTATAAATAGCTACTCGCAGCTAATTAGCCGAGCTGTGCTGAAAGACTAAATTGTTATCCAATGATAGTTGGGTCCTACTTCCACCTCTAAAGCTCACTTAGTAACACTTGATAATACAAGGCTGAATGATACACAAATATAAAAAAACAAAATGTAATTTTAAATTTTTGCGGTTTTATTGGAGGTTATGGCATTTTTAGGGGTTCTGACAAATTACTTCCTGGAGTGTTCTCCAGTCGTTTGGCAGCTGGTCCTTATATATGTTGCACCAACATTAGATTTGTACACATTCACTTATCAAACTCATATGGTGGGCATTTTTTTAAATGACAAAACTCTCTTTTATTGCTGCTTTTTAAAGCCACTGAATGTGCTCTGTTTAAGCCATATACTTAACCAGCTGACTGTACATTGACCTCATAGTCATTGGCATGGCAGGCTGGCATTAGGACATTTGTCCTTCAGCTCCAGATTTACCCATGTGGGTCACCAGCTAAAAGTGAGGCCCTGTGTGAGGCATGAAGTATTACCACATCAGCCCCAGTATGTTTCCAACAAATCATTGTGGGCCAAAGTTGACTTCAGGTGTCTCTTGTGGGGAAAAAGTGGGACATTTACCAGAAGAGGTCAAATATGGTTAACGCGGGCTTGATTCAAAGTCTGAAGAAAAAGCGTCCAAAACCAAATCGTTTACACCTGTTACATCGATACTGTTATTCAATTCTACAATTCATTTAGCAGACGCTTTTATCCAAAGCTACGTACATCAAAAGGGAAGTACAACACAAGCAAGGATCTAGAGAGGAGGACACAACGTCAGGAAGTGCAAACCAACAGCTTTAAGTCTGATCGGACACACAGGTGCTGACAGGAAGTGACCAGAGGCAAAGCACAACATTGACAGCTGTTCTTTAGAGCTCTAATCAGCATAGAAACCATCCTAAAATCATCATTATCAAACAATACCATCGCCATTATTATCATCTCAATCATTTAATTAAGTTAGTAGGTATTCATGAAAGAGCTGGGTCTTTAGCTTTTTCTTAAAGGTGCAAAGGCACTCTGCAGATCGAATGGAGTTTGGAAGTCTGTTCAAGTTTGAGACTTGTTGTGAAGGTGGGAGGGAGTGTAGACCTGGATTATAGAGTTTAGGTAAAAAGGTGTTTTTGCCGCAGTTTTGTAAGCGAGCAGCAGAGTTTTAAATTTGATGCGAGCAGTAACTGGGAGCCAGACGAGCTCTTTTGGGTAGTACTGATCCCAACATGTAGCCGACTTGTGTTTCATTTTAATCCATTTGTTCAGGCAAATTGGTGGACGACAAATTCTCATCCATCACTAACCAAAAGATAGTGAGGTGTGCAAAGGATTTAAAGGATTTACCATTGTCATGTCCTTTCCCTTAGCAGAGTGAAATGCTGATCAACCAGCTGAGGGAGATCACTGGCATCCAGGACCCACAGATTCTCTACAAGGCCATGAGTGTAAGACCTTTTATTATCCCTGGTGATCTGCCAACAGACTAACATTGGTCATATAAATTGTAAATACGGAGAATCATTACATCCACAAGTATTTGGAAAATTGATCTAGAACAAAAACCCAAAGTCTATACAGGTATGCCAGCATACCTGTATTGAGAGGAGAACCAAATCCTTAGTCCTTAGAAATAGTTGTCCATTAAATTTATTAGCCAGAGGAGGATTTCAGAGGGAAGAAGGTGTTTGGGGATCTATACCTTTCAGGCTGATTATGTTGTGAGTATTGACATTAGTTAATTCAATCCTTCCTCTAGAGGACATGATGCATGTCTGAAGAAATGTTTTGGAAGTCAATCACTTTCAAACATGCTGCTAGTTAGCCAAAGCACACATCCTTTACGCTTCTTGAAGAGTAATTAATGTTTAAGGAACACTCTTTGATTACATTAAAGGCTACCTCAGGGTGCCACATGTCCACCCAAGCTCACTGCTTAAGTCTAAAACACAACTGCACACACAGAAACAACCCTTAAGGAGCGCTAATTAAAATGTACCTCATTAAAGTGATGGGAAACAATACAATAAACAGACTATAGCTAAGGGTGTTGCAGACATTATCCAGACCTGTTGTACCAGTTAGACACACTCACAGGTGTTTGATTGATTAAATATTCACTGTTAGTTTTATTTTTATCTGCTTGTATTTCATATTTTCATCTTATGCTTACTTCTATTGCTTCATCTTTCGCAGAAGTGTATCACCCCGTATTCTGCAGACACTTAACATATCCAGATTATATGCTCTTATCTTTTCTTTGTAGGCCAGTCAGGGTGACATTGGACATGCTGTTGGACTGCTGACAACCCGGTCTGCAGAGGTTCAGGATCCTGGAGAACCACAACCTTTAGAATCCTCTGCAGAGGCCTGGGAGGGCCAAAAAGGTACACTGGAAAAATTATACCGCGCTCAATTCTTACTGTATTAGTGGAAGTGTAAAATAATAGTCCTATTTGAAAATATATATAAATATCTAATCGCATTGAACTGTAAGTTAATTCTATAAACTGTAAAAAAAATAATAATAATAATAAAAAGACTTGAAAACAAAGTTTGACAATGCAAATTTCAGGATTAGTGCAGTGCTGAAGGGCAATGAACAGTTATTCTTGATCACTTGGCAACCACTCATGGACTACCTCCCCGCGGAGAGTCTTGATTTAGTGTCAAAAGGATTTGCTTACCTGAATTGGAAGCCCTCTGGACTGAATACGGGCCCTGGACATTTGGATTTAAATTGAATGGACTGTGGCAGGTTAATAAAACCTTGAAGTGAGCATGATGAGGAAATGGGTATTTTTATTTCCTACTTTATTTGCCTTTTTTGGTTTTAATTGTATTGTCTGTTTTGGTTTGTTTTTTGTAGTGGTTGATTTTAGTCCTTTTGGTCTTTGTACATGTCTTCTAACTGTTAAATTGTTTGAAAATTTCAATAAAATTGTTATTGGAAAAAAAAAAACAATGCAAATTTCAAATCTGACCTGTGGCTCCTTTCCCACATGCCAATTCCCACTCTCTTTCTCTCTCTCTCTCTCTCTCTCTCTCTCTCTCTCTCTCTCTCTCTCTCTCTCTCTCTCTCCCAGATTTATGACTCCCTCAAATGACCTATCTCTGCAATAAAGGCAAAAAAAAGCCATTAACCATGCATAAGTTCAAACAGAATCTTTGGGACTGTCGACTCAGTTATTCAGAATCAGAATCGGAATCGGGTTTTATTACCAAGTACATTTACACATACAAGGAATTTGACTTGTTGTATCGGTGCTAAACAATTAACAAGGAAATAAAGCAGAACTAGCAACAACTTAAATAGTACAGTATAAGAAGCCATTACAATATATAAAATAGAATTTAAAAATGTAAAAAAAACACAAAATGTACAAAAGGTGCCATGTAGGAGCTGTGCAGTGGACTATGAGAAAAAAAAATCACAATTCACAATATGAGTTCAGAAATATGTAGTTTGTAAGGACTGATAAAGAAAGTAGCTTGAAAACTTTTCACTTGTAAGCCCCCATACACATTGCCAAACTAAACTTAAATCCATCCATCCATTTTCTTTACCACTTTTTCCCCGTTCGGGGGGCTGGAGCCAATCCCAGCTGTCATTGGTCGAGAGGCGGGGTTACACCCTGAACTGTTCACCAGTCAATCACAGGGCTGACATATAGAGACAGACAACCAGCCTCACTCACATTCACTATACTTAAAAGTAAGCAATATTTTTCATCTTTCAAAATGGAAATACATTTATAAGTTGCAGTCTTCATCATTTACAGTACACTTCAACAGGCTGACAAGCACTCCCTTTGAGAGCTACTTAGGCCTTTTCTTTTTAGAGTAGTGACCTGTAGCTTTCATTTCTTCAATGCATGTGGCCAAAAATTTCTCCAATGACTCTAATCCTTCTACCAGAGGCTCAGCTTTTTGGCTCAAATTATGTTAATTTTGACAAGAAAAGGAAGAGTTATTTTAAAATGAGTTATGCGGCTTATTTAGCTTCTTATGTTAGTAAAATTGAACTTGACACTGTTTTAGAGCTGTATTATTTAAGCGTGTTCTTTTTAATGTTTCTTCAGACCTCCCTAAAGATGAGCTTCAGGCGGCCATAGAGCTCAGCCTGCAGGAGTCCCACAATGCCCAGGAAGAAGAGAGAGAATTCCACAGGTAACACGGCGCCCTTTTTTAACAGTGCTGAACTGACACAGCTGGCTGTTGTTTTTTAATTTACTGTCGACTTTGACGGAGAATGGTATGAAAATGTAAATGGTGGATTGAGAAGTGTGTGAGCTCTCTGATTTTATAACTAAAACGATAAGATAGATTATTGTACAGGCATTCAGCCATGGTAACTTCAAACAACCTGAGCCGATGCAAAACAGAAACTCCCAAAAGAAAGACAAAAAAAACTCTGAAGGACTCCTTCACACCAGCAGAATCCAAAGAAAGTACAGGAGCACACGGATCACTTGCAGCACATTTATTAGAGTAAAAAGGACTAACTGCGTCGAAACGTGAAGGAGTCCTTTGATTTATTACCTTCACAGAGAGCCCCGACCTCCATCTGTGGAGGAGCTGAAGCGCAAGAGTTTCCCTCTACAAAGAAAAACTCTTCTTCACCTGTTTCTAAATGTATACAAGTTAATAAATCTAGCTGTCAATGAGAGGTAATAACTCGTTTAAATGGGCAGACAGCTGGTCGGCACTTATTTGATTGACTTCACACGTATTTGTAATTTACTGTGTTGATATCCTGTCGGTTCATTAAGTGCTACATCGTATATCAGAGTTTTAAATAATCCTCTGAGGCTTCTAAGTAGTTGACATAAAACATGAGTCGGTGATTAATTGTTTCCTGAAACGCCCTCTTTTTTTCTTCTAGTCCTTTCATGAGGTTGACATTCTTAGAAAAGTTGGAAACATTAGATTAGATTAGATAAACTATATTGTATGTCCCAACAGTGACATAAATCCTCCTTTGACAAGGCTCAAACAACAAACACAATTTACCTTTAAAACACAAAGTACAGACATTAAAAGAGGACTGTTTCAAACAACGGCTGATAAAAAGTGTCTATTTGATTTCGTTCAGGATGGTTGTTTGCAGAGGGAATGAAGGATTTTTTTGTGGATGTTTTTCCGGGCCAGAGGTCCTTAACTGTAAGGAGGGGTGAGAGGGGGTGAGAGGGGTCTTCTGTGATCAGGGTGGCTCTCCTGATCACAGAGCGGTCATACAGTTCAGTGAGGGGGAGGTTGAAGGATGAGCCGATTATTTTGCTGGCCTGATTAACTCTGCGGGAGAGTTTTAGTTTGTGTTTGCTGGTGAGGGGAGTTGTATCATGTTGAGATATTAAAAGTGAGGATGGATTCATTAAGTGATCGGGAAAGCAGAGTTGAAATGTGTTTGCTGACATGACAGCTTTAGTATCCTCATCAGGTGGAGACGCTGTTGTGCTTTTTTTCCTATAGGCTTACCTTTTCAGAATGCTGTGAAAATGAGTGACAGGTGTCCCAAAGCAGAAAGCGTAGTACAATGTCGACAACAGTTGAATGTAGTCGATACCTTTTTAGTTGTATGACCAAAATCCTGAAAAAGAATTGACATGTCTATCAGCTATACTTAGCATTCTGTGTGCTTAACTAGGTTTGTCTCAATCATACTGATTTTCTTGCCAAAACATCACCATGGTAACGTCTTCATTGTAAGCATGGTGCTGTCCTGCCGTTAGGATACCAGGTATTAGCTTCTGTTTTATGACTTTAGGGTATTTCCTCTTCAACTTATCATCATCTTATTTTACAATCCACACACAGCACAGGACATTCAAACAAAATAAAAGCTGTGTTTACAGAGTCGTCAGTGTTTTTGCTTTGAAATGAGTGATGTGATGCACCGCAGGGCTCTGGAGGCGAGTGTGGAGGAGAACGCGGCGAGAATGAAGAGGAAGCGATGTGAAGCCCAGAGCGAGATGTGCAGCCCTGCAGACTGGATCCGTCAGGACGACTGGCCCGTGGGCATTCGCAATGTTGGAAACACCTGCTGGTTCAGCGCTGTCATCCAGGTGAGAGAGGGAGGGACCGGTTTGGTAATAACTTTTGCGGGTGGAAAAGCGATGGCTGTGCGCTCTGGTGCGATTTGATAAAGCGTTTGTGCACTGAGAATTAAAGTGCTGCACGTGCATGTTGTCTCTATATGATCCACAGTGCTCACATGCTTTTTACTTTATGTTTTATATTTGAGTTTTTTTCCCTTCACTATGAGCATCAAACAGACGAGGCTTACACTCCTACTTTGTCTGGAGACGGAGAAGGGAGGTTGTGAGTACAGGGTTCGATCCATAGCAGACAAAAATATGGGGAATATCATACTTTGAAAAGAGCGTTGGTGACTTCAACAGCAACTTTCTAAAAAGTTGTAAGATTTACAACCCATTGAGCTGCTGCAAGCACTCTCCTTATTGCTAAAAACATTCTATGTGGACCCAGAGCCTTGGGTGTTCACCTTTTCAAAACGTTTCTTCGATCCTGTTTGGCTGAAACATTAAATGTCTCTCTCACTTTGCCGTACAAACATTTTTATACTTGGAATTTCTCTTCCAAGATTTCTAACTCTAGTCCATCAGAAGAGCCGCACCATGTGTGCAGTCAGCAAATGTTCGTTCTGCTTCTTTTTTTTTGTTTAACAATTTTTATTGGGTTTTCAATTAGCAACATCAATGTACATTTGTTTGCAACATACATGTTTAGCACAATGGAATGGATATTGTCTAAAGTATACTTGAACTCCTTCCCTCATCATTCCCTCCCAACCCAGCCCTCCCACCACCCAAGTGCCCCCTCATGTCCAGATGTTACACGATAAATATTGCATTATTGTTATTAAAATTAATAACATAGATATGCAAACAGACAAAATGTAAAGCAATATATGTAAAACATAAAATAATAAATCAATTTTAAAAAGGGTCAGATAAAATAAACAGAAGAAAGGAAGGAAAAAAGGAAATTAGTTAGAGAAATAATAGTGATGCAATTAAATAAATAAATAAATAGGAGAAAGGGGGGGAGTCACCTCTGTTCGACCTCAACGTTGTTATTCATCCTTAACCAGTGGTACCTGTAAGCTCTCATAATACTCTAAAAAAGGGGTCCAAATCATCCTGGAATCTTGTAGTGATCCTTTTAAGGTATATCATATTTTTTCAAGTTTCAGGAAGTGCATAATGTCCTTGATCTATCTGTAAAAGGTGGGGGGTGTTTGCTGTTTCCAGGCGAGAAGGATGAGTTCATTCTGCTTCTAACCCTGTAATATAATTTCATTTTTGTTCAGAGCGTAACTGTGGTTTTATTATTTGCCATCTTGTGTCTTTCCTGTGAGCGTGTTCAGAAGTATTTCCCCCATGTGTTGAGAAACTCCGAGACTGCAGACAGACCTCCCCTCAGTGTCACTTCTCATCAGCTCTGTACCATCCTAGTTTTATTAGAAGCTTCGGGAATATAAAACAAATCATGGGCATACGTTTCTCTGAGCTCCAAATTCTGTTACGCTTACATCCAGGACTGAATTGAGTCGGGACTATCAGGTGGCTCGGCAGAAACCAGAGCCCTCGTTGAGACGCACAGACTGCGTAGATAATTAAATAGCAGTGATGTGATGATGGAGCGAGCGGTGATCTACTTCTGAGTCTGAAATGGACAGAGACGGGACGGTGATGCGCCGCCTCCTATACATCGATACTGAAGTCAAACCCCCCAAAAGGATGGTGGATGTGATTTGGGGATAAAAATGGGGCGTAGAGGAAGTGTTGTTTGAACATACTGTGTTTAAGTTAAAGCATTTTGCTTGTTTTTTTTCTTTTCTAGTGTTTGTTATTGTTTGTATTTGAACTGATTGGTTTAGATCAAACAGAGCCTGACTCCCGATAAAGCATTCCCCCCTCAAAAAGTAATTATGCTATCAGATCCGGGCTGAGTGACCACACGAGTCAGTCGTCGGCTCATATTCCCTTTATTATCCTTTGTGGTTTTAAATTACAGTAAAACCGAGATAAGCTGTAATTGAATTTCCTACTCGTGTGGAAATATAGATCAAGATATTCATAAGTGCTCCGAGGCTCAGGCACTCACACCAGACTAAACGAGTGGCTTTAATGTGTTTAGGGAAAAACAAGTATCTCATGACAAAGTGGACTATGAGCTGTAAAATGATGTTTAAACAAATAAAAAAAACATTCTTTGAAACATATTTCTCACGACATTAGCATCTTACTTGTTTTATTCCAGAAGATATAGGAAATCAATTTCATTTTTAACTTCTTATCTAGAGCTTAATTAACATCTTAATAACTTGTAATGTGCATAATAAACCTCTTCACATGAAACAGTGCTCCCCCAGCTATTCTTTCAGGATCCTCAATGTTACAGCCAAATATTACACTAATTATAATTCAAATTTTGACGAATGAAACATGAAGGCTAAAGGTCATTCTTAACTCTTCTCTCTGTTCACTTGACTGAAGAAGAGGCTGTATTTATTTTAGGCAGAAAAAAAAGTTTCAACACCAACTTTTTGTGTTAGGCTCCTTAAAAGTTAATCAATTGTGCAAGAGAGTAGGGTTTACTTATAATATAGAACATGACGTTTTTTGATATTCTCAACTTGTGAAATCTTGCGGGCATGCTGCATCTTTTCTGTTTGTTCATTTTTTTATTCATGCAAAGAAATCCTGCCTTCACTGTCTGCCTTTTTGCATCAAGTTAATTTAATTCATTTAAAGACCAAGATGGAGTCAAACCCATCTGTTAAGTTTTTTTTTATTGATAGAAAGCATTCATAGAAATCCACAAAAAAAAGATTACAGATGAATGAACGCCTCCTACACAATCATAGAAGTTCATGACAAGGTGAAGGAGGTCCTAATCTTGCAGCAGCAAAGCAGACAAGTTGTTTTTGTTGATTTAAATACCCACTATTTGCTGATTGCTCTTTTATTGTGTCAAAGAAATAAAGAATGTGATGAAAAAAATAGCGTACTAAATGATATTAGCGTGAGGAACAGCATTCTGTTTCGTTAAATGACTAAAGTGTATTTCGCATTTGGCGGTCAACTGACCTTTACCTTAAGGCGGCATTAAAGGTCTCTTTATGTTTTTCTCGTTACAGTCACTTTTTCACCTGCCTGTGTTCAGGAGGCTGGTTCTCAACTACCATCTGTCTGAGCGAATCCTGGAGAAGTGTAAGAGCCATTCTGTGAGTAAACTCCTGATGCGCAAAGTAAACAAAAGCACTCATCTAATTCATACTTTTAATTCACACCATTACATTTTTCTAAATGTATGGTGTTTTGCACATTATGGAGTGAGGTTGCTGGGTTCTTTCTGTGAATATAAACTCAAAAGCCCCGATGAGATGTTTTGGAGAGGGTACAGTTTGACTCTGAGTTTGTCTGAACAGGACAAGAGGAACATAGCTTTCATGCAGGAGCTGCGCTGTCTGTTTGCCCTCATGGTGGGCTCCACTCGCAGGTTTGTGGATCCCTCTGCAGCCGTGGAGTTACTGCGAGACGCCTTCAGGACCAGTGAGGCCCAACAGGTACAAGCATGTTTGTGTCATGAAAGAGAAACCTGGATTTTAAGGAACTGCTCTGAGTGCAGGGTCCCGTGTAGTTGGATCCAGTTTCAAGAGGAAGCACGTTATGAAATCAAGTTGCTCTGGCTTTTAATGTTCACCAAAAAGAGGTGAATTAGTTTACATCATGTGTTTTATAGCTTTCAAACAAAAAAAAGACTGAACAAGGATCCACTGCTCGATGAATCTGGTGTTAGATAATCTCCAGCTGTGGGCGTTTGAGGCTCAGCCGTTCAGATTGCTTCTGCTGCATCTGGGAAGTCCGTCTTCTCAGATCAAACACCCCTCTTTAGCATCTTGTTTCAGATCTTATTAATGCAACATTTCAGGGTACACAAACCTGCTGTATGGCCACTTCCTTTGTCCTTTTACTTGTGGATGTTTATTTTATTAACAAAGAAACTGCATGGAAATACAGATCAAGTAAAGTCTCACCACTGTGTCTCTTTTTGAGTCTTTTCTCTGCTCTCTCTCTCTCTCTCTCTTCCTCTTCCTGTCTTGCTCATTTTCTAACAAGGCGATAAAGATTTTATTTCTGTTATAGGAGAATAAATAGAGAGTGAGATCGATTGTGCCTGTACCTAAACATGCAGCATCAGTAAACCCTCAAAGAGACCGCCTCGTGTAAAGGGAGACTGTGTGAAAAAGCATCTTCTAAAATGCTCACTCATTGGGTGTGAAGAGTGCATTAATTTAGGCCAGGTTTGCCCATTGATTCCATAGAATAACATGTAATGTACTTTTAACCATATCAGGAGATTAAGTTTGCTCTGTTGTCATGGAAACACTGTAGCTCAGGTGTAAAAAAAAAAGTCCTATTTGTGGATGAGATTGGTTTGAAACCTTTGGGGAAATTAACCTTTGATTGAGATTTTTTTTAACTACTTCCAAATAAAGAGTTGGCGACATATTGATTCTTTGAACATGCATCTGTTCTTTAGTATTACTATAACAACATCACATTCTTATTAAGAATCAATACATGGACATTTTCTTTCTTCTTTTTAGGATGTCAGTGAGTTTTCTCACAAACTTCTCGACTGGTTAGAGGATGCATTTCAGCTGGCTGCCAAAGGAAAGTAAGTGACAAGTTCAGTCACCCACACAGTTTACTATTCTATCTCTAATTAACCCTCTTCAGACTGCTTTTTCTCAAAAGTCCCACTAAGCTCAGCCGTCATCACGTCTTTGAACATTCATATTGATTCCCTGACGGCATAATACTGGTGTCCAAGTCTGTGAATTCACATTTTCAGAAAGAAAGCCAAACGTCACCGGAGCCTAAATGTTTGGCTTGAAACAGGTGTCTGAATAGAACAATTGTTCATGATAAATATGTCGTGGTTTCCTTTTAGCAACGCAGAAGACAAACAACGTAACCCCATGGTTCAGCTTTTCTACGGGACCTTTGTGACAGAAAGAAGACATGAAGGTATGAAACACACAAGAGTATGTTTTTTTTAATGATGAAGATAAAAGTGATTTCTGGTCTCACTCTCGTCACACCTGTGGTACTCTGTTTTAGGTAAGACTCTGTGTAACATCGAGCAGTTCGGCCAGTACCCTCTGCAGGTCAACGGCTTCAACAACCTGGACGAATGCCTCGAAGGAGCGATGGTAGAGAAGGAGATCGAGTCGGTGCATTCAGAACACAGCGTCACTTCTGGACGAGAGGTGAACCGTTTTATCAACTCACCACTTACGTACAGAAATAGAATATTTGTATTTCAGTGTTTCTGCAGTTTGATGCTTTGCAGAGATAATAGTGTTTTGTTTTCTTTGCAGAGGTGGTTCAAAAAGTTACCACCGGTGTTGACATTTGAACTGTCGAGGTTCGAATTCAACACTCAGCTCGGCCGTCCTGAAAAGATTCACAAGAAGCTGGAGTTCCCTCAAATTGTTTATATGGACAGGTGAGCTTTGTGCAGATAACACAGCTTTGACATGACTCCCTCATTTAGCTTTACCTGCTTCAAAACATTCAGCTTTCTGTAAGGGACACCATGTGCTGTACACAATTTCACACAAACTTTTGCCATCAGAAGAGCAAAGTGCACCATAATTGTTGATTATAAATTGTTGTGTTGTGTGTATTTTATTTGTTTTCATGGATCCCTACACATACTGATCAATATTGTTAAATGTTTGTACAGATATCTTCACAAAAACATACAAGAGACCCATGAGCGGAGATGTGAGGTAAAAAGCTCAAGGAACAGCTTGCAGCCCTTCAACAGAAACTCGAGTGGTACGTTTCCTTTCAAAAGACAAAACAGGTAGAATATTTCAAACGTGTACTGATCGTGTCCTGTGTTTATTCACAGCTACAAAAACTACGGCTCAGGACCTACCAAGTATCCTCTGGCTGACGTGCTGCAGTTTGTTCTGGAGTTTGCCACCACCAAGCCTACAAGTGTTTCCCCAGCTGAAGACCTCAGACCGACTTCTCCTTCACCAACTCCTGCAAGCCACCCGCTCAGTGACCCCGCCTCCAAAGATAGCAGGTAGAGTGCAAAAGAAGAGACAAGCACTAGTTTACAGACTGAAGTTTCTTCAATGCAAACCTTACAGCCGGTCTCTGCTTCTTTTCCTGCTTCCTTCAGTGAACCTGAAGACACAGAGTCAGCCGAGGGACTGGTTTCCGGTGTTTCCAGTTGCCAGCGGACTCCCATATACAAGCCCTTCACCCAGTGCAGACACCCCATTGACTGCCCGCCACACCCGGCCCCTCACAGCGTCACAGAAGAAGAGCTGCACTTTGTAAAGACCTGCCTACAGCGTTGGAGGACTGAAGTAGAGAACGACATAAACGGTAAGACAAATAATAAGAATACACACTGACATTGTTTTAACACAATAATCAACATATTTATAGTGAGAGTCAAATAAAGTAAGCCTCATTTGTAACAGGAAGTTCATTCTCTTTTTTCAATTCTCCTCTCCAATCATTTCCATTTCTCTTTTCGGACGATCAAATGTTGATTTTCCTGGGTTGGTTTTGCATATTTTGCTCTGTAATTTGGATTTTTATCTGCTAAATGCTGCAATATGTTCATTAGTTTGTTGGTCATTTTGACCATTATTTGAAGTAGTATAGCTGCCTGTCCTGGCTGGAAAGGTTGATAAGCTGTAAAACCCAAATGATGAGCTGAAAGACACAGGCAATTGCAGCTCAAGTAAAGGACAATTTTGTCTGCCGCTTTTCGCTTCATGGTGCGTTCTAATTCATAACTCCTTCGTGCGAACGCGAGGTGAGTGGGGTTGGAGGTGTGTCGCTGGAGGAGAGCGGAGGCTTCAGGATAGCGGAGGTGTAACCAAACAGCAGTTTGTTTTGGTTTCATGCTGGTGCTCATCTACTGGATCAAAAAGGTTGCACGTTCTTCCTTTAAGGAATACAAAGAAGACTGACAGAGCTGCTTAACTGTTTGAAAAATGGCCATATATGCCTGTGTCTCCTTGGACTCATGCCTGTCATATTTTGTTCAACTGTATTTCTCTGACTTGAATACTAACTGGCGACCTTACTTTCCCTAGCTTTGTTATTATTGAGTTGTGATAACTAAACAGTAAGTGTAAAAATAAATGAGAAATGAATTTCCTCTCTGCTGCAGCTGTTCTATATTAATCCGTTTTCCTTCTTGGGGATTTTCATTTTGTTTGTGTTGTAGAGCTCAAGGCCAGTATTGACAAGCTCACTCAGATGCTGGAGGGCATGTACTCAGACAACAACCTCTGCCAGGTGAGACTTGCACTCACACGATTCACTCTGAAAACAGCAAATTCAATTACATGTTTAACATCTACAGCTGCAGAAGTGGCATCGACTTGAGAGAAGATGAAACTCATTGATGACTGCAGGGAATCCAAAAATAATCCAATGTAAAGTAGAGCAGTAGAATACAAATAGGAGAGATCAGAGGAATGTTTTCCTGCAGGGATTTAAAGTTGACTTCAAAATCTTAAAAAAACAAAATTGTAGTGATTGAGTGTTTTATATGGTGGGTCTTTTCTTTGTTCAGGTACCCTACAGACTCCATGCAGTGCTGGTCCATGAAGGCCAGGCGTCAGCAGGTCATTACTGGGCCTACATCTACGACCACGCCAACCAGCGCTGGATGAAGTACAACGACATCAGCATCACTGAGTCATCGTGGGAGGAGCTAGAGAGAGACTCGTTCGGGGGGATGACCAACGCCAGTGCCTACTGTCTGATGTACATCAACGACCGGCTACCACAACTTATCACAGGTACACACGTGTGTTTTTAGTCAGTCACTTGGGATTCGATGAAGGTGAAAAAAGATCATTATAACTTAATGTAAACATTTTTCTGCCGATTGAAGGATTCTCAGAATTCCATCATTAAGCTGTTGACAAATGCCAGCCATAGTTCTGTGCGATACCAGTCATCCTTGTGGCGACACTGGTGCAGTTGTCTTTTATAATATTGGTGATGTTTTGTCTGTCTGTATGTGTTTTACCTGTGTTTTTATTTTTGCTTGTTTCTTTTATTTTAATTTTTAATTTTTTTTAATTTTTAATTTTTTAATTTTTTAATTTTTAATTTTTTAATTTTTTAATTTTTTAATTTTTAATTTTTTAAATGTTTTCTAATGTTTTCTGACAATAAAGATGATGATGATGATGATGATAAGTAAAGAAAAATATTACTAAAAAAGCCATCTATACACATACACACTGCAGGTACGTCTGGACTCCAGCAACAGGAAGTGTAAAATAGTGACAGTAGTGTCCGCAGCAGAAACTCAATGCTACATTAGATATCAGGAAGAGCTGCCGTGATCCCTGTTGGATCATGCATGAGAAGTACTTGGTATCTTTTGGTTGAAATTATTATAATATTGCTGATGCAGTAGCTCAACACACATGCACCAATCTATCTGCATATATCTCTTCTTGTTTTGGTGCAGCCTACATGATGTTCTTCTTCTTTTTGAAGGTAGTAACATATTAGCTTACAGTATGGTAACGAGTATATCATTTAAATAGTATATTCTTATCTAGTCTGTAGTTTAGTTTATTTGTTTATTTGAATCAGGGACAGTGTACAAAATAAAATTAGGTTCAGAAGAGGAAAGAAGCTTTGTACCAGATTTAGCTGCACAGCTAATTTCCGTCTGTTGATGGGCTGATGATGGTGACGGTGAACTTGATGTTGAGAAGGAGGCTATTTCATAATGTTAAAAACTTAAACAGTAACAGTACAGTACTCTATTTTAAACATGATTTAAATCTATATACAAACAGTACAAATGAAATATTCATGCCTCTGTGTGACTAACTGATCATGTCTGTATAATTATTTTCTAACACCTGTCAATGCTGACACCAGGTTGGGTTCTGTTAAACAAATGACAGATAGCTGACAGATAAAAAGAGCTGAGTCATCATTTCCTGTACAATGTTTCACAGTGAGTAGAGAGTCAGACATTTTATTTTGTTAGATATAAAATTTGTGCATGTACGGAGCAGGATCTGCTAAGAGTAGAGGACTACTTCTCGTCACCGGCTCAGATGATAATCACAAAATCATGACTGCTTGAATTACCACTGAAAAAAAAAAAATAATTAAAACAACAAATGAACTTTAATGTTCAGTACAAAAGGTCAGTATTTTATTTTATTCAGTCTTTGAACTCACAATAACCTTCATCCTCGCAGACGACACAGATGATGAGACAGGCCAGGCGCTGCACGGCATGGACTCGCTGCCCTCAGTCCTCAGGCGCTACGTCCATGAAGATAACCGCTGGTTCCAGCAGGAGCTCAGCGAATGGGAGGAGCAGTTCTGTCAGACCGCCGCCCCACAGGGAGAGTCCACCGCCTCTGCAGAGCCCCCGAACTCAGATCCAGAAAATGTACAACAAACACCAGTGGAGCCAGCGCCCCAGTCAGGACCCTCCGCTGAAGAGCTGGATCAGGGTGACGGCTCAGAACAACAACCAGACCCAGACCCGGAGGAGGATCCTGAGCCTGAGTCTAGAGAGAACCCTGAAGGTTTGTTGTGGTGACAAGAGAAATGAGACTGTGGAAAAAGTTTTTATGAGCTTTAAAAACCCCCATTGTTAATTATGTGTAGAGAACTGCACGGTCATCAATTCAGAAAAATGCAAAGGCACAAAAACATGTAGTAAACACAAACTGAATTCGCACTATGAATTAAGTCAATTCTGCTCATTTGTAAGCTACGGAAGCCCTCAGCGGACATAAATCCAAACTTTACATTTTAACTCTGTAATGCACTTTGGATGACCTCGTTGGTTTTAAATGTGCTGTTTAAATAAACTTGACACAACATGACATTTGACTTAATTTTCCAGAGATAACAAGTAAATCTTGATCTTATTTATCTCATTGTCTTGGGATAACAACGCTGGTTTTCCCATGATAAAAAGTTTATTTCTCCAGAAAACGACTGAAATGTACCTGTTACCACATCAAAACTGAGGAAAAATCAAATGCATGGATCAGTGTCCTCTTAGGGCTTCCGTAGTAGGCTAAAATAATGGTCACCTTTTTGGAGATCACAAATTTAACAGTCTGAAGATTATCAAGTATAAATGCATCGTTAATTAGATTATCGATTTTTAACAAATTGAAGAGATAATCTAGCAAAATGATAGACCATACATTATAAAATATGGATGTAATCTCAGTGATGTCACCCGTCGGTTTCTGAAGTGCAGTTTTGAAGCCTAAAGAAGGCGGCTGCCATTTGAATTGCTTTCTCAACCAAAACAGGCAAAGAGGTGAAGCTGAACGGGAGTTAAGCTTCCTGAAAAGCCGCTACAACAAGCCTGCTTGCAGTAAATATCAGTCACACCCTGAATTATTTATAACTTTTATCCTTCATAAAATGAAAGCAGATGAATTATAAGAAAGAAATCACCACCTGTACAGCATGTGCTGATTAAGACATGAGATATTCAGGCAAAAAAAATGCACGAGCTGGGAAAATGTTATTACTTTTTTTTTTATATTGATTTTAATCTGAACTATTCAGGGGCTGAGTCAATTACAGCGTACAGATATACAATGAAAATTGTATTCGTGTCTGCTGTCAAATTGGACATTTTGATACAGGGTGGACCTCCAGGTGTTGTTCAGCCAACCTAAAGCGGACACTCTGGGAACATCAGCTTTTTGCACCTCCACTTTTCTTAATTTTCAAGAACCCGAGGTTGCCTCTTGTACATGACCCACAAGTGGAATTATGTAACTACCAAACTGTACTTTTTATATGACCATTATATGTTCTCATAGCTTCTCTCCTCGCTTTGTTTAACTCCAGAAGAATCAGAGTCAACACCTCCACCACCATCACAGACCCCTGGCTGCCTGTCAGACGACACCAGCAGCACAGCGGTCACCGACACCCTGGGCCCCCGCCAGAGCTCCAACACAGCTGAGAAAGAGCTTCAGAGTCAGGTGGGAAACCCCCCCCCCCTGTTCCCCCCTATCTCTGCAAAATGGGTCAGAAATTCTAAGCCACAAATAAAGTGTGTACTTCTGGGTCAAGGATCTGATGTCTCCACTTAGCAAGAGGAGATGCGGGCTTGATGTCAGGCAGGTCGTACAGATAAAGTAAAGGTCAGGAGTAGTTACTGCCCTCATCTGATTTGTTTGACAGTCAGCAGCTTGTATCATGTTCTGTCACTGAATCATTTTTATTATTTTGTTGTGGTCAAAATATTAAAAACAAACCAACAAGTCCTCAGTGAAAGCCTGAACAGTGATCATAGAACCGGAAACCTTTTACAAGCTTCATAATAATGAGTTTTATTTTAGGCTTTCCAGTAAAGGCTTTAAATAAACTGGTTACTTAGTAAAGGAACGTTAATGTGGGCCAACACAGCGTTTCTCCTGACCCACCTCACAAAATAAGACCAACCTTTCACTGGATACAAATAGACGATTTGAAATTCACACGCTCCCCGAGCTCATTGGAGTGGAGGAGGGGGCGGGTTTGTGTTGTGTTTAAAGTTAAGATAGAAACAGACATTTTCATAATTATATATTCCCGTCTCTCCACAGGTTTTAAGAACTTGTTCAGATGTGCATGTTTTGCTTCGAGGCACACTGTGTAAATCCTGTTATAGACTTTCTATGTGTGCAGGATTTAAACGATGAGGTCCAGCTGAGCTTGTTAATTTAAGAAAAGAAATGCATTCATGAAGCTGCTCTTTCCCTGATATCTTACAGACTGGATCTTCTGCATGTCTGAGAGCAGAGAAACCCACACTAGACAAGAAGAAAAACACTCCATTCTGCAACTGAAAACATGCATTATTAAAAACAAAACAAATATCTTACTGTATATAATAGAATAGAATAAATCTTTATTGTCCCCCAGAGGAGGACATTTGACAGTTACATAAAACAGCAAACAAACATTCAGGCGGTCAATAACACAGACAACACGGCAGCTAGGTCCACACATTAAAAACATTTCGTATCATGGTTCAGATCAGTCATGTTGTGACTTTAAGGATGTTTACTGCACTCGGGATAAATCAAGTCTCAGTTGTCAATTTTTGTTGTATCCATCTTATTTTAGCTCCCCTGCTCTGCCTCAACTTTTTTATTTTCATTTAATTTCATAATTCAGCATACACAAACAGTGACACACATAACACGTGTTGTTCTGTTTGGGATCAGCACTGATGGTTCCAGTCAGGTATTAAATATAAGACCTCAAATTAGAAACACTAATATGACCGTCAAAAATGTGTACATGAACATGTTGAAGCCCCTGACCAGTTCTCAGGTCCTAGGATCCAGGGGGGACTGGATGTGGTACAAGGCCCTTAAAAACCCTTAAGAGGATCGTGGATGTTGATACTGGATACTGAACGTGCATCTTGTTCAATCTTTCTCTGTCAGACTCCTGGTCCTGAAGCAGAGCTCAACAACCAGCCATCATCTGACCCCCATGAGAAGAAAGACGAGTCACAGGGGTCAGACCCCGGCGTAAGAGCTGAAGGCGAGCCAGAAGCTTCTGGAAAAACCCCAGAGCATGAAGAGAAGCAGGAGGAAGAGCAGCAGCAGCAGCAGCAGGAGGAGGAGGCAGAGGAGGAGGTCCCGTCGGTGAGACAGAGACAGGCTGAGAACGAGGTCTCAGAGGTGGAGATCCCAAACGTGGGCAGGATCATGGTGAGAGCTGACGCTGATGGATACAATGAGGAGGTGAGTATGTGTCAGTGTGATAATAATTCAGTGTCTGATAGAGCATAGTCGCACCTGCACACTTTTAAAGTCAGTGCCCAAACAGTTTGATGATGAACTGATGTCAAACAAACCTCAGCTGCTACTAACGGTTTTAACTTCACTTAATTTATTTTTAGTCTGATGTAAAAGCTTTGACTTCACCTGATTGATGAATAGTTCATCATCGATTCAGAGTTAAGCCAAAGTAATCCCCAACCTCTTCTCAGCTTGACCTATAAAGTAAAGAAATCATGATTGATTTCTGTTTGGATTCTCTGCTGATCCTTCACTGATTTTTAAAACACGTTCAGATATTTTCTCTTTTTGGGATAAAATGAAATGTTCTAGCTTTTAGGAACTTTCTCACCACTGACACAGCCCCAGGGTTCAGCTTTAAACTGCTCTAGAAAAAGCTCTCACATTGTTGTCACACAAATGCAGATGGATTTTTTTAACCATGTCTTGGAGATATCCAGTGTTTAATTGTTTCTTTTTTTATATAGTTTTTGGGCTTTGATTGCCTTTATTGAGAGGACAGGACAGTGAAAATGGTTGTAAACTGTGATGAGTGGGGTTGACATGCGTTAAATGGCCGATGGAGGGAATCAAACCCAAAACCCCCGCTTTGAGGGCTGTAGCCTTTTGACCTAGGACATGAGCTTTAACCACTGAGCTAAACCGGCACTTTTCTTCATCTTTTTAACATGGTTGTCACTGACCTGTTTGCTGACGTTATTGTTTTTATCACTGACTGATGTTTTGTTCTCTATGTTTTCTAGATGATGCTGACTCCGGCCATGCAGGGCGTCATTCTAGCCATCGCCAAGGCCAGACAGATATTTGATAAGGAAGGACCAGAGGCCGGCCTCATCAAGGTACGAGCTTTAAAGATAGACTTCTCACCTTGATCAAAATGTCTAAATAATGTTTACTGGAATATTTTGACCAACATCAAATCTTTTCTCTGCCAGTTCCTCAACTGACCCTTAAAAGTGTTTCAAGAGACATTTTAGCTTGAAATCAATCTTTGAAGGGATCCTTTATTCATCATTTACTAAATAAACAAATACTAGCGTGAGTACAGGAAATGCACAGGGCGTCCGGTTAATTTCAAAATAAAACCAAATGTTCAGACTCACGATCGTATTTATCAACACAACGTCAAAACAGGCACCGAATGAACAACATAATCCTCAGAAAGACAAAACAACATGTTGTTTACATATTTTTATCACAATTCCCAAACGCACACAGACTAAGTGAAAGGTAGGCAGGCAGAAAATGTCACCTTTAATTTCTTAACTCTATTAAAAACACTTTCACCCAAACTCTTGTAACACACTCTGTGTGCGTCATTGTGAGGTCAAACACTGCAAGGCTGCATCAAATGAAAAATATCTATTTCCCACTTTGCCAACGATTAGCATATCTTTCAAATTGAGATGTAATTAAAGTGTGAGAGATTTCGCTGTGTTCCCTCAGGCCTTCCACGAGGAGTACTCCCGCTTGTATGAACTCTCCCAGGAGGAGACCTCGCCCCAGGATGACCCTCGTCTGCATCACTCTCTGGTCTACTTCTTCCAGAACAAGGCCCCCAAACGAGTGATTGAGAGGACGCTGCTGGAGCAGTTTACTGACCGCAACCTGAGCTTTGATGAGAGGTGAACACGGATACCAGACACATGGTCCCAAACATTACATTTCACATAATCTGTATTAACATATAGCGGTCAGAATCACAAGATGAAACTGACCGAAGAAAATGGATCACAAACCTAAGATCAAGGAGGAAACTGTTCAACATATCACATTAAAACAAGTTGTGATTCTTAAAGAGTTTCTGTATTAATGGACAATTTGAACAAAAAGCTGAAATATTGTAGTTCAAACCTGACAGGATCAGTTAGTGCAGAAGCGCTTAGTGAAACATGCAGCGTGCCTATAATGCCATCTAGTGTCCAAATAGAGAACTGCAGCATAGTCTGAGTTTTTCAGTTCCAATCAAATTCAACATTTTATAGGTCACATACACAATGAAAGTCAAATACTCAGTGAAATGCTTTTGGTTCATGTCCAGTCACTTAAATATACAATTTTATTTACATTAAATACAATTTTAAATACAAAAAAAAAACAGGAGAGAGAAGAACAAATGTGTATCGTATATAATCATAAATTAATCCGGTTTTATATAAAAAAATAAACATTGTGTTCGTTCTGTACGTGCAGGGCCATCAGCATCATGAGAGAAGCAAGAACCAAGCTGCGCCTCATCAAGCCCGAGGACATGGACATGGATGAATACCTGGTACAGTATGATTAACGGGCTTATCTCATTCTTAATGAATTTATTGTTAGGAGAATTCTGTTTGTGATATTAATAAACACAACTAACATCAGTGTAGTCAAACCTCAAATGCCTCATGCCTCTCAGTCATAGAAATATAAAAGCTAGAAAAATAGAATAAGTGAGCCTCACCTTTACATTTGATTACACGTTTCTTTCCTCAAATTAAGAAATTGTGCTTCATGTAAAATCAATTCTACTGCGTAAACGTTTTGCTGTTTTCCCAGCATACGTAGTCCCCAGCTGAAAATGTTCTCCGATAAATCCACTGTTTACTCTTCTGCTCTGCATCATTTGGAAAGTGATGAGCCTTTTATTTTTAGAGAAACTAACCTTTTTCAATCAGAATCAAAATCGATTTTTATTGCCAAGTACATTTACAATTATAAGGAATTAAGATTAAAATGAACAAGCAATTACAAATATATATATATTATAGAGTATAACAGTATAAAAAGACAAAATGTACAGAAGGTACAATTGACAGTGAGAAAAACTCCCAGCATATATAAATCTACTCACAGAGTGCATGTACACAGAAAATATTAAGCCCAGTGAGCGTTAATGTAACGCATCAGGAGGAGGAAGTTAACTTGCTAGATTGAGAAAACAGGAAAGTGTTGACAGTGTTGAAGAATGTAATTGGTTAATTGTCTTTTTCATTAAATTTGAAATACAAATACAGAAACTCAATACAAATACAGAAACTTGAACGCAATGAGAGAAGAACATAACAAAGAGTCTCACCTGCACACCTCTCAGTTCATCTACTGAAGAATCGCACCTGTCGTCTCTGACACCATGAAGCTGCTACTTCTGTAGAGACAGAAACATAAACAGCAGCTGCAGCTCTGTTTACTGATCAAACAAGAAACATCCAGCAGAAACAAGCAGATGATCTGATCGTTGGTCGTCCTGTCTTCTCTCTCTCTCTTGCAGCAGTGGCACGATGACTACAGGCTCTACAGAACAGTTTTTGTCTACTTGCTGACTGGCCTGGAGCAATACCAACACGGGAAGTAAGTTTACAATATTTACAACCAAACAACCGGTCCTGTCACTCCTGAGACGTGTTCAGCATGTTACTGAAAATACTCATTTTAACTTAAATACTAATAATAACTAATGAGTTACTAGTTACCTCAAATAGTAAGCTCCTAAAGATCAAGCATGTTTCTTAACAAAGGTCTTCACAAAGAGTTTTAAAATAATGAAAAGATTAAATACAATAAACTAAAAAAGAAAATGATACATTAACAATGTACACTGAGATAAATGACTTTTATGAGGTTGTGTTCCTAAAAACCTTGGACATATTTTTTAACTTAAGCTCTGACCTTTCAGAAAAGTTACAAAAATCCTATTGCACATACAGAGAAACCAACGATCCTCTTAGAATCATGACCACAGAACATGAGGACTGATCTTTTTACTGTGTGCTAGAGAAGAAAAGCAGGAATTAAACGTTTACATCAATACTGTTCAGCTGGTCCTATCAGAAATAGATGGAAATATAAAGTCCTTAGTGCAAAAATATATATTTTAATTCTCCATTGCCTCTTTTACTTATTACCATTTTGACAGTATGTGTTGTGTTACTGCATTCTGCCCCTTTAAATATTACAATGAGAGCGGTAACTAGTGCATTGTAATCTGTTCATCGGAGTAACACAGCATTAGGGGCCGACCGATTGTTGGGGCCGATACTGATACCGATATATCAGTCAATATCGTTCTTAGATCTATCTTCGATGTTTAGAGATGGATAGATAGATATAGATATACACACACAGTTATGACGTTGATAGGCTAATATCAGCCGATATCATCAACAGGCAGAGAAATCGGTCGAGCAATAAGTATGATTCCTGTGCATGTAAACAATCAAATTTTGGTTTCAAAACCTTTTCAAACAATCTTAAATATTGTTAGACACAAGTAAACTGTGGCATGTTAACGCCACACAGATCCAGGTTTCTGACCTTTTCATGATGTTGAAGAAAAAAAGTGACTGAGTCGGTGACAAAAGAAACGACTGCTACAGATAACTAGAAATCTGGATAATGTCGTCATCATGTATACTGGGATGTTAATAACCAGGTTTCTCAAGTTCCATGTGAGTATCATATATATAAATACACCTGGATTATTCAAAAGCAGGACACTAATGAGCATAAAAAACTCTCAATGATGAGTTCAGTTATCCAGACTTACTGATTGGCTAGTTGTGGGATTGCTTTAAAGATCAGCATGATGACTGTTTGCTGGTGTGTCTGTGCTGCAGGATGAGGGAAGCGCTGACTTACCTGGCTCATGCGTATGATACGAACGCCACCCTGCTGAAGAACGGAGAGAAGCGTGGCATGGACAAGTCTCTCATTGCAGTGTACAGGAGGAAATGCCTCACAGTGAGTACACGAGCTCGAGCAGAAATGTGTGGTGAATCATGAAAACACTGAATTCAATCCATCCTGTTCAGGCTAAAGTGAAAATAACACATTTTTTAAAGGAATAACACTCTTTTATTTATGTACTTTGTGTACACAAGCAGTTTTTTTTTTTACCTGCACTGGATGAAACGTCCCTCAAAGGTGGCCATCTTGTTGCAACAATCAATACTCATCTGATATTTCATGATTATTGGCCAATAGTTGCTGACATATTCAGGTCTGTTATGATGCACCATGGGAGGATAAGTTACTGGTATGTTAAAAAAAATACCCAATGTTTATACACAGGTGATACTATCAGATAAAAACCTTTTCAAATACACAGACTAGAAGATCTACGGGTAAAATATAATCTGAGGGTGTAGAGAGAAGTTTTTTTTTATTGTATAAAAGGATGAAATAATTTGTTTTCAAACATAAAACCTTATATGGATATGAGATTGTACCATGTTTTTATATATGGTAGTTATAGACCTATTATTTGTCGCCTGTTGTTTTAATAACTGTCTACTCTAAGACAGTGGTTCTCAACTGGTGGGTCGGGACCCAAAAGTGGGTCCCAGAAGCGTTTTTAGTGGGTCGTGAATGTGTGCCTGGGAAAAAAAAAACCTGTATCAAAGTCTATAAATTGATTTTAAACATATTTGTCTTGTACCATTTCATTACTCTGCGTTACATGTGTTAAAACTGCACGATTTGTCATTAAATAACTCGGATTGGTTGAAAAATATCGTACATTTGGGAAGCGATTTGTCATGAAGCAGTTGGTGGTGGATCCTGAGGCTACACCAATGACAACCACTGCTCTAGGATGATATTAAATAATGTGTTTATAAAATTTGTCCTGGAATAAGTCCTTGATAAAATGAGGACAAACAGGGGGCTATGAACATGACGCACTTGACTTATGGTTCTAAGAATAGACGTTGCAGTCAACAATGCTGATTAAGCTCTTTTGACTTCTTGCTCAAAGCCTTTGAGAAAACAATCTCACTAAAAATTCCTAAAAAAAAAGTAACTTTTCTGCAGCTTTGGATCAGAGTCACATGAACTTCAGGCTGCGAGCCAACATGAAAGTGATTATTTCAGGTGATCAGGACAAACATAGGAGCTTAGAAATTCTTCAATCTTAATTCAAATAAGATGACACGTATTGGATCTTTTTAAGAAGTTAAAGATCAGCTACCTAATAGACCATTTGGTGAGATTGTTTTGTTGTCACATGATATGTAATCATACTGTAGCGTACGGTGTTATTAGTATCAACGCACTATTCGATGTGTGTTTATTCTTTGCTGTGTTTAATGAGCATTTGTTACAAACCAATCAAACACAACACAATAAATACAGAGCAAAACGTTTAACAATAACCTTTCACTCTCCCCGCCGTCCTTCTCTTTCCCAACGTCTTCCATTCAGGCGTTAAATGAAAGTGCGTCCCGCATGTTCTGCAGCGGTGAGGAGACCAGTGTGGAGGAGGGCGTCTCCATCATGGACGAGGCCATCATCCCCTGCCTTCACCTGATGAGCCGAGACTCGTCTTTATCCCAGGAGGACCGGGACGCCATGGAGAACATCCGCAGCCACTGGTGCTGCTGTCTGGGCCAAGACATGGAGGGTGAGATTATTAATTCATTCACACATTTTAAAACTTTTCACACTGGGACCAACCAAGATTTGTCTCTCATTTGTTCTTAACAATTGTCCTTATAAGAGGCAGATTCATGAACCTGTTCTTTAACTCAGAATTGTCTGCACCTGTGTTCTTAAATTGATGAATGCCATGTCCACATAAGATGGGATCTGGTGTCAGTTTTTCCTGATTATCACAGAAAAATGCTCCTGCAATGCCCAGGAAAAAAAGGCATGGGAAGATTTTAATAAGGCAGTTTTTTTCTCACCACTGTAACTTTTGCTGCTTTGCTAAAGTGCTCATGGTGGATAGGCCGGGTCTTTGTAATATAACAATAAGTAAGTAAGGTCTTTTACCTGCTTTTTTTAACATAACAATGAGTAAGGTCTTTAACCTGCTTTTTGTGAAGTGTCTCGAGATAACACTTGTTATGAGTTGACGCTATACAAATAAAAATTGATTGATTGATTGACTGCACAGGGCTGTGTGCACACATGAATCAATATAGAGACTTGGGGATTCCCCAAATTAAAAAAAACAAACAAATTAAAAACTGAAAGTGTTTGTGCACTGGTCCCCAAATGTAAACATTACTTTAATCGCTCTGAAAGGGATGCTGGAAATTAAAAAAAAAATTCCTTGCCACACAGTAAGGTTATTTACCTGCACTTCATCCATCCATCCATTATCTTTACCGCTTTACCCGACGGGGTCGCAGGGGGCTGGAGCCAATCCCAGTTGTCATTAGGCGACAGGCGGGGTACAGTACCCCCCTGGACTGTTTGTCAGTCAATCACAGGACTGACATATAGAGACAGAGAAATAGCCACACTCACATTCACACCTATTGGCAATTTTGAACATGGGGATTTAAACCAGGAACCTCCTCGCTGTGAGGCAACAGCCCCTAACCACTGCACCACCATGCAGCCCCTTTTGTAAAGTGTCTTGAAATAACATTTGAAAGATTGACTGATCACAAACTGGTTCTACCTAAAAAAAAAAAAAATACTATATATCCCTAATAGTCTCCAAAAGTTCCACAGACAAAAAACAACTGAAAAACCTATCAGTACAAATGTCAAACTAAAACCAAGCACAAAATCAAATCAATAACTAGCACTACACCCTGAACACATTAAATTTTAGCCAGGTCAAAACCTACATTGATATGAACACTTACAATACTACAATAAACCTCCCATTTCTCCTCCTGTTCTTCTTTTGGTTTCAGCCTCTTTGCAGGTGAAGCTGGGCGAGTTTCTTCCCAGGGTTCTGGACGGCTCAGCTGAGACTGTAGTTCTTAAAGACCCGCCAAAAGTCCACGTCAACCAGGCCCACGACCTGTGCAGCCGCCTGGCGGCTGTCATGGGCTCCATCGACAACACCTCGGTAGTCACTGTGAAGTAAAACCCTGAATGAGACCCTCGACAACCTCCTCGAGCCGTGCATCCCCACCTGCAAGCAACTTTACTGATGGATCGTTCTCTGCAGACAGACTGTGGTTGAGACCGAGTGTAGATTTCCATTTGCCAAATAATTTAATTTTATCTGCAGGATTAGCACAGCCTGTTCATATCATTATGATGTTTTAACACAGAAAGCTGCGGGCAACCTTTAGGGGTAACATACCAGTATTAACTAGATCAATGGGTTTAATTGAATTGAATTGAATTTTATTTGTATAGCACATTTCATACAAACGTAAACTCAATGTGCTGTACAGAAGACAAAAAAATAATAAACAAGACAAAAAACATCAAAAAACTAAATAAAATGATAATAATAAATTAAGAAGTGGATTCAAGAGCTCCCTTTAAACCTAAACATATTTGTAGGCCTCTGCAGGACAATTGTAACAGTATCAGTGAATCATAGCGGCCTCCAGGAGCAGCAGAAAAAGTACAAAAACTGTAGCTCCAAAGTAAAGATGATATTTTCCTCAGACCTGCAGAAACTGGCGACCCCAATGCAACTGTTGGGTTTAAAAAAACAAAACATGTTAACATCCCAAACACATGAGTTCTACCTCCACAGGCTTGCAGGTTGCCACCATCATGGCCAGTTGTGGTTTATGTCGTGGCTTTTGACCTTTGTTAATAATAACAGTCCTGTGTGGAGGTGAGCTTCTCGTTAGTGTTGAATTCACCATTCAAACGTTTCAGAGGACGTCAGAAGTGTAACTCTGTGGAGCTCAGACATGAACTCTTCTATCGGCCGGCCAACTCTCAAACAAAACTAAAAAACTGGCATTAACTCGACTGTCGCTCAAAACCACAGGAAGTGACTACAGGATCTGTTGTTGTGTTGCTAAGCAGTGTGAACGCACAAAACGTTGTTTATAGAGGGCAGAAATACATTTTAAAAAAGCACTAGATTTATACTGCACAATAACATACTGTTTATGAGCTTTTTTGAATATATGTTTTATATTTCTTTTTATTTTCCTATACAGATTCTAGGATGTGTTACATGTAGGTGAAGCTAGAAAGAAAGATATCTACTGAGCTGTTATGCATAGAAATTACTCATGACGGGGCATTTTGTGCAATTAAGAAAATAATGAACTGCTGCGCCAGCTGATGCACGGGCTCCAGTAAATCTGATGATTAGTTACAACTCTTCTTGTTACACGTTTGACAGCGCCTCATGGTCACCCCCCTTGCTCAGCAGACGTGCCTTTTCTCCTCTTTGTGAGGAGTTCTTTACAAACCATGCAAATGCCTTTAAAGGGAAAGTCACAAGATGAAGTCCCTTTTCTGTGTTGTTCCATATGCAACAAAGTCTCATGAATGAATTCTCTGAATAACGATTTTCATGACAGCAACGTGGAGCCTCTCTGGTAGCCAATCCTTGCTGCTGATTTTAACTCTGCTATTTCATCTGTTGTCTTTGACGACACTCAATAAATATTTTAAATATTCCATTTTCGCCTCTTTTTTTTAATCGACTTTCTTTTTTTATCTTTTATCGGCCGGCCAACTCTCAAACACAAACACACTGCATATACTCACAGAGCAATCGTTCTCAACCCCTGAAGCCTCAGAACCCACCACCAACTCCTTCATGAGAAATTGCGGCCCAACTGTCCGACATTTTTCAGCCATTAAGATTCAAAGATAAACCACCTAGAATGGTACAAAACATGAGACAGAACAAAGGAACAGAACAAAACAAACACATTTGAAAAGCACTTCATTTACTTTTTGACACAATTATTTTTCAAGGCACACCTTCGTGACCCATTGAAAACTGCTCTGCGACACCACTTTTGGGTCCCGACCCACCAATTGAGAACCACTGCACTCAAGAACCAAATATTCATTGATATGCACCTAAAAAAAAACACTTGAATGCCCAATTTAGTCCTGATTGTATGGACTAGCTGGCTGTTATTAGAGTTAACTGGACCTTTTTTTAAGTATTGAGAAAAAGACTTCTGGTTATTTGTAATAGGCTTTGTTACTTCCACAGACTCACTGATAAACCCTGGCTATTTCTAGTAAAACAAACTGATTTTTTCAAATCATGCACCGGTTTAAACCGCGCACGCACAGCAGAGACATCACAGGTTCAACATCTCTATATGTGCTCTGACCACGTCTCAGCGTTGGTGCTGGAATTCTGTTGTTGTCGTGGCTTTAATTGGCCACAGCACACATAATCTTCCTAAAGTCACATAAGACTCTTTGATCTATGTGAGTAAAACTGCCACAATCAAGTTCTGTGTCCATTATAGAACAAAGTATTTAACATTAATCAAGCTTTAATGCACATCAAAGACATAATTATACTCAGATTAAGACAATTATACTACAGAGTCAGAGTCTGTGGTATGGCAGATTCCATTCTGATTTTCCTTTGTCTGTGTTTTCTGCTCTGACGCTTGATGTGTGATGACCAAGTTCAGGGGGGCAGCTGATAATATATCTAGAGCTGTTTTCAACTTGTTATTGTTTTATCATTTGAGGAATGTGGTGCCATATATGTGTTGTTATCACGTACCAAAAGTAGAAGTAATTTAGTTCTGTAGTTCTGCTTCACACCCCACACTGGTGTTGTCAGCCATTGCTCACTATTTAATGTAAACAGTGTACCTGTGTTGTTACCATCATGGGTACAGGAGCATGACTTAGGGCATCCACAGGATGTTTTGGGCACAGTATTACATTTTAAATCTCTCTCCTCTCCTCCTGCATCATTGAACATTTCTCATGGGTTGCATGACATAACAAAATCGTCTACATTTGGTTACATCACTTGCCACACTTGCATCCTTCTTTAAACAAAAACAAAAAAAAAAGAAAAGAAAAGGAAAAAGTCGACAAAGTATGATTGAAAGAACCCCTGACAATGTGCCGGTGCCATCAAGGAGGCACTATATGGTTCTTCTGTTAAAAGAATGTCTTAATTATAGGTCAGGGAGAACTTCCCTTTAGTTACAGTCATATGACTTTTACACCATACTAATACCTAAGTTAACAATGAAAGGCTGTAAAATAAAAATAAAGTTAGTAATGTTAGATAGAAAACATCATCAACTCTACCTCATATATATTAACCATCTAACTATATATTTATTATCATGTTCATCTCAGCATTTTATTTGCACTACTCACCACTGCACTATTGTCTTATTTAGCCTTGTATATCGTGTTTTTTTTTCCGTGTGTGTGTGTGTGTAAGCATACATGGCCAATAAAGCTGATTCTATTCTATTCTATTCATTTGTGCTTAATCACCAGGTGTTCACAATAGCTGGATCTCTGTTTAAAGTGATTTTAGCTTCAGAAAGAGTGACTGAATTTAGCCTAAACGTAGACTTTTTTTTTATATATGGCATGTTATTGGCTTTAAATTAGTGTATATTATTGTTGTTTTGAAAAGAAAGAAAAAACATTTAACTGGACACATCTTTAAGGGAGAATTCTCCGTGCTTTTATTTTGAAGACAACACGCCCAACCGGAAGTTTTCTTTGGCGGCTTCCCTATTTAAGGTTTAAACGGCCCGAACAGTGGCGTCACTAGGCTGTTTTATTCGGCTGTTATTTAATCAGCCCCGAATATAATTAAAAAGAGAAAATTCAACTTTCCGACGGTCCTTGAACGTCCCACGTTTACCGCACGACAACAGAGCAACAAAATCTCGGTATTCAACCATGGAATTTCCGAGTGTCTCTGAACGCACCGCTGTCAAATTTATCGTCACAGCAGAGAAACGGCGGTTCTGTCCGGTGAGGTGAGTATACCTGTTTATCCAGCAATCTACCACCTGTGAAAACACGACGTTTTAGTTGTTTCAACTGTTAAAACATTATTTATAGACATGATATCTGACATGAGTTTACACATCCGAGAAAATACAGCCTCTATGCACCGTTAGCCTACTAAAGTACCGATGCTAACTGCTGGTCATTTACCACCTCAGGTGAATAATAACCTGTAACTATCCCCAGTCAGATCCACACAGGTAAAGGTCTCACTTGTATTCATTTTACTCTGAAATAACTTGAATGGAACTTTAGATGTCTGGGGATAAGCAGCACAGCAGTCAGTTAGTTATTTAAAGCCGTAATAAACTGCGTATTTTGTTTATTTAGGTAAAGCATACAACAAAAAACGTGCCGCGCAACTCTCGCATTTGCCGCGCTACACCTGGGCTAAGCCCCGGATGTTTCAGAACCCTAGAAACGCCCCTGCGGCCCGAAAACATTTTTTTTTTTTAATGATAATAATAATAATAATAATAATGCCCGATAATCTAACGTTACAGGGAGGAAACTTTTCATCCAGGTTATATTAAATAATAATAATAATAAAAAAAAAAAAATCCAACAACGTTATCTGAGCGAACCGGAGCAGCTGATGATAACAGCTCAAGAAGAGAGAGAGAGGAACTAGTTCAAGCAAAAACACTCCGGACTGCTCAATTATCGTCCAGCAGAGTGGAGGGAAGACCCCGCTGCAGTTTTTGGCCGGTAACAGACAGATAAGCTACTTCGGCAGACAGGTGAGGTAAAAGTAACCGAGGTGCATTAAAAGACGAAACTTCATGTCAAGTATTGCAGAGTGGTTAGCTCCTAAAGTTAGCTAGCTGACGAGGTTTCACGTTGTGTGATTGTTTCTCATTGTTTCTCTCTCTCTCTCTCTCTCTCTCTCTCTCTCTCTCTGTGTGTGTCTGGCTCTTTTAAAGTCTACCAACCATCACTGCGGAGGATGAAAGTAAAAGTCTCATTGTTGGCGTTTAAATCTTTACCGTGAGTTCTGGTTTCAGTGACCACAGTGTTAGATTAGCTTTCTGTTAGCTAAACTTGGTAAACGGATCCTGCTAACTTACCACAGCTTCTAAATATACATCAAGAAGGGGTAAAAGTGCACTCATCTGCAAGAAGTGCTACCCCCCCCCCCCCTGCAGAATGAGGACATCCCAATGGGACTTTGTGCTCTTTACTTCAGCTCTCTGAATCAAATACAGATTTTTGAATTTTTTTTTTAGTCCTGGTGATGCAACGATTTTGCTGGCTGTGTCACAGCCTGGTCTGCACTTCCCAGACCCCCCCCCCCTGTATTAGCATTAGTGCACCTGATAAAATGCCCTTCACACCTGGCTTGCTGTCGTTTGTTTTTAAGTTGACAGGTTTCTGCACAAACTTGGGAAACCAGTTGTGTGTGTGTGCGTGTACCTGTGGCTGCACTTTGTGGAGGCCTTGCTGGATATTCAGATTGTGCTGGACATGTCTGTTAACAATGCAAAAGAAAGGATCATGAGTCAATGTCTTTGTTTCGTTTTATTCTTCTTGCAAGTAGAAGGAACGAAGCTTCAGAGTGTCAATACAGTCTGAAGGAAAAGCTCCAAGTAATCACAATATGCGTCACAGAAAAACCTTTGTGCCGGTATAAAGGATTGCAGATACAGACGCAGTCAAATATCAAATACATTTCAACACGTCGCACAACAGTAAGGTGAAGGAAACTTCAAGTCTGAGTGTCTTTCATATTTAGCTATTTGTGAGAAACCTTCATCCTCGGGTAAAGATAAAAGAAGAATATTACGTATTAACTTATCGTTGCATTTCTCAAGCGAGCTGTGAGTGAAATGTGTCCTCGACAGTAAACAGAATTTTGCCATTACAATATCCAGATTCTTTGCAATACTTAACACCATTAATACACAGCCTCTCTTCAGTCTTCTCCGGGCGTCTCTACTGTTGGAACTTGCAGGAATTCGCTCTTGATCTCCCACAAAAGCATCAGAGGTCTTCCACTGATATGTGACACGTCCTGGCCGGCCAGTCAGTGATCATTATCAGACCAGTCAGACTCTTCTGCAACAAATCCAACGGACAGTTTTGAAACAGTATTTCCCAGTGTATGAATGAACAGGTCCATGTTGTCATGATGAAGTTTGAAAGTCTTTTTCTTCAAATTATTCAAACAACACTGAAAGAAAACTGTCTAAATGTTTTCATGAATAACGTTGTTTATGCAAGAGAAATACATATTTATGTTTATTGGAACTTTGAGGCCTTGGCGATGGGGGAACAAAAAAAAAAACCCACAAATGTAGATCAAGAAGTCACGTAGGGTGTGGAAACCCTTTTCTCAACGCTTAACGTTTGAGCTCAAATATCATGTTGAATGGACAACTACTTAAAGTTGAGTCTTGTAAAATGGCCCAAGTTAACGATCATTTGATGTAAATTAGATGTAAATTTTGCCTTTTCATTACAAAAGTACAAAATAAAATGTAGTTTTTTAAACAGTGTGCAGGATTGTAACTTAATGCATTTGCAGGCATCAGCCCCCTTTGATAAATTGGCCGCAGATCCTCGTCGTGACCTGTTCATGACTATCAACGACAAAACGTAGAAAATGCAGATCAGACAGAAAATATCTTCACATTGATTTAGTTTTTATTGCTTGTGCCAATAATTCAACGCACACATCATTGATAACTTGAATGTGTCTTATTGAAATAAAATAATCAAAATAAAATCCACATTTTGAATAGTCTTAATAGATGAAAACAGACAGTGAAAGTAGAGTATTCACACTGTGTTCACACTTTCTCTTTCTTATCATGAATCGTGACTTCCTGTTCTCACTCTGTCTCATACTGCTCTCACTCACTCTCGTACAGTACGTACACTGACTGACAGACAGACAGACAGAGAGAGCGAGAGAGAGAGAGAGACGCTCATGAGTGTTTAGAACTGATCGGGCTCATTGTGAGTTCACGGAGGAGCTAAACATGATTGTGTTGACGGATGACACGTCCCAAAAGTTCACTGAACCTCGTGGGAATATTGAGTTGTTTCCCTTAAAAGGGCAGAGTTATGATTCAAGATGAAGAGAAACATGAAGCTGTGGTGATGAGAGAGAGAGAGAGAGAGATCACTGATAATCTGCATGATATTAAAATGTGAACTTCTGCTGTGAAATGTTAGTGCACATAAAAATAGATTTTCAAATGTTAGACATCCCGAGCAGCGCTGATGATTCAATTATTTATTTTGAATGTTTGATAAGTTATTTCATGTTTTAGGATTTTGATATAGTTTGATTGTATCATTGTACTGTACTATGAGATATATATATATATATATAAAATTTTTTCTTTTAAGATATATTATTGGGACATTTCTGCCTTTATTGGATAGGACAGCTTAAGAGAGACAGGAAATGTGGTGAGGAGAGAGGGGAGGGGAAAGAGATCAGATTTGAACCTACAGCCGCTGTATATAGGGCGCGTGACATAACTGCTAAGCCTATATCTGGCGCCTGCAAACAACTTTTAAAGTCTTGTCTGAATGTGAAGATTTCAGTTACACTTCTTGATAGCTGTAAAATACATTTAAGTACGTGCTGTGGTTATTCAATGTTTCCTGTTAAACTTCTTTACTGTGTACTGAGGTGGAAAGTAGTTTAACAGACTGACCCGATAGGTAAATATTCTCCTTCACAGTGCTGTGTGGCTTTATTGAACTTATATGAAATACTTGGTTCTAAAGAAATGTAATTATGGTCTTTTTGGCACTTCTGTAGGCTTAATGTTAATCTGATGGCATTGTGTTTGAAGTGTAACAGAAAGGTTACAAGTCGCAACCTTTACATGAAAGCTGTGGCTCAGTTGGTAGAGTCGGTCGTCTCTCAACTTAAAGGTCGGAGGGTTCGATCCCCAGCTTCTGCAGTCACATGTCTCATGTTGTCCCATTGAGGAGAATCTTACATCAGCCGTGAAATGACAATATCTCTCGTCCCTCTACACCCACCAGGTGCCATGAGCAGTGAGCTTAACGTCCCAATGGGCTCCCCGGCCCCGGGGGCCTCGGAGCAAGCCCCCGATTGCGGGATGGACTACAGGGACTGGGTGCGACGTAGCTACCTGGAGCTGGTCAGCTCCAACCACCACTCCGTGCAGGCCCTGTCCTGGAGGAAACTCTACCTGAGCCGGGCCAAGCTGAAGGCCTCCAGCAGGACGTCTGCTCTGCTCTCCGGCTTCGCAATGGTACATCATCATGATCACCATTTTGACAGTTTTGTACTTAGTAAATGATTTGCTTATTTCAGGGAAGCTCTGAAATACGTTTATGAGTGTTGGTGAGTGTTTAGAACTGATCTTGGTAGATAACCACAAGAGCTTCTGTTTCTGAGTACAGCTAACCTACATGGCTGGTTGTGGCAGGAAAATGGTTTTAAATACCCTGCTTTCAAAAACGAGAACAAAACACCTCACACACTGAATGGGAATCTGTAAAGTAACTTTCCACTCTCCTGTAGAAGAGCAAGAAAGGGGATTTTGAGCTCTTTTCTCCAGTTAGTCTACGATAATGTTTGTTTACATTCACAGTACCCTGGTCTGAGACTAATACTTAGAAATGCAAATGTTAAATCGGCATGTTTTCTGAAGTTTCATAGTCAAAGACAAATCAGTATTTTGCACATTTATTACTTTTTCATCAATATTAATTCAATTACCGGTAAACTTTTTCTTGATGGGGTTTATATATATATATTTTAGCATTGTCATGGTCATTATTATCATGAATATTATTATTATTATGGAACGATTGAAAACAAGTGTGTAGTTAATCATGTGTCTGTGTCGTAGGTGGCCATGGTGGAGGTGCAGCTGGAGATGCAGTACAGTTATCCTCCTGTGCTCCTCATCGCCTTCAGCGTGTGCACGACCGTGCTGGTGGCGGTGCACCTCTTCGCTCTGCTCATCAGCACCTGCATCCTCCCGAACGTGGAGGCCGTCAGCAACATCCACAACCTCAACTCGGTCAGCGAGTCGCCGCACGAGCGCATGCACTGCTACATCGAGCTGGCGTGGGGCTTCTCCACGGCGCTGGGCATCCTGCTGTTCTTAGCCGAGGTGGTGCTCCTCTGCTGGATCAAGTTCCTGCCCGTGGACTCCTGTGAGACCAAAAAGGAAACGGCATGCGCGACCGCAGCGCCACCTGTGGCGAAGGGCAGCGGGCAGGCGGCGGCGCTGGCCTCCACCATCATCATGGTGCCGGTGGGGGTGATTTTCGTGGTGTTCACCATTCACTTCTATCGCTCCCTGGTGCGCCACAAGACAGAGCGCCACCACCAGGAGATCGAGGAACTGCACAAGATTAAAGTGCAGCTAGACGGCCACGAGAGAGGTCTTCAGACTGTGTGAAAGCAGGACGGCAGCTTTAAGGACTTCCCTTTACGTCCCGTGTTTATCCTCCCCCATCTCTTTTTATGTCCCCGTCTTTGTTAAAGCCTTCATCGGACAGCGAGCTCCAGAGCTCTCCACTCGGCAGCACAGACAGCCAGTACATGTCAGACTGCTAACTTATTCTTAAGGTGATGTTTTCATGTTTATGTGGTGGCCTTGTCTGTTCTTTTAGCTCTGTAATGTGTGTTGTCAAAGAGAATGTTAAAAACGTTTACAGTAAAAGGGCTAAAGTGTAGGGATGCACCGCTCTGACTACTGACATCTGGGTTTGAATATCAGCCTTACAGAGTCCCAGAGTCCCAACCTGACACCAGACCTTTAATCTCTATGATCCAATTCTGACTTTTTACATGATGCTTCTGCAGGGTTTGTTACAGATTGCAATGCTCAACCATCTCTCACAACAGAGGGCTCTGCAGATACTACAAGTAGTCATACAGGCTCTGTGCTGTGGCAATTCTAAAATCCCTTTAACCAGCTGATAACAAGGGATGCACTGATGTCTCAATTGACTGATTAGCTCTTTGACAGGCAAATAATGTGGCACGCATCAATGTCAGCAGCCACTACGTATCAGTGATGATGCATCAGTTTAATGCTGGTATACCTGACTGCTGATCCAGGGAAAGTCTTCTCTCTTTTTTTTTGGCTGGTGAAGTCACCTGTCGGACCAATTCCCATTTTTTTTTTCTTTCATGGAACAGAACAGTGTGGGAGTCTTCCACCGTCTCGTTCAAAGATCTGCAACAGGCAGTTTGCCAAACATGTTCCAGTGACATTTGAAGAATGTTTTTTCAAATGAGCTACGTGATTGGATGTATTTGAATGTAGACACTGAGAATTAGGTCACAAAAGAAAACATCGGTATTGGCTAAATTGTTGTCTTCATCTCCGGTATCGACCCAGATTTTCACTTCTGGTGTGTTCTGTATGAGAAGAATGTATGGAGACAGCTGATCGACACAGAGGAGTATATTTTTAATCAGATGAGCCCCGGTGTCACCAACACCAAATCCAGATGTTTGTGTTGGTTTATGTCAGTATGAGGTTGGTGCATCCCTTACTAATCTGTTATTTGTGCCATGTCTTGTTTCCTCGGTGGGGTTTCGGTGACAGCGGTCGGTTTTGGATCTGGTTTTGCAGAATAGCTTCAGAGCTTAATCCCCGTCAAACAAATCTCTTATTGAATCTTTTTCTCTTCTCTTAGTCTTAATGACAAAGAGCTGCCGTCACTTTCAAACACAAACATGCACTCAAATCGTTTGATGCCAAAAGTGACTTGACTCGTCGTTTCTCTTTAAGCTGCTTTCTGTTTTCAGTCAGAGAGCGTTTGAGTGGTGCGTCAAACCTGATTCATACTTCAATATTTTCAGCTAATTACTTTTATAAATGTGGAATCAGGGGCTTCTTTATTTTGGCGCCAATAAAATACCATGTGCCAAAAACACGACCACCACAGCATGGTTATGTTCTGCCTTCTCAGTCCAAACAAATCGGATTACACAGCTCAAACTTTGACTTTATGTTCTTTATAAATCTATTCCCTTACAAACGCGGAACATTAGATTCATTCAATGAGAGATTTGAAAAGATTAGGCTTTACCTCGTCATCCAGTCCAAACTAAACCACGTCGTGTGGGTGATGTGGTGAACGCTCCTCGGTCAGGCTTGTTGTTTTAACTGCGTGAGCCGAGTCATGCTTCACACTGCGAGAGAAATGTTGTTGTTGTTTTTTCTCACCTCGTTCAGTCTTAATAATGTGACGTTCTTGTCAAACTGTGGGGAGATTTATGTTTCTGTGTTTGACATCCAAACTCTCACACGAGCCTCAGACTCATTTTTCCTCCTTCAGATATTTATTCTCTTTTACAAAAGACCACAGAGACCATTTGTGAAAAGGTGTCATACTCGTCGATTCTGCTGTTCTGAGTTCCTCAATATGAATGTGTTAACTGTCCAAATATAGCTCTGCCTTACAGAATCGTTGCTTTTTTTCTAAACTGCTGTTTTGCTGGAGGTCGTTACACGAGCTGCTGCGTTTACAGAGGAGGAAGTTTAAGCATGACAAAGTGTAGACATGCTGAAGAGGACAGAATGGAGAAGAGGATGACATGAGAGCAGTGCATGTTGTAATCAGCATGACCTTGTAAGTTTATATATTTAATATACTGGACACCTCTCAGTGAGTCCTCAAAGAGTTACACACACACACACGCACACACAGTGTTGGTAGTTTTGTTACTGTGTTTAAAAAAAAAAAAAAAAGAAAAATGTACCAACCTGTTCTCACATTCCAAAAACGATAAACTGACCAAAGTGTTACTGACATGTTTGTTTCTGCCTCTTTTGAAGAGACTAAAGTGCACTTGTAGTGTAGTTGTACGTCCGCTGAGCTTCTTTTATCAGAGAATGTCTTGCTTTGTCTCGTGTTTATGGACGCGTTGCTTCTTAATAGAAATACTGCAGAGGTCATGGAGATGTTTGTTTTTGGAAGATAAAAACACACAACCTGAAACTTTCAAAATAAAATAAAATCTTCTTAAGTTCTCATTGTGTCTTGTGCTTCTTTGACCAGTTCTGGTAACTCAAGCCTGGGATAAAAGATGTTCCAGTGTTTCTTTAACAGGGGATTCTTTTCATTTATTTATTTATTTTTTTGGGGGGGGGGGGTGTGTATAGAGGAAACACAGGCTTATTGGTCAGTTAATAAGTCTTGTACATCGCTGAATCCAGACGGGCTGCCACGGGACTCTTAAGGAGCAACTGTGCCCGATAAAGCATGTCCACTAAAATGTGCTTGTTTTCACCAATGACATGGCACTCACAATTGACACATAGTTAATGTTGTTAAAACAATATTTTCTTCATTATAATTCTTTTTGTCAATTTTATTTAAGAGAATGTGATGGATCAACACAACAAAATGTGTGTCTATCTTTATCCATATATCTACCTATCCATTAAGATAGATCTAAGAAAGATATCGGTTGATACTGAACATTGATATCCACATTTTTTTCTCTTCTTTAAATCTGTATCAGCCCCAAAAACCCCATGTCAGTCGGCCCTAATGAAATATATGAAACACTATTTAAATCAAACATCAACTGTTTGGCAGCATGAAACTATATTTAGTCCCGTGTGTGTGTGTTGTGTTGTGTTGTGTTGTGTTGTGGTGTGTGTGTGTGCGCTGTATCAGTATTTCCCCTGAACAAACAAACCTGAGGATGTGGTTTCTGTGTGTCAGCAGGACTTCAGGTCACAATCATGTAAACACCAAACTCCTCTCATTTATTCAGATCGTCCTCAGGACAGTTGCAGGACTCCTGTGACAACACTAACTAAATCCATCTGAGCTGGACGAGAAGAAAAGGGAAAACAAACCAGGAAGTATTTTGTGTAAACCATGAAAACTCAAATAAACATCAGTCTGGGAGATCCAACCAAGTAAAATTTAATGTTTTTACAGAGTCGTGAAGACGACAGAAAACAGGAGGGAGAAACTAATAAAAAGACACAACACTCCATGGCAGCACATTTAGTCAGTAACACGACTCCAGCTTTTGGCTTTCACTGGAGATTTTTGAAATGTGTTTTGTTGATCCGCTTTTTGCTTATGTTACAAAATAAAAGAAACTGGGAAAAAAGAAAATTCAGAAACTGAAGTTGAACATCCTGTCCAGAAAACTGTAATGACGATTCTTCATCCCCACAAAGAGCAAAAACAGTTCAGTATGCCTGCACTGTCCTTTTCAGCCCTGCAGGGGGCAGTCTATACATGTCATGCATCTTAAAATGCCCCGGCCTGACTGCAAATCCAACATCTACCAGCATTTCCTGTAACATTTTGAAAATGTAATCTAAACGTTAATGTGTCTCTAAAGGGACACAAGCATTAGAACATTGTTTACAAGCATGAGGCAGTAATGTGATGTTAATCCCCCCCCCCCAGTCCCATCCCGTCCCCTGTTTCACATGCACAAGCTACATATATACTACATGTTGAACACCTTCAAAGCCACAACAAACATTCATTCATATACACGCTTCAGAAAGAACACAGGTAGAGATATCACAGGCTGTTTGTCATCATTCTGGAAACTGTCGATTAAACCAGTTAAAGTTTGTTTCATAAAAATGTACAATATAAATATGACAAATCAAATCATACCATGTTTATACATCTTAACAAGTTGAAATAATTGGTTGGCAGAGTCTCACAAACTCAATTCTCAAACGGATAAGAACATTTGTTTGTAAACTCAGTGGTGCAAGAATAAATGTTTGGGATAATTTTAGTTTGTAAGCAAACCCTTTACTTCATTTGTAAGATATTAAACATTATACAAAATGTAATTATGTATTATTCCCAACAAAAAATAGGTCTAATATTCCTCCTATAGGTCTAATATTCCTCCTATAGGTCTAATATTCCTCTAAGGTAGTTTCTGTGTTACTAGAGGCCAATCATTCAATTCACTAATAATCAACAGGTTACGTCTCTGAGCCAAAAAGTTAAGGCTTAAAAATTAACTTCTGAAGGGTTACAAAAGTTCATCCTGGTAATTTCATCATGAGATCCCAAAGCCCTGCCTGCTAAAAGTAAAACAGTATAAACTCAGAAAAACAAACCGAATGCTGCCGACAGACGATGCTTGAGGACCGACGCTCGCTGGGGAATGTTCAACTAAACGTGAGGAGTGCTCGAAGGAGTGGGGCGGATCTTGAATAAACGTCATGACATCAGTTCTGTTTTTGACCCATATTATTCTACTTAAAAAACTCAGAGAGGCTGGAGTGTTGCTGATCGTTTCCTGCACGTTATTTTGAGATAACAACTTGAATATTTTGTCATTTTCTGTGCGAGGGAAACAGTTTAATCTAGGGCCCGACTGATATGGGATTTTTGGGGCCAATATCGACATTGGGAAGAAAAAATCCCATAGCGATATCTTTCTGAGATCTTTGTGTCGAGAAAGATAGACACAATTTTAATGCACTGATTGCTTAAAGGCAGTTATCAAACCCTTGTGGAAAAGATACATAATGAAGACAAGATGATCGCTAAACTGGAAAGTACCTGCACATGAACGTGTGTCACCTCTGCCAACAGGGCCGATACCGATGTTGAATATTCATTTAATAAGAGAAAGCTTTTGTAGTCTTAAGTAAATGACATAATCAAGTTGTGATCCAAAGAAAACGTACTAAAAAAAAGGACCAGCATCCTCAGCTCATCTGAACTTCTGAAGTCAACAGTGCACAAAGCGAGTTGTTGACCCATCCTGAAATGTTATTTTATACAAAACCTTTTTTTTTCCAAAAACACATCAAAATAAAACACACAGTGACACACTTTCTACAAAATAAAACTAAATTCAGATAAAACAGGAGAAAGAAAAAAAAAAAGAAAAGCAGACAACATGAGACAATACTTCTGTGGTATATTGTTACAGTAAAGTCAAAAGCTACTATGATCGGTGCAAGCTGAGCACTACATCATTAACGGGGAAATCTACTCGTTGTGCAAAAACATGTGACATCAACCTAATGAGAGTGACCGACATGGTGGGTCGACATGAAGGCAACAGAAAAGAAGACAAAGTTAAGCATGCAGTTGAAAGATACAGTAAGGCAACTGAACGTCTCGGCTGGCTACCCTGCCTGAAAGATGCACACACACAAAAAAACAAACAGAGATGAAGACAGACGTCCATCACTGCGAGTGTTTAAATCGGTTAATGAGCTTTTGGTGTTTTGGCAGTTCTTCATCTGCGTATTCAGTCACACCCTGACTCAGAGAAGGCTTTGTTCGGAGGATCTCATAAAAGGGGTTTCAAGGGATAAAAGCACAGAGCCATCCTCCCTTGTAAACCTGAAACTACGATAAAAAGTAAAAAGATATGGTATTCTAACTATATGAAATGAATGATCAACATGAGCAGCTTTGTGCACTTTGAGGAGATTTCGACAGATCTTTGCTGGAGTGTCTCAGGAGTTTCCTTTTGAAACTTTTTATATTCACGTCTTTCCCTACTTTGTTTTTTTGAGGCTATACAACAAGTAACTTGAAAGTGAACTTCTTTAAAACTGAAGCTCTCTCTTCTTTTTTTTTTTTCTTCTTCACTTTCCTTCCTCCCACAGTAACATAGATGCCAACTATCATGCACAGTTTGTCCCGATAACCTAAACATTCAAAAGTTCATACACCCAAATTGTGAAACGACATGCCACAGGGTAGAAAACAAAACAAAAAAAACAAAAAAAAAGGGAAACAATCCAAATCATCAACTAGAGAGCTAACATAGCTTATAATCAGTCTAAGGCAAAAGAAAAAAAAACAAAGAAAGAAAAAGTAGTGGATAGGTGAATTTAGGAGCGTTCTGACAACATACTGTGTAGGCTATCACTTTGTGGACCGAAGTCCTGTAGTCCATGTAGGCCAGCCTGTCTGGTTACGAACCCTCTCTGTACTCCCGTATGGCCTGGTTCCTGGGTTAGGATTCTATGAGGATGACAGGAGTTAGACTCTGAAGCTCTCTCCTTTCCCGTCGATGTGGCGTAGACGCAGGTAGACGTCTGTGCCGATGCCCTGCATTGACTGTACGGACAGAGAGCCGCCCAGGTACTCGGCGTACGCCCGGGATGTGGGCAAACCGAAACCGAACCTGCAGAGAACACAACACGGTTTGAGATGAGCAGAAATCAAGTTATTCATTTTATTTATCAAATTAATTGAACGATTACAGCAATAATGTAAATCAAAGTAAATATGGTTAAATTAGCACATTAGCTAAATTGCATTGGTAGTCCTAAGAAAAACATTTAAAAGGTCACATATTATGCAAAATGCTGACAATAACATGTGTCCCTACTCTGTCTACAAACCCCCCAATTATCAGAAAAGTCCATCCTCTCTGTCTTTTGCCTGCTCCACTTTTCGGAAAATGTGTGCTCAAACAGGCCGTTTGGAGATTTTCCCTTCATGACATCACAAAGGGCAGTAACCCCTCCCCCAGGTGGGTGACACTCCCACAGCTAGGTGTTTGTTCTGCCCTCTGAGTCTGCCTTCTCACTATAAACAATAGACATGGTGCAAGAAAGCCCGAGTCACCCAAGCCCTTCCAGAGAGGGGGCGTGGTCAGACACAGCTCATTTACATATTTAAAGGTACAGACACAGAAACAGCCTGTTCTGAGCAGGGCTGAAATAGAGGGGTTTATAGACATGATCAAATACAGGATCAGAGTGGATTTAGAACAGAAACTTCACACACATGTTTTGAGGAGCTCTGAGACTTATTTAAACTGGTTGAAAAGGAGGAGAATATGTGACCTTTAACCATATTTTACAAATCAAAAGTCTTACCCGTGCATGGGGCTGGACTGGTTTCCACTGTTGGTAATGTTGTTGAAGAGGTTGCTCATGCGGGGGTCCTGTGCGCTCTCCTCAGCCGTGCTGTAGTGATAGTCCATCACCTTGTCTATAATATTGTGAGGGATGCCGCCACCACGGTCTGAAATCCTTCAAGGCAAAACAAGAATATATTTGAAAGCTCACACTAAACATCACTTCTTTAATGTCCTCCTAAAATACTCTCCATCCCATTAAGTGAAATGTTATGATTGAGACAAGGAGTCAAAGTCAGCTGTTCTGTCAGACTTGATTCTTGGCTTTATGGCAGATTTTATGCTTTCAGAAGATAAGATCATTTTAATTGGTGTGTTACAACAGGTTACAGCAGGTTTAAAGACAACACAGCCGTATCCTCCAATTCTATATCCTCAACCTGTTTCAGACTTTTAGCCACTCACCTAATGACAAAATCAATGTCGTTATTTGCAATGGTGACGATCACATCGGGCACATTGTAGGGGGTGTCCAGATGGCTTTCCATTGTGGCCCTGAAGGGACAAAGAGAAGGATGTAATGGGGATTAAATGGAGAGTGTACACATTGTGCTCTCATACAGAAAAGGTTTTTGTGCAGCCAGCAGCCACAGATAGACACAGATCACTTACACCCATTACACCAACGTTTCTAATGGAGTTAATATTTAACTAATGAACACTCCTGGACAGAAAAACACTTAACAATCGAGTCCTTCTTCCAAAGATGTGAATGAGGGAAAGAGATGAAACATGTGAAGTCAAGACATTGGTCAGTTTGTTTTCTTTGCATGCTCTTTAATGTTAAGATGTAAAAAAAAGGATGAACAGGTTATTAGACTTTATAAGAAGGATATCTAGACCTACTTTGAGTTTCAAAAGAGAACTCACTTAAATTGAACATCCTTGTGTCTTACTGTACTGGGGTCTCATTTATTCAACAGTGTGCAGAATCCTTATAACAAGTGCACATACAACTAGTCTGAATTATTATGTGCACACACCATTTCTGGGTTTTGGGCACATGTACACTTTCAGTATGGATTCTACGCACTGTTGTATAAATGAGACCCCTCTTCTTCGTAAATCCACCAACATTATTATGTTATTGTGTTTTTTTTATCATGTGTACACAGACTTTAACAACAAGTGCTTATCTTTAAGTATTTACACTTGAGAGCAATTGACAAACAGAAGGATTCACCTCTTCAACATTCAGACCTTCACCGAACAACGTCTTGATTTAAAGCCTTCACCCTCGTTTGTTTAGCAGCTTAACAAAGAAGTCTCAAACCTCGCTGAGTGTATTTTCTTTTACAGGATGGCATGTTGGCACATCACAGGCGGTGACAGGCTCTCACAGGAACTGAAAAGAAGTGCTGTCCTACTTTCACACTCTCTGACTCATCTCCACGATCGTATTAACAGTTCTGCACGAGCTCATCTCAGCTTATGTTTCCAAAGTGGCTGCCTAATAAGGATTATTATTGTATCATTTATATCTCATACCGCCTGTGTTACATTTTAAAAACAATAGATGATACAATAAGGGAAGCTTGCACTCTGTCATTTGTGTTTCTTTTCATGAAACCATACATTTAGGGAAGAAGATCATTAAATAAGACTTTTCCCTTAAATTATGGAAACATTGACTTTACTTGTTTTTTCTGTCACTGATTTCTTCTTGACATGTGATGGATAAACTTCTAAACTTCTGACCTCTAACACACATTTTTAATGAACAAATAAAAAGCAAAAAGCTCATTTAAACAGACCCACATTATTCAATTCCAAGTTTGTAAAACAGATATCGATCCTGCTGAGCTCTGTAAAGTGATAACCCAAAGAAAGAAAAAGAAAGAAACTTGGACTGATTGCTGATTTTCTGTTCTGGATGTGAAGTCTTGAGTCAACAGGAGGAGCTGGTCGAGCTGAAGGTGACTAAACTCTACCAGGTACGAGTGAAAAGGTTACCTCATGGCGTTCTTGAGCAGCTCGGGCAGGATGTAATCCAGCGGCAGAGGGATGAAGGGGAAACGAGCTGCTACGTGTCCGTTGATCCTCACCCTGGGCGAGTTACCGTACTGGTGTTCACACAGACGCCTGTTGAACATCAAGAACAGACGTGGAGCATTTACAGCAGCGTGTCAATTAGTGAATGTGTTACTAAAATGAGTGATGCTGATCTATCCATTAACTTATTAAAAGGCCCAAAGAATAAACGCAGAGGCACTGAGTATATCAACACAATGTTGGAACTCTCTCCATTTTTTACAAATGTCCCATGATAAGATAGAGAGGTTAGAACAGTATTGATATCTCATATCTCATTCAGAGGAAGCAGAGAAAATTGTGTTTATCAGCTGAACTTTGACCTCTCTGTCAACAGAGCGCTCAAACAGGAGCTTTAAGTCACTTCAAGGTGTTAAACAAACACAGATGTGATAAAACACTCACCTCGCAAAGTCCACCCACTTCTCGATGATTTTTTTAGGAGACAGACGTCTGCATATCATCCCGACAAAGTCAGGCTGAAACAAGAGCAGAAATCATTATTTTAGACGTTTGTTTTTAAATCACTCTTAAGGTTACGGTGCTGTCAAACATGAACAAAAACGTCCTTAAATGTTCAGTTTGAGCTTCATGTTTTAACACAAGGAGCCTAATGTTTTCACTCCGACTTCATGCAGAATTTTTCCAGCCAGTTCCCCTGGTAAATTTTCCACATGAAGTCAGGCCAAGATGATGTTAAAACACAGCAGGAAATATTCAGGCAACCACAAGCAAGAGGAAGAGGGTGACGACTTTTATATCCTGCGACTGGCGCACGACCACAGACTGTGTGTGGCGTCAGGTGTGATCTCTGTGCGTTTAATCAAACTATTGTGAATGTGTTGAACTAGACATGGCATTGACATTAAGGCAAAAATGTATCCTCAAAGCGCCAGACTCTGTTGCCACCTCTGCGTCATTATTATTACCGTCATTACCCACTTCATTAGAACCCCCCCTTAGCCTCCCGCCTGAATTGTCTATACATTTTCAGAAGTGGATGTGTAAAAAAAACGGGTTAAGTGCGTCTGTAATTCATCATTCATGTTTCTCTGCGGCGTGGACTGCATGCTCTGGAGCAGGGATGGGAAACTTTGGTCACAGCAAAAGCCACATTCATTTAATTCTCACTGCCAGAGGGGCCAAATTGTAGGATACAAAAACGATTACAGTGAATTATGTCTCAAATTTAACTCAACATGTAAAAGTGATCAAATATTATTATTATTATTTGTCATGTTTCCAATTAATTGATATGTAAAAATTGACCTGACGGCCACTTTGAGGGTTGATGGGGGCCGCATGTGGTCCACCCCTGCTCTGGAGTCTCTTCTTTAGTTCATTTACACAGTTTCAAATTCAATACTATCCAAACTACCAAAACAAACACAGCAACTTATGTGAAGCTTCTTGAAGGTTTAATGTAGTCCTAGACTAATTCACTATTTCTGTTTGTTCAACTAATGTTTACTCAAAATGAAGAACTGCCTAGTTAAGTTAGTTATTTTAGTGTTTTGTATTAACACTTATATTTGTGCCCTGTTACAGATATTATCATCTTGAGTAGGAACTGAAGGGCTTGGGGGCTGAGAGATGCAGACCAGGTGGGAAAAAGGAAACAGAGGCAGACCCACCCAATGTGAGCAGCCGGGTGGGGGAGTGAAGACAAACAATCCTAACTTTAGGTTCAACGTGTATCTTATTGTGCAAACAAAACAAGCCTTTGAAACTGGAGACGTACATTGTCTTCATGGAGGGCGAGGTGGTGCGTGGCCAACATGCGGATCCCCAGACGAGAGCACAGCGTCGTATCCAGGAAGCTTCGGAGGATCGTCTCATCCTGCAGTGGTGGGGCACAAAAAAATGTTTCCTGCTCTACAGCCAAAACTTTCTCACCAGCAGCAACAGTGGCAACAAAAAAAACACTAATAAAAACATAGAAACTAAAAGAAACCCGAAGAAACTATAAACAAGTAACTGAAATATCCATAACACCGACTGTTAGAACATCAGGTTTACAGGTTTCACCATAATCAAAGGTTTAAGACACATTTAATGCTTTTAAAGACTTTAAATTAGACTCTAATGGGATCTCTCCAACAGCTAAATGGCTTGCAATTACCTTCGACGTTAAAGAAAATGCTCTATACAATGGCCTTTGTTGCAGAGGGCTCATTCTGCAGCTAAGTTTGGAGCTGTGAGGATTGAGGAGGTGCAGCTCTTACCTGGGCGTGTCTGCGGCACTCCCTGAAGCCCTGGGCCAGCATGGTGACCACGTCTTTGTGGTCATCCAGAAGCTGCTGCACCAGCTTACAGAAGCGAGCCTCCTCGTCCTGATCCTTGATCTGTAAACAAATGGAGGAATAGTAAAAGTAAGTAAATATAACATCTGATAGCATGGACTCTGTTTGTTTTCTGATCTCTCTACCAGTCAATCCACCCTGCATGTGTTGCAGGACTTCAAAAAGACATCACACTACTGTAAACACAAGCGCAGTTTTGGCGGGTTCAGGGGGTTCATTACACCCCCTGGTGGGTATAATATTTTTTAATATGAGCAATTTTTTTATGAATCATAATCATAATTTGTTGCAATACCTTGGTATTTGAAACATGAAGTTGTGTAACCCATGTGCTGGTTTTTCTAAATTATTAAATGAATAGGAGGCGGTGCAGAGGAGAGCTGGCCTGTGGTGAGTTTCAGGTGCGGTAGCAACACAGGGCCCAGTTGCGGCACTGCCAACATTTTTTGGCCCAGGAGGAGTACCCAACTTAGCCGTTAGAACCAGTTTTCCTCTTTAAAGAAAAGTATAAGAACGAATCAAGATGCACAAAAAATCCGGTGCTAACCGAGAGTTAGAGAGGTCGTTTTTAAAGAAAAAATAAATCCTACTCATTCAGAAAAGCACCGTGTTTGCAAGAGAGTGCACTCCTCTAGAAGGCCCCTCTTGTCCCTCTACAGGCCCTGGCTGCTCCGCTGCAGGACTGCTCGGATTGGGAGACCTAACCACTGCTTATACCCCATCGTCGATTCCCTCTTGCCAGGTCACTTATGGCCTTTGTCAGACCCGATACAAAACGCTGATCAGCTGTCTGGTGTTTGCGACAATAGCCCGAATGTTGCACCTGAGCACCCGTGCTACAGAGTACACAGCTCTCACCTCCTGCTCAATCGATGGAAAAACATCTTCAAGAAATGGAGAAAAGAAAAAAAAGAGACCCTGTTTATTTTGTAGAGGTTTTTATTATGAGCCATTTTTTCCTTTCTTATTGCCTTATACATCCTTCCATCTTCTCTTAATTCCATCTGTTGTTTCTCTTGTTTTACCAACAGCATGGACGTTATTATACTCTGTTATATCCTGATACTGGGACACACTCTAAAAAAGACGCTGGGCGTTGTACTTTCTCTCCAGGTGGCCGCTTTGTGCTGCGAACGCTCTCTCCTCGTTGATAACAAAAGATGCTGGCGCTCAGAAAAAAAAACCGCTAGGTGGACGCGGGGCCTAAGAGCCACTTTCTAGATCAAACTGATTCATGTCAACATTTCATAATGATCAGCTTTCACAACCTGCCTAAAGGTCATACCTTGCAGATTTGCATGTTAGAACACCGGGCCATGTTGACACAATCACCGTGTTGCCAAGAAGTCAACAGAGAAAGAGAGAAGTTCAATCAGCAGTGAGCCATTACTCAGTGGATTAAATCCTTCATCATAAAACTCATATTACACACATGTTCTTACCTGAATGACATGGTTATTATACAACTTAATTCTGAATATTCATTAGGTGTATATCAAAGCAATACAATAAATTATTCCGTCTTCTATTTCCATGAATACTGAAGTTAAGAAGGCAACTTTGATTTAACTCCAGACCAGAAAAGGAGAAAAAAGGTATTCAACATAATTTAAACACCTTATTTCATGCAAAAGCTATGAGAGCGTCCAACACTGAAATATACAGCTGTTTGGTTTGACTAATAACAAAAGTTTTTTTTTTTTTGGGGGGGTGGGGGTCTAATGACTCACAGGGTCAGAACGTTTAGCAGATTAAGTGTCCTGCAATAAAATGAATAAATACTGTTTTTAAACCTTAAAGGCAAATCAGTCCTTTTTTCCTGGAGTGCAGCTGTGGTTAGCTAGCTGTATATTTCAACTCATTAAACACATTATTTGGGAATATGTAGATCTTAAGAATCATTTAACATACAGAAACTAAAAATATCAGGTGGTTCCAGGTTGTCAAACAATCGTTTTGAATTTTTACACCCTGGATTTTAGATCGATAGATAGATTTACTTTATTGATCCCAAACTGGGAAATTGTGGACTATGGTCTCTCTAAATTAGATACCTTTTACGATTAAATAAAACAAGAAAAAACTCACTTTTTAAACAACTACAATCACTTTATGTGCAACCTTTATTTGTCAAGTGCCAATCATCATAATCCTATTCAACTCAGATGTTATCTGGAGACCGTGTGCAAACAGAGCAGGTCTAGACCGTACTGTGTTATATTACATAATCAGTTAGGGCTTTATTTTAATGCATCTTTATAAAAAAATGTACAGTAATTCAGAAAACAAAAGGATTAAGGGTTAAATTTAGATGAATACAAAACAGGTTCAACAACTGAGCTGCAACATGCATGTCAGTCAAATGTGGACACTTCCTGTTTATGGTCGCAACTCGCAAGTAATGATACTCCCTGTGAGAGGAACAACTTGAACTTATGACCCTGTGTTCTTTTCAGTGGTTTTCCTGAGTGCGTGCATGCATGCATGCATGCATGTGCGTGTGTGTGTGTGTGTGTGAAACTCACCGGGGGAAAGTCGCTGAGCATGTGGTAGGCTCTGATGTACAACTCGTGCTGTAAGACAGAACAAGAGAGAGATGGAGGCTGTTGTTAGACTGATTCTCTTTGATCATCAACACTTACATAAAACATGTTTGCCCCCCCTTCCCCCCCTTCCTTCTCGACTGAGCCTCAGACCACAGGTGGTTTATATTTCAGGTGCCTATAGACGACGAAGTCTTTATGTTACCATAACGTTGAACTCCCCTCCAAAAACAATGCGCCTTGTTCCCCCATACGTTTAGGTTTTAATGACTGGAAACTCAAAACCCTGCGTCCAGACATTGTTTTCTTTTTCACATGAGAGTTAGGAGTAAAGCCACCCTGACCCACATTAGCGCTGGTGGCATACAAAGGAGGTGCACATTATGCAATCGGCGCAGAGGAACAAGAAAGAAAGGAATCTGGGTGAAAGTTCGCCGGCAATGAGACGTGCAGAGGCGCCGAATGTGATCTGAAGGGAAAAGTAGAGACAGAGCGAGAACTCCCCTCCCTGCATGGATCCCAAGAACCAGGACGAAAGAAGAAGAAGAGATGTGTCTGTAGAGTCTCGATGACATAATGTAACAGCACATACCTGCCATATAGATTTTGACACCTTATGCTTATAGACATCTGTATGCAAGTGTTGTGCAACCACCTCGGTACAAGATGAGTTTAAAGGAATTTTGTTTCTCCAAAACGGCACTTGAGAAACTCGAAAACAATGTGTCTTTCCAGAGTGCTTGACAGTTTGGATGTTCCCCCAGATGGATGGTTTTCATTAGGAGTTATTCCTGTGACACAGCCCGTGTGAAAAAGTTCAATGTTGGCTGTACGACAAGTTTACTCAGGAAGTATAATCGGTTATTACTCGGGGCCAATGGGGTGACATATACAACAAAAAAAATAATAATAAAAGCGGTTGCATAAATTTCTGTTAAATCATTTGAATGTGTGGCATGAGAACAAAATGTTCAGCAGGGATCTTGTACTGTGAACAAGTCACCGCTCATCTCGTGCATGGACTACAGGTTGTCAAAATGTTCCACACTTTTCAAACTCGTCGATTCCTCGTGTTTTCAAACGAAACAATCTGCGTTGTTTGAGTGTTCGATAGCAACGAGAGGAACCAAAGCTTTAGAAGAAGTACAGATCTTCAGTCATGATTTAAACACAAAGCTGGGGGCGAGCGAGGCAGAGAGAGAGAGAGAGAGAGAGAGAGAGAGAGAGAGAGAGAGCAGCTGTGGTCCATTTAAACTCAAAAATTGGTTTCCCTCGATTATGACAGATAGTTGAGATTGAATATAACAAAATGGGTTTATATCCTTTTTCTGGGGCAACTGAATTCACTGTCTGCAGAAATTGTTCTGCAGACAGTGAATTGTTGTTCTGTATTGCAGAAATACACCGACAACATTTTCAGTCCCAAAACATTGCCAGTGTATTTGACTAACTAAAACAATGTGCAGTAGTTTGCATGCAATTTTTGGTCAACAAAAACAATAAATGACCCAATTTTTCCTACTTTTGTCGCCATGGTATTAAATCAGATGTTGATATTGTTTGATTGTCATTGGTACCATATCAAAGATGAAAATATGGGTATTGTGACTGTGGTGGAATATTCAGTACCTGTGTATTTATATTTAAATGTACAGACATCATTGTGTTTATTCACTGTTCTCTGATGTCAGTCTGACCTGACCGAGCTCAGCTGTGACTAGAAAACAATGACAAAGCGTGTCAAGGATTTATCTGAATGTTATTTAGTAGACTAAGTGCCCGCTCCAAATTGGCCTAGACATCACATCCTAGTTTGGCTGGGTCAATATGACCCTGGCATCAATAAAGTATTTTCTACATATGCAGAGCCTTAGTTTGTGAGAATTGGCATGGCAGGGACACACCCTCAGACGGGTCCTGTTACTCCATCTCTGCTCGGGAGTGTTCTTGTATAAACATCTTCAACTTAAGCCAAATGAGTCTCCTGAATCTTTCTGTGACGTCAAGTTCTTAGTCATTTCCTCAACAGTGACAACCGTAGTATAGACATTAGGTTAATCTCTAAAGGGTGTACAGAAAAAAGTGAAGACAAGAGGGTTAAAATTCATTTTTCTTCATCATAAGAGAAAACCAAACCCTTCAAAAAAAGTCTTTAAACAGACTGGGAATAAGAGCTTTGATTGGCATTAATGGGTCATGTCACGCTGACCTACATACTGAATACTATAGGTTACGTATGCTGCCAAAGCACATGCTATTCTGTATTATATAAGCTGAGCAGGAATTTCTGGCAGCGGTTCAACAACATCTGAGGTGCAAGGAACGGAGAGGGGGGGGAAAAGTGTGCAGTTATAGGCTTACAGGGTTTAGTGAAAACACATTGGTCTGACTCTGACAAATTAGTTATGTCGACTTTTCCAGGAGTTTTAGCTGATTCATCTAAAATAGTTTACTTTTACTTATACATGTGAAGCAAACAAATACAATAAGAGCTTTAAAAGTTGGGAGCCAATTGACAGGACTTAAGAATAAGTTTACATGTTGAGATCCATTGAACTAATGAAGAATAACTTTTTCAGATGTAATTTGAATGATAATAATTGTAGAGATGGAAGTACATTGTTCCAAAGAGATTGCCTCAGTATTTTAAAGAATACAGTTTAAGGGAAGCAGGATGGAGAAATGTGCACACTGTCCTGTAAAGTAGAAGATATTTCTATTCTAGTGGTTTTTTGCTGCAGTTCTCTGGATTTTTAACAGGCAGCAATAAAACACAGTCCAACCCCCGGCCGCTGCCAGCGACCCCCTTCCCAAACAACATCCTCCTTTGACCAAAGCAGCAAACCTCCAGTGTTGAAAAACAAAGCCAATGCAGAACTGCAAAGAAATTGCAGTTCTTTGAGGGTCCGCAGGGGGGCTGGGACAAAAAGACCCGGGAAATCCCAACACCCCACATTAACATAGTCAGGTTTCACTGCAAACAGATATTAACTTGTTTACAACGAGGTTAGAAAAAAAAGGGTCTATGCATATTTAGAGGCGTGGCAGATCTGACTGCAAGCGGCTGCATTATAGCGGTTTGTCAGGAGGCTTTCTCAGTACCAGCTCATTGTCTGCCATCAGGTTGACGGAAAGTTTGATAGTGTCAGAATGTCCAATATGACAACAAATGGGTGACGTCACTCAGGCTACGTCCATTTACAGTCTATGCTGGAACCACATCATGCTTTATAAAGCAAGACGTAGCTTCACATGAAGAACATCATTGGCAAACACAGTGCTCAAAGTGCATCATTAACCTTTGAAGGTGATGTTTCTTCAAGACTTTTTTTTGCGTAAGAAACGTTGTACACAGGTGTTCATTATTAAGATTTGTGTTTTCACAGTTACCTGTAAAATGTATCTACTGTACAGCTGTTAACTCTGTGTCTTACCTAGCCAACCAGAATCAAGTATCTGTAAACTCTTGTGAAGAGTCTGTGTGCCCTCCCTGTCCTTCCTTTGTCCTTGTTAACTTGTTACAGAAACTACATTAAGTAAAATGCAGCTAATCTATTGATTTTAATAAAAACCACTTCTTGATCACGGCAGCATGCTTCTTTCTGTCTAAACATTTTGGCGTTTAATATCTCACGCAGGGTCAAGGTGACATTATGGACGGGAGAGGATCGAACCAGCCATACGGTGATTAGTGGTCATCCTGCTCTACCTTCTGAACCGTTACAAACTCCCATTCTCATTGGGAACAATAGAGACAAAGTGGTAACAACTGCCTTTGTGAACTGAAGAGATCGCTCCCCTTATTCATTCAGAGTTCAGCCACGTTTCTCCTGTGCCGTGGCCCAGTTGTCACTTTCTTATTATAGAATCTATTGCAGGACCAACGCCCCCGTCTTTAACACATCATGTATAACTCCACACTGTGTCAGGAGCAGTACTGTGTGTGTGTGTGTGTGTGTGTGTGTGTGTGTGTGTGTGTGTGTGTGTGTGTGTGCATGCATGTCTTGAGAATTGTGTTCTTACCACTTGCAGAATGGTCGGGTTGCAACCAATGATGAAGGGTAAACTACGGAAACCCTTGATGCGGTGGGCGATTCTTACAGGCAGCTCCTTGTGTAGGTACTTGGCACTGCTCTGATGACACACACACACACACACACACACACACACACACACACACACACACACACACACACAGAATATAGTACAAATAGGGTGAGTGAAGATTCACAGAGGATGTAGCTTCTCATTAAACAAACAATGTGCAGCTCTCTCAGTGTGGCTGAAATATTTACCAAGATGTGGTGTCCATCCGGAGACTTCCCAGAATACAGCAGGGTTGCTAAGGTCAGTCGCACTGAGGCCTGGGGAGATATTAACATGTCCAGTCACATACACATTCACAGTGAGAACAACAGGTCACCTGACACTGAAGACTTGTCTTATTCATGAACATCAAATACAAAAGAAACAGGTGTCAACTATTTCCTCACTTGCATTCATTAAAAAAAAAAGTACAGGGCTTTGAATAGTGTTGTAAACTAGTGCTGAAAAACAAAATCTAAACCCTGATACCAGAGAATTACTTTTCTTAACTCTTACACACAAAAGTACATTTCACTATAAAAAATATTGTTAATTTCAAATAAATCAGCCAGTTTCCATTCCATTTAGAGATACACTGATACACTTTTTCTGTTCCAATCCAATTCCGATACTGATTTTATAAAATCATAATAAATATTGTCATTAAAGTTGTTGGTATAATGTGTAAGGCTACATGGAGCTGCAGTAAACCCGGCATTACATCGCATGTTGCTGGCTTCACATACAAACAGGAAGTGTAACTTTTGTCCTTTTTATCATACAGGAGCTGATCCGTCTCGCCTTAACGTCTTGATGGAGTCGATTTGTGGGCACTTTTTACACTTCAGTCTGAATGTCTTCAAAGCGAGAACGAGCGAGTTGAAAATGTTTAAACTTCCCAACAATCTTTCTTGATTGGTGATCTGGATAGTGACCGTCAGTCTGATATCCGAATTATGAATTTCGTCAACATTGGACAATATATTGATATTATATCAGATTTGTCACATATCTGATTCCAACAATCAAAAGATAGCAACCTAACAGTTCCATATTTATGTTCAAAATTATTTTATTTCCAATGATTGATATCAGCCAATGTATCATTCTGAGATATTTCAGGTATTACTTTTAAAGTAGCGTTAAAGCTGACAGCTGACCCTTTGTCCAAACATCTGGTGGTCTATCAGTATGCAGCGACAGGATACAAAGGAAGTGATTAGATCAGAGCCTCGATGCCATGTCTCCCTTTGTTTAAATTGATCCCGCGGCACTGGCAGCCCCATTTACTTCTTGAGAAATGTTAGGTTTGCATGCAGGTAGAACACATTGAGATTCATCCTCATGTTAATACCAGATGTCGCTTTTTTTTTTAGCCTAACTTGCACGACTAAATCAAACAGCTCATCGTTATAAACGCTGTGTTTACTCTGCTCAGAGCACGGTTTTGTCAAGTGCTGAGCGGAGAGGTTTTCTTCTCTGCAGAGCTGGAATGCATTAGTGCACAATGTACAAGCAGAAAACGCAACCTGACATTGGCCATCTAGAGAAAAGGTCAACATGACATTTTAGAGTCATTCTCCCAGGTTAATTGGCGCTAATAACGGGGTCACTACAATCTCCTTCTTTCCTTTGCGTTCCTAGAAATCACCTTGTGACTCTGCTCCCCCATGCAGAACATTTGCAACCCCTGCACCAGACTAACGTGTGACCGTAAGTCACAAGACAAAAACACTACAACCCACTATAATCAGCCAGGAGATCAGCGGCTACGTGCAGTTACACGTGGTGGTTCCTCCATCTGCCTTGTACTGAGTAATAGGTTTATTACTCACTGGTAATTTTAAGCAAATTTTGCAGATCCATTGTACGCAACAACTACTTAGCTCATTAATCACACAGTGTGCATGCAGCAACACATTTCTTACTCATTTTGTGTAAATAAAGACATGTTGCTTTTCTTCTGCTGGGTTTAAAAGATGACCACTACCACTTATATGACAAACAGGAACAAAATACATGTGGAGTAATAGAAAATAAAAAGTTATACCAAGAATGGAAGTATACCTTTTAGCTACAGACCTCTAAGTTTTAAGAGGAGAGCCATCCACAATATACAACATTCATTGAGTATAATAGATATGCAGTGTAGGTAGATTTGCATTTAATCTAGGTTACATAAACATTGCTACGTGTTTATTTTTGCTCTTTATCAGGAGGTGGAAACAAATGGAAAATCCAGCTATAGTCACCACAGCTTGAATTGATGATACATTTATGTTTCATGTCGTCCCACTCTCCCTCAATTATTATTTTGTTTTCTCTGATCTCTGTTCTGTATTTACTTTGTCTGTCACAGCACTTTGTACACATTTGTTTTTAAAGGTGATATATAAATAAAGCTATTATTATTATTATTATTATTATTTAAAACAGCAACGAAGATGAGTTAACATTAAGGGGTCAAAGTCCACTGCTAAATCACAAACATATCATTCCCTCTGTTTGGTAAATTGTTGGTTTATTATTATTTATTACTTTTTTAAGATATGCTTTTTTTTATTTTTCCCCATATTCAATAGAGCTTTTAGACGTCCTTCCTTTGCATAAATACATTTCTAGTTCAAACTTTAATGTGGTTAAATCGTCCAAGCAGGAGAATTTCGTGTTTCACTGCATGTCCTTGAACGCAGCACCAGCCTCGCTCCCAGCTAGCCGTACTGTAAACCCACAGCTAGCTTAACGCCCTCGTTGCTATAGTAGTTCTGCTGTTTCAGACGCCGGCACAAAATCATTCTTACCTTTTCCGCGGAAACGTCGATAGCCGACTGGTTGTAAAACGACGTGACAGTCTTTGACCGCTCTCTGGCCATCTCCGAAAACCCCTGCAGCGACGACGTGGACCGAAATCTGTGGCTCCCCGTGCTTGACATCGGCGGCGGTGTTTTGGTGAGGGGGACCGCAGGAGGCTGCCGAGCCTCGGCCTGGCCACGCCGGTAGCCCCGCTCAGCATCTCCGCCGCTATACTCGCCAGTCCCGGACGCATTTCGAGACGAGCTCTGGGCTGACCTGTTCCCCGTACCAAATCTGAATTGAAGGGGGGTTTGCTACGAGGCCATTGGGGTCGCTTCGTAATGGGCACAAAGGCACGTATCTGAGTACAGTGGAGAGAGGGTACCGGGAGGGCTTTGTGCGGATTGGCCAGTGGTGGAGAGAGCTGTAGTGACGACATGAGCGCTAAACCAATCACAGGGGTAAGGGGCGGGGTCAAACCGCATCAACAACCCCCCACACACACACACCACTGTACCTACTGTAAAGGGAAGATAAACAACAGTTCTGAGTATTTGAGTCGACATATGGCTCAAGGTGACAAGAAGCAACATATTTAAAGATGTTATTGGTACACGTGAATATTTAAATAACATGTGTGTTTTCCTTCAGGCCTTTTTGTCCCTCTGTTTAAGTCCCCACCTAGAACACAAACAAGTAACTAACATAAGATAAGATAATCCTTTATTTATCGGGGAAATTTACATTGTTACAGCAGCAAAGAGCAAAGATTGCAGACAAAAAGTGAACACAGTACAATTTAAATTAAAAAAAAAGAAAAATTAAGAATGTACAAAAAAATAGATACTAAAAAATAGATTTAAAAAATAAAAAACAGATTTAAGAAATTAAAAAATAGATTTAAAAAATAAAAAACTGATTAAAAAAATTAAAAAAAGATTTAAAAATTAAAAAACAGATTTAAAAAATAAAAAACAGATTTAAAAAATAAAAAATAGATTTAAAAAATAAAAAAATGTATTTAAAAAATAAAAAATAGATCAGCTATTGACAAAAGTGTAGTCCGTAATATCCTGTGTAACACAGACATGCACATAGTGCACATAAAGTGTGTAAAGTGTGTAACATGTTATTGCACCAAGTGGATGGTTAAGCATAATATAACATTAATATAACATTATTATTGCACAATGTCAGAGTGAATTGTCCGGTTGTGTGTGTTTGTGTGTGTTTACAACCTACAACCTCTACAACTACAACCTCTGACTTTATTGGTCCATCTTTTTGACAGGTAGATTTGGTTTAGTTTATTGTCTATTGTTCAGGGACTATTTACAAAATCTGATTTAATCTAAAGTGATGAGAGGAGATGCATCGCACCATATTTAGCTGATTAGCTAGATTCCGTCTGCAGTCCCTGGGCAGGTATACACACAAACGATACAAAATAAATTAATTTATTTTAATTTATCTAATTAAATTAGATAATAAAACCAGATCACACCATTCCCTAACCTAAAACCTACCATCCTCCAAATCCACAAAGAGCATACTGCCATATGTACCCACACAAACACACCCACACACATGCACGCACACACTTGAATATTGTCTTCAATGTGCAGTAAGAAATCATGAAAAAGAGAAAGGATACCAGAACAAGTTTTAGTGAAGATTAATGCACACATGATTGTTTTTTTCAGGATCTAATTTTTCACTTCACAGGAAAACAAATTCTAAATGTGTGCAGATTTTCAAATCGTTGGGGAGCTAGATGCACAAACCTGTCACAGGAGACATTTAATATTGGACATCCAGTTAAGTTACCCCCTTCCTCCCCCCAGCCTTTTATCTTGTTAATTTCCCTTGTAGTGCACGCTGGTATAAATTTAAATTTGGTTCTCAATGGAAATAATAAAGGTCCATTAAAATCTAGCTAAAAAAGTCTTTATAACAGTAATCTCTAAATTAAATCCTCACTTTTTTTTAAAGTAATGTCCTTGTAGCTATATCATAATAATGTGTGTCTTATTGTATCTCGCTGTAACCTGTTTACTTTTTCCTGTTAGCTGTTTTAATCTTTTATTTACATAAAAGCCTTTCAAGGGAGAGGTGTTGCAAATTAGCATCCACTACAAACACTATACTTGCATTCAGTTTGTCTATGCATATTGTATTTGTTCCTATCAAGTAAACCATTCATAAAAATAATACACATATGGGACAGACTGTAATCCCTTTTTGAAGAGTGCAAAGTTGGTTTTCATCAGACATCTATCAAAGGAAATAAAAATAACCAGAACTAAAGTATTTAAAGGTATATGTAGCATTTCCCTGAGTGTCTGGGGACTAGAACTATGTTTTTTGTTTTTTTAACTATAATAAAATCCAGAGAAATCTGATTCAATTCAAAGTAAATTGTGCATCATTTGATTTCCTGTTTTTTAGGGAAACAAATGAACCATCAGATGAGTCAGGGCGTGAAAAGATGTCCGGTATGTTCAGAAACCATTACTAATCTTCCACACAGACTCTTTCTTTTTGGCATTTCTGTCATTCTTTGAATAAAAAATAAATGTGATGCTTTTCAATCCCAGTATTTGAATAATTCAACAGACACTTTAAGAGGTCTTCTTACTCACAAATCCCCAGCAGGGCGTCGGCTTACCAACCGATGAGACATTTGATCCAATAATTACAAAGCAACACAAAGTTAGAGACATTAAGTTCATGGTACAAAATATGATTCATATAAAATACTGAAAACTAATATGAATTCACATTCATCTCAATTCAGCCCAGAACACATCAAACATATTGTTTAAATAAAAACAAATCAAAATAAATGTCATGACAGGTTTCTCTATACAGGTGACATTAGAGTGAAGTACATATCCATACCTGTTCACTTTTCTTTTATCATTATTCAGCTGATCACACAAAATAAAGATATCACAATTCCGATATGTGCTGAGACTTTTTTTTTTTATTAAACAAGATGTTTGTACAACTTTACATAACATGAAGAGTTGTTTTTGTAAGGCTGCATTTCTACTCTTCATGCCTCACAGCAGTAATAACAGAGAGGAGAGTTTGCACTCCTTATTGTTATAACATTTAAAAGTTCACAGAGGTCAAAACATTGGCCTAAAAAAAAGTAGACAAGGTCTGTGTACATTCAGTTATTCATAAAAAATATGTACAATAAAAATATGTACAAAAAAACATTATACATATCACAGTGCATGAGAGACCCAATGAAACGTTGAATTGTGTTCACGATTAAACCGGCACTGATTTTGTTTTTTTTGCTTCTCTTCTTGGGAATCTTCTTGAAAAGATGAAAACAGAATCCTGATATGAATTACTTTTTACAGTAGCCTAGCAACAAATTATTTTGGAGTTGTGTTTCTGGACAAATATTTAAAAGCAGCATTTTTATTTAAGCCAAGAAGAAGTAAATTTAAAATGGAAAATCGATCAAATTAAACAACAAAATCCAAAAAGACCTGAGGTCAACCTATAGCTCTTTATGCTGCCCATGTTGCACAATTGTTTTTAAAGTAGACTTAAATTAAGTTTTTGAAATGTTGACACATAAAACAGAACTAATTCAAATAATTCTGTGGCACAAAGTGAACATTTCATCACCTTGGCTATGCTACTTTACACAAGCAGCATCTTTGCCTACATCTCTAATCTTCTGTGAACCTGAGAGTTTATGTTCATGCTCTGACAGAGAGCACATAAAGGTTAATTTCCCCTTTACAGGGGATTAGAATCAGGTTACTTCATTGAGCCTTCAACAGTCTATTTAACCTAAAAAAACTTGGTAAACTCGTCTTTCCAGAGTACAAAAAGATGAAGGTTTACATGAAACCAGCAGATCTTCAAGTCGTCTGCTTATGAGCTGCAGTCTCTCAGTCCTTCACGTTGCTCATGGTGACTCGTCTCTCTTCCACACGATCACCATGTTCTTGTCGCTAAGAGCCACCAGGAAGTTGAGCTCCGGGTCCATAGCTACGCTGTTGATGGAGGGGCCCTCCACCTGGCCGAGGCCCGTCCTCATCGGGGCCGGCCACTCCAACACCTGTCAGAACACAGGAACACATCAGAGGCTTAGTGGTGAGAAGAGGAAACAATAAATATAATACTTATATTCTAGATATCGCCATGGTGATAGGAATGGATTGATGAAAGTGCTAACACGATGATTGGGGTCGCGCAAATATCAGAGGATGTTTATGAATATGTGCAAATTGTTGCACAGGATTGTTGTTGTGTTGTGTTAACTGTGTTTGTATTACAATCACGATAGAGTCTAACACATAAGATAGAGTCTAACACATAAGATAGAGTCTAACACATAAGATAGAGTCCACAAATAATTCTTGGAGTGTTGTGTAAACATTACCACAAGAGACGAGAAATATAAAATTAAATGTTGTTTCTCCAAGTCATTTCATGAAAGCAGAGTGGTGAAGTAAAAAGGAAAAATGTGAAGAAGAGATGAATACCTCAGTAGGCAGGACGGGTTTTCCAGCCTGGAAAGTGTTTTTCTGCAGGTCGGTGACGTGGTAGGTCCACAGCCTGCCCTTGTCATCTCCACACACGATGTAGGCCTGGCCTAGAAAGAAGGGAGCAAACATTCAAATGTTAAAATGAGAATAAAATGATTTTTTATCTGAAACACAAAACTCAATAAACAGAGTACACTGACACACTGGATATAAAAAAACAAGAGCATATAAATTAAATACGGTAATCCAAAAAGGTTCTATTACAAATCCAGCTCCACTAGTTTAACTTACCAGGACAAGTGTTGAGAGCCAGGTACGGGATCTCCGTGCTGGCCCACTGCAGCTCGGCCAACACCACGGCACACACCTCGTTGTTCTTCTTATCGGGGCGCTGAGCCTTCGTCCTGCTCCAGCTCCACAGGTAGATGGAGCCATGCATGTAGTTCTTGGAGGCTAGAGGAAAAAAAAAACAACCAATGAATGTAAAGAAGGAGAACATCAAAGGACATTTGAGAGTATGAGGAGAAAAGGAGGAGGCTGTGGGCAGGGTGTTTAAAGTTTTATCATTTAGAACCTGAGAGCTTCTTGAATTTTATAAAGTATACATATTTGACTCGTTACCACAATCATTAACGAGGAGATTTCAACCTTTAAATGAGCCTTAAATATTTACATAACTGACTTTATAGATATCTAGTACACTAGTAGGAACAGATGTGGTCCATTAGGAGTCACAGCCTCACTGCACAATAACAAACATCACATTAGATAATAGCGCCCCCAAGTGGCTGTTTAAAATACTACTTTGTTGTATTTTTTCAGCCTGTTCAGTTTCAGAAACATTTCTAAATTGTGACTGGATTCCTGTTGGATTTGAAATAATAATTAAGATAAATAAGATAATCCTTTATTTATCCCACATCAGGGAAATTTACATTGTCACAGCAGCAAAGAGCAAAGATTGCAGACAAAAAGTGAACACAGTACAATTTAAATAAAAAAAGAAAAATTAAGAATGTACAAAAAAATAGATACTAAAAAATAGATTAAAAAAAATAATAATTAAAAAATAATATATATATAAATAAAATAAAAAATTGACTGTTTAAAAGGTCTGACTTCCTCCATGCAGTACAGCTAAAAAAATAAATGCTTTTCTTAGATTCTTTTAGTAATATGCATTATCCTCATAATGCAATGATATGTTTGGGTTTACACCTTCTGCTCCATGGAGGTCTGTAGGACATTTCATGGCAATCTGCACATTTGCTGTTTTGACGTTTAAAACAAAGAGAGGTCGCTGATGTCTGTGGAAGTGGTATACTTTTAAACGCATGGTAAAGAAGGCAGTGTGAGCTTTACTTACCAACTATGTCATCAGTGAGAAAACTGAGGCCATCGATGGTGTGGTAGTCATTGTCTTTGTCCTCCTTCTTATAGATCGGGAACGTTACCTCCATTTCTTTTGACCTGCTGAGAAAAAAAAAAAACATATATATTCTTTTGTTTGGACAAAGTTATGATTTTATACACACTTGTTTTCTAATGAAATCTCCAGTCAACACACCTGATCTTATGGTCTTTTTATGCATGCATTTTACAAAATAAATGTTTATCAGTGGTCTTAAAGGAAGAATGTGCAACATTTTAACACATAAATGCAGCGGAAATCCAGTTTATCTTCTGTAAATGTCTCTCTGAGTCATGACTGTCTACAATGAGTGAGAAGTGTGAGTCCAGCTGGCTGTGTTGTTGTCAGTGCCGTGTTTACATCATGTTTAGATGGACGGGACAGCAGACTCCCCTCGTTGCGTATAAAAGCTGTTTTAGTCAAGAACATAATCGCTGCTTATTTGGATGTCACATAAGCCTTTTTACATCCTGGTCATTTTGTGTAAATGTACATGCAATGTGAAGCTAACTAGCTAACTTTAGCCTGCTAAAACAACAATGCACAGGCAATGGCAGCCTTAGTGCAAACGGAGGTCTGTCACTGGAGGAGAGCAGGGCTTCAGTAGGGCTGAGGTGTCACCAAACAGCCGTTTTTTTGGCTCAAGGGCGACATCTACTGGATCAAAAGTTGCACGTTCTACCTTAATAATTGTGTGCTGATGTGAGCTGCTGCAACTTTTACATGCCGTCATGATTAAGTTCAAACATAGATGCTCAAAGATGTTACAGGAGTCTGACTTCACAAGAGGTCAGTCATTATAACAACATGTCAAAGTGACACAATATGCATGAAAGGCAGTCACGTATACAAGACACACACACACACACACACACACACACACACACTGTGGATGCCTTTACCTCTTTGAGCTGTTGGTGGTGCCCAGCTGCGTGTTGTAGAAGTGCAGGCCGTCCTCACAGGCCGTCAGCAGGTGTACGTTTGGGGATTTCGGGGGCAGGCAGATGTGCAGAGGGGTGGCACTGACCTCTAACATCAGAAGCTGACTGCAGGGACAAACACAGCAGAAATATTCTTATAATTATCTCCTCAATGCAAATGCAAAAGTACAGTGCTTTTAAAGTATTCATTGGCCCATAAAAACAAAGACAGGATGCATTTTGTTCACCAGACAGAGGTGTGATTATCTCAACAAGTCGTTTTTAAATTGTATGTTGTTTAAACTGGGGAGTCCTTTGTTTCAAGTTTAGTTTTTTTTTTAAGTTTTGTAAAGACTGATTTGTTGTTGGTTATAACACTCACTTTACTTTGAAGTTGTACTGGCCGTCCACTCCACCGATGTCCCACATCACTATCTTGTTATCGTATGATCCCGCTGCAGGACACAAAGCAAACAGGTGATAAGATAAAGCTGAAGTGTAGCAAAGTATGAGAGTGTAAGAGGAAATAAGAAGTTCCCTTCTAAATAAGCTAAAGTTGATCAGAAGTAAGTGTGACTCACTGAACAGGAAGTTTCCCTGGTGGTGGTTGAAACGAAGGACGGACAGAGCTTTGCGGCTCGCCCTGAACTCCCCGTAGGCCACGTTGTTCCTGGGGTGGATCAGTTTGACCAGGCCTCTCTTACCACCGGCCGCCAGAATGCTGCAGTGCTGAGCCGAGGCCCCGCCCCCTCTGGACATCAACACTGTGGACCAGGCCAGAGAGAAGAACTCCTGTCGTGGGAAACAACGTCACACAAACATGCACATTTATTCAATATCCCCAAAACATCTGATCATTATGGACGCACATTGTCACCCCCCTATGTCTGAATGTGTCTTAAGTTGTGCAGAAATGTTCAAGGCTTAAGAGGATAAATGGAGCAAACCTCGCCAGGGACTTTGTACTTCTTCATCACCATCCCCGTCTCACAGTCGATCACACAGAGAGAGTCTCCTCCACAAGTAGCAACCAGACGGCTTCCCCCAGCCCCTGTTCACACAAGAAAAGATTTACACTCATACGCATTAAAACACTCACAGGAAAGCTTTTAAAATGCATTTAGAAATGACATTAATCTCATTTTGATTAGTCTTATTATGCTCAAAATGCCTCGTTGTTGCCTTGGGTCATTTTACCAAGGGACCGTTTTTTCTTTATCTGACAGTACCTGTTGAATCTGGCAGCGGCTGGAAAGCACAGGCCCACAGCTGGGTGGAGAAATCCTCAGAGTTGTCCTGTTTACTGTGACACTGGAGGACGTGGAGAGGCTTCAGGTGCACCGGCTGTTATGAAGGATACATAGACAAAGACACAACCTTAAATGACAAGACAAACACCATTATATCGTTTTTGCTGAATGGATATGAAGCTAAAGCAAAAGATAAAAAAATTAATCAGTGTGGAGCTCTACAAATAGAACCTTAGCTTTTGAGGTCCTACAGTATTAAATTCAGGAAAACCCAGAGTATCCTAAAGCTGTATTCACGTTACCTCTGTGTGCAGCGCTTTGGCTTTAAACTCTTTTTTGCAGATCCTCTTCACTTTGTCCCACGTTGGAGCCTCTTCTGGGAGACTTTGATCCCCTCTGTCCTCTGGTGGGGGTAGAAGGAGGCTGAGCCACTTTGCGAGGGCTCATCCTCACAGTCTGTGTTAGTTCCTGAAGTCTGGGGCGGCCCCTGGACTTCTGAGCACCGCCTGGAGCTGGGGAGGCTGGGAGCGCCTGAAGTCTGGGGCGGCCCCTGGACTTCTGAGCACTGCCTTGATGAGCTGCGGAGGCTGGGAGCGCCTGAAGTCTGGGGCGGCCCCTGGACTTCTGAGCACTGCCTGGAGCTGGGGAGGCTGGGAGATCTGCACATGGTCTCTTACCAGGTGTGATGTTGTCCTCTGTCTCTGAATCTGTTTGTCTCCTCTTGGTAGGTGTTGAGACATACTGAGAAAAGTGAACACATGGTTTAAGCTTCATACAAAATGCCTTACTTAACATTCAGGGTTGCTGCACACTTTAATACTTGTAATTAAACATAAAATACCCAGAAACCATCATCTTAGTAACAAAGGTGGTGCTGGAGCTCTTCACATTGTTTTGTATGATTAGCATTATGATTACCGTTGAGTATTTTATTCATTTGTATTTATTTTGTTTTCAACATCCAGAATTAAGTTTGACAAAACTAATCAATCTAATATTTCAGTATTTATTTCAGCTGGATTTTTGGAACAACTCCTTCCTTGGACGGCAGATGTTGTTATGTCTTGTGTAGTTTAAGATGTTGACATTTTTGATCTTGCATAAGATCCACTACCCACGTGCCCCAGTGGCCGGTTTGTTTGAGTTTAATTCTCAGGCATCAGTTTAATTTACTACCCTCTTAAGTCACTGAGGACAAAAATGTCCACTTCCAAAACAGATTGATATTTTGTTCTACTTTTTTCTGCATACATCTCTTAAACAACTTCAGCCCTGGTCAAAACTACCAAACACTCAATCATTTTTAGGAATTTAAACCTTTAAATGCCAGTTTGATTGCTTGATGTCACTGTTGTTATTTATGAAAAAATTAAATTAAATTAATTAAACTAAAATTGGGTTATTTTCCATATAACAAATATTTGGTGGCTGGGGGATTATTTTTTAATCAGTCTTGGATATGTCAAAGATTTCCAAAATATTGACACTGATGCATTGTTAGTTTTTGTGTAGCATCAGATTTTAAATGTAGTTCCATGCAGGGTGAAAATGTCTAATTTACAAAAACTGCTATAAAAATAGAACAGATTGATATTTTGTTCTACTTTTTTCTGCATACATCTCTTAAATAACTCCAGCCCTGCTCAAAACTGTCAAATATTGAATAATTATCAGGAATTTAACCCTTTAAATGCCAGTTTGATTACATGATTCTGGCATTTAAAGGGTTAAATTAAAGAGGAAACATTTGCCCAAATGGACAAAAATGTCCACAATGATGCAAGAGGGAGGAGAAATCAGCCCCTACAGGTGGTGTACTGTCTAGTGATTAACCCCATGCTGAACTAAACCCCTATAGAGCAGGTCATTCTTCATGATCTTACACAGTTCTCTTGAGTTTTGTTAGACTCCTCCCCCTCGGCTTCATCTTTTGGTTCCGTCAGAGAGAGCAGATACTCCTTGGCCAAAATCTCCACCTGAAAAACAAAAGAGATTGTTAAAAAAACGACAGAAGGCAACACATTTAACGAGTCTGCATTTCTCTAACGTCCTGAACTCACCCTCCATTTGGTGAAGTCGCTGACTGAATTGGGTCCATATTTAACCTGCTGACGGGCCACGTTGACAAACTTTGTCTCCAACGCAGACATGCTCTCTGCTGTGATGGGATCAGGGAGGCTGAAGCTCTTCTCCCAAACTGCAACAATCTGAAATAATCAAAGTAACAATACAGATGTAAAAACCCAAAAGACACTGTCATCTCAGTCTAAGCATATAACTATGCTATGTCTGGAGTTTAACACACACTATGTATGGTGTTTAACACACACTATGTATGGAGTTTAACACACACTATGTATGGAGTTTAACACACACTATGTATGGTGTTTAACACAGGACGATCATTACAGATGTTAAACTATCAGCAGCTGTGTTCATACCCTGGTCCTCAGGTTCTCGCTGTAGACGAAGCGGATGTGGTTGGCAGTGGTTGTGACATCTTTACTGTTGAAAATCCTCAACTTGGGCAACAACACCATCATCTTGTAGTTATCACTGACCTGCGACAGAAAAGCATCGTTAACAAACACGTCTCTCGAGGCAAGGCAGGTTCATGTATGGAGCACCATTTATAAATAAAGCAAGTCAAAGAGATAAATGGAGTTAAAAACAAAACATGTTTAACATTAGGAGCTTTAAAAGACATGAAACTGAGCAAAAATTAAGACATGGTAAGATACTATATTTAAATAAAAGATCAAAAAGAAAACAAAGTATATGAAAATATCCTCAAATTGGGTAAATTTGTTTCTAATCTGGACTGAAAGTCTCTGACTACAGAGTCTTACCTTCCTGACGATACAGATTTAACTACTGGTCTTGCCATAATAAAATGTATTTCTGTATATTAATCCACCCTAGAGCATCTTCCCGAGGATGAAGGCTCAAAGTTTGCTCTCTCTGGGCTCAGCCATGAACTGCACCGCAGGTCTGCTGTGGTGGCAAAAACCAAACCAGTCTTTGCACTTTATTAGAAATCAAAGTTTCTTTGTTGTGCTTTAATAAATTTGTTTTGTGGGTTGTTTTTTTCTTGGACGTAAAGAGGGATTATGTAACCTGCTATGTGTGCCTTACAGTGTCATAGTGGTAAAACCCAGTGAGGTTAAATACATCCTAAAACATTCCAGTTTCTCATCCAGGATTGTAACTTTCCATGTGTTAATCCATCTGTATTAAAGTCAATCGCACAGAAGCGTGATACTGCATTTAAACTAGTTAACATGAGTCTGAGAAGAGATGTCTCCACTAATAATCCATTTTTTTATGTTAAACAGTTTGACATGAATATTATGAAGTAGCTGGTGGCTGCATAATTGTTCTTTGCATTATCAAACACATTTAACAAATAAGAGATAATGTGGATTTTAGCCGCTTGGAACAGGGTCATAAGATTATTTTTGCATTTTTTTACAGAAGATTTAAACTTGTTTTTTACAAACAGGTTTCCAATTCAAAATAATCAAAAGCAGTAATGTAACGTTGAACTTCTATCTGCCTATCCCTTATCAATAACATATTATCCTGTGCAGGATGTCGGACGTTGAAGCTTGTCCCACTTGTCTGTGTATGTTCACACTCGGTCAAAGGCGGGGAACGACCCTTGACGATCAATCACAGGGCTAACACAATGGAGGAGCGTTTACACCCACAGAAACCTGGGAGTTTCTAGCTCACATCATCTGCATGTCTTTGCAGTTTCTGCTCTGTGAAAGGTCGCCCACAGACACGGTTAGAATATGCAAACTCCACATGTATGAGGCGAAAACTGATTGGGGGAATTTAAACAAAATAATCTACGCTACCTCAAAATAAATGTTATATGTATGAGCTGGTGCAGTGAACATGAACAAATAAAAATCTTCTTCTTAATGTGCTTTGATAAATTAAATCAAACATTTCCTAACTTGTATATACGTCTTCTTCCACATGCCAGAAACTGTGTATAGTGCCCAAACTGTGGACTACACACAGATAATGAGGTCATTAGATAAGTCCTTACAGTGATGTAAAGGTTGTCCTCCATCTTGAGCTCCTCAACACCACCCACAGACTCCAGGGTTGTTACGTCCTCCATCTGGTTGTCGCTGAGGTCCAGGTAGCGGAGCGCGGGCAGCTTCAGGTTCTTTGGTAACTCCTGCAGCCGGTTTCCAGACAGATCCAAACGCTCCAGGGACTGAAGACGGGACAGCAACTTGGTGGACAAATCCTGATGCTTCAGAGCCATCTTGGATAGGCTGAATAGTGGAGAAGGTTAAAAGTCAGAATATCAATTCAGTAGGAAATCAAAAGCCTTGGATTTGTGCCATCACCCACCCAATTAAGATTACAATCTAAACACTACATTTATACCCCATCCAGTATGTCTAATTATTGCATGAATAACATCTTATCTATCGTGCCCATGTATGGAGGCTGAGGTACTCGTCGCAGCCGCCGTGTGTTTGAATCCAACCTCGGCCCTTTCCTGCACGTCACCCCCTGAATTCAGTTCCTTCTCGTTGCTGCTGCAGGGACCCTCAAAATACAAATACTACAATATGTTGTTGTGAGCTGCACATTCAATACACACACATAATACAAATTCTTACTTCAGTGTCTTGATTTGCTCCAGCTTGTTGGTCTTTGGAGAGCATTTCTCCAGTAGAAGCTTCTCTGTGATTTTCTCCATATTTTACCTGTAGAGAGAAACACAAGTCAAGTGTGAAATTACCCAAAATACAATCGTACAACAGGAAAGGATACCTGCAGGCTTGTTTGGTAGATTCAGTGCCCTCCTGATTGGCTGAGGTACTCCACCAGTAAGTTTTAACAATTCACCTTTGACACAAGGCCATTTCAAATCTATGCATCCAAAGGACTAACTCATAATCAACACATGGTGGTTATATAGAGTTCATTTGGTGTTCTCCTCTGCAGAGACATGTGTGGTGAAATGCATGAGACTGTTCCTTTGTTGTGTCCTTCCTGAATGTTCAAACATACTCAGAAATTATGTGTTTTTTAGCCTTTTTTGATGGTAGTTTTCAAAGGAAAATGTGTGTGCAGCAAAAGAAAGTGTTAACGATGAGTTTAAGACAAAAACTTTGAAACTTAGCTGAAAAAAATAGACAATAACAAACCAGGACTCCCTTTTCTACTAGTCTACTGTAGGAGCTGTGACTTTAAACACTAGTTTAACAATATAACATGTTGTAAATATATATGTATGGTTAATGTACAGTAAGTTTGTTAAGGAATTAAATAATGTTTAACGTTTTTCCTGGTAACAACTGAGGCTGGTGAACCACGTTGTAAGCACCGACTACAGTCTCACAACTTTATTAAGACTACTGACAAAATACATTATTATGACGCTGACGTGCCTACACTTTACGTTCATTTAACATAATAAACTGTAAGTCAGTCATTTCTTTTTTATTCAAATTAGTGGATAAATTACTCACCTTACACTTCAACGACTTCAGAGATCTCACTCCTCATGCACAAACTGAGCTTTCCCGGGGAAAACGCTACGTATATCCGGTGGGCGTGGTTTAAATGTGCTCTGAAGCCTAACGCCCTGAGTTCAGTCTGCCAGGCCAAACATACTGTAATGCATTGGTTCCAGTATTATTTACAGTCTTTGATTGGTTCCCAATCTGGAGTCCGGGCCCCCCCATAGGGCCCTCAACTTTTCTTCGATACAAGGAAAAAAGGGATCATTGGTTTTGGTTCAATCAGCCAGTCAGGTTGATGATCTGTTGACAACAAGTTGTTTTCTGAATGATAGAAGTAAAAATGTGTGTAGAAAAATTAACACTGAATTTTTTAATTGCTCAGTTATATAAACGTTGCTGTAGAAGTTCTTAAGCCATACCGTTTTCAACTTTGAAAATTATTTAAACATTTTGTTTTATTTTTTTTATTTAAATTTTTAAATATATATATGTATATTAAATTGTAAAATATTTTTTCTATTATTAAAAATATATATTTTTTTAATTTAAATTTAAAATCCCTGGAAAAATAAACCCAACATGTAAATGCTTTAAGATTATGTTTAAACACTGACGGTTCTTTAAATGTTATCAGACAGACAGACAGTATCTTCTTATTTATAATAAATGTGTGTACCTTAACTCGTTGCTGTTTTTTCTCCTTTTAATTTAGCCAGAACATGTTCATGTACTTTTGTCTTATTTTATTTTATTTTATTGGTTTGTGTTCCTTTGATCGTTTTCTAATAGTTACAGTCTATGTTTCCTTTGCATCTATTCAATTTAAATGTTTGTGTGCTGTTGTTATGAGACATGTTGGTTAATGCAAATCTTCGTTAATGACTGATGTAAATATGTTTGATTTGATTTTTAACTTCTATTTTTATTTTTAATAATTATATTCCCGTCCCCTGTTTTCTTGAGCTGCTGTAATGCACAAATTTCCCCCATCAATAAAGTTTATCTTTATCTTTATTTGCAGAGTTCCTGTGGAAACAACAGTTAAATAAATAATAACACCTAAATACTTTTTACAGTCTCAGGGTTAATATGAACATTTCCGCTAGGGGGCGATATCAACCTATTCCAACAGGAGTGTGCTACCCGCCGGGAACACACGAAGAAGATGCAGGATGATGGCTCCTGACAGCAGGGACGGCACTACTTCATGTGCTTGTAAAGGAATAAGGCGGTGTCTGATATGCGAACATTTAACAGGAAATGGACAGTTGGAGGCAAATAAACCAAAGGTAAACAAATATTAGTGAAAAACGGATTTGACATTTATTTAGTACGCTGTAAACAAACACAGATAATGCTACCTAGCGCCATAGTCGAACATGTACGGATGCTCTCATGGGACATTCTCGCGAACCAGGTTGAAACGCCTCAGTTTGTCACTTTGTAACAGTATTATTACATTATTAAGACAGATGACATTTCTCTTGTTACTAGTTACATTGGTATTTCGTGCTTAAAGGAAGAAACAGCAGTGTGTGTTTACTTTCACAGTCAGGATGTTTTTGTTTATGTGTGTGGTCGGTACACTTCTCTGTTTGGCTGTTTAATGTTGCTCCTCCTGAATTGGCATTAATTGTTATCATGCAGTACTCAGACATTTATTTAATTTTGTGAACTTGTGGTTAACCATCAGAGATTACAATATCATGAATGCTATAGAATTTATTACTGTAAATATTATTTATCTTATTTTACCTTATTTTATTTTATTTTATCTTATTTTACCTTATTTTATCTTATTTTACCTTATTTTATTTTATCTTATTTTACCTTATTTTATTTTATTTTACCTTATTTTATCTTATTTTACCTTATTTTATTTGATCTTATTTTACCTTATTTTATCTTATTTTACCTTATTTTATTTGATCTATTTTACCTTATTTTATTTGATCTATTTTACCTTATTTTATTTGATCTTATTCTACCTTATTTTATTTATCTTATTTTACCTTATTTTATTTGATCTTATTTTACCTTATTTTATCTTATTTTACCTTATTTTATTTGATCTATTTTACCTTATTTTATTTGATCTATTTTACCTTATTTTATTTGATCTTATTTTACCTTATTTTATTTGATCTATTTTACCTTATTTTATTTGATCTTATTCTACCTTATTTTATTTGATCTTATTTTACCTTATTTTATTTGATCTATTTACCTTATTTTATTTTATCTTATTTTACCTTATTTTGGTTGTATTGCACCGTGGGATGGAGACAAACGCAATTTCGATTCCACTGTATGTCTGGCATATTTTGAAATTGACAACAAATTGACTTTGACTTTGACTTTGAATAATGAAGGGTCTACCTGTCGTCTTTTTTTCTGTAAAGATTGTGCATAATTTCCTCTACAATCCTGAGACGAAGCTTGCAGAAGATGCAGAGGGTGCATCCTTCACGTTTCCTGGTGTCTTCCTGTGGGAGAACTTTATATCTGAAGAGGAGGAGAAGGAGCTGCTAAACCACATCGACCAGGATGTGTGGAATGAGTCGCAGTCCGGTCGGAGGAAACAGGTAATGAGGAACACCTTTAGTTTTTACATTTTAAATGCAGCCAATCACAACAAATTTGTCGCAAATTGATGTCTGTCATAGTTTACTTTGTATGTAATTTACCAGGGCGAGGGGTTTGATTGATTTATTTTATATATTAAAACTGGATTCCAACATTTCAGAATATAAGATGTTTTGCACCAAGTTTTAGGGTAAACTCACAAATGATCTTCATACCAAATAGCTAAGTTTTTAGTCAAGGTGACCTACATTTGATAAACTGCATGTAGTCAATATTACAATAAACATTCTTTTGTGAATATCACACACACATACCATTATTAATATTATTAAAGATGATTACATTCTGATAAAAACAAACTTTTTACTCATATTTTTGTTGCAGGACTTTGGACCAAAAGTGAACTTCAAGAAAAGAAAAGTGCGTTTTGGTGGCTTCAGTGGACTTCCCGCCTTGAGTCAAAAACTCGTGCTCCGGATGAAGCTAGAGCCAAGTCTATCAGACTTTCAACCTGTGGAGCAGTGCAATCTGGATTATCATCCTCAGCGAGGTTCTGCCATCGATCCACACCTGGACGACTCGTGGCTGTGGGGGGAGCGCTTGGTCACCATCAACATGTTATCGAACACCACACTCACCATGTCCCTTGAAGAGGGTCTGCCAGGGTTCGGCTTAGCAGAGGAAGTCCAGGTAGCTGTGCATCTTCCTCGCAGATCTTTAGTGGTGTTATACGGCGAGGCACGGCATAGATGGAAACATGCCATTCACAGGGAGGACGTTCATGAGCGCAGAGTCTGCAGCACCTACAGAGAGCTTTCTTCAGAGTTCCTACCTGGAGGGCAGCAGGCAGAGCTGGGAGCTCAGCTGTTGAACATTGCTTTGAGCTTCAAAGGAACCCCAATATAGACTCAACTGATGAGGCAGAGGAGATTTTCAGACGCCTGTAGACATGGTGGAACTTTTGCATTTCAACTAAAATGAAAGGCAAAACTTGTTTTAATGCTTATGGTGCCTCTTGTGACATTTTGCCTCAAATTGCAGATTGAAGTTGTGGCGTTGTTCTAATGAGCAAAATCCCGTCAAAGATAATTAAAGGGACTGCACTCAGGCTTTGTTTCACCTGTTAACAGTCAACATTAATCCAAAGACTTGATACAGTGATAAGTCAGCTTTTGCACCTTCAAATATAAATAATGATATATTTTTATATGAAAAGGCACTGTCATGTAAAATAGGCTCCAAATGTAATTTTTAACCTGAGTTGGGATTTATTTTTGAGAAATGTAACCATGGTGTGCATATCTATTCATAAAGCAAATTAATGCAGATGAAAGGTAAAAAGTAACATACAGCAGATCTGAGACGTTGCACGATATACGTGATATGAGTGGGACAAAAATGTTTTTCTTGATCTTGCCTTTCAACACTTGTTTTTTTAAATCTGTATTGTTTGAATAAAAAAGAAAAATTGAAAGTAAAACTTGTAAAGCAAAATATCTACCCAAAAACAGTCATACAGAAACGTAATGTTTTAACTGCTAGCGAAGGTCTAAAAGGTAAATCAGGTTATTTTAGATACAATCCAAGAATAGCTGTCTATAGAAGCTGTTTTGTCTGCTAACTTCAATAATATATTAATATTAATAATAGATCTGCCATGTATTCTTTCTCTTGCTTTGCTTTAAGTTATAAAAGTGTAAATCTCGGAGCGTGCAATTTTAAAGGAAAAACTAAGAAACCCCCAGAATGTTTCTAAAGTCTTTAACATGTTTTTGATTGATTCTAATAATTTTTGTTCTCATCCTTGTCGCCTTTTTAAACATGCATTGATTGAAATATATCCTTGAATTTGTCCTGCAGCTGTGAGGTGTCTCTGTAATAAACGTCAGCATTTCTGTGCTTAACGTAGCTGTAATGTTTAGACTTGGCCAGACAGGAGCACTGCTGGCTGCAGCTGATCTGACGCCGAGCTGCTCAGCTGCTGCAGTGAAGAGAAGCATCATTAATAAAGGAGTGGCTGCTGAAGTGAAGGTCATCATCCCCCTGCCGTGCTGCTGCAGCTCACATGTTGTAATGCACACATTTAAAGGACCACACAGTTGTGTTTTTTAACACTGAGCTCATAAATGATCGATAATGTGAACATGATTTGATCTCTGAGTATGTTCCTATAACTCTAAATCTGTCATTGATTTTCAGTCACGTCACTACAACCATCATCACACCTACTAGCGAACAAAACGAAAAACAATCAAAGATGGAGTCTAACTGCAGATTTTTTCCCCCAAGAAAAAGTATTCTTGGATGGTGAGAAATTACTTTGCAAACCATTTACAATATTCTTTTCTACTGTTCATTCAAACTGTTTAACAGTTTGATATCTATGAGCACTTTTTTTTTGTCCTGTAACTGGAACACAACTATTTCTGTCCGAATAAAAGGCTTTAAAAACAAATGAAGTAAGGAGTTATTTCAAATTTAATTTAGGAAAAAGTGCATAAAGCTTTTTACAATAAGAGGAGAAGAGGTCAAAATGCTCCAGCATCACTTGTAGTATGAAGATTTACTTTATTAACAAATTAGATTGACGCATTTCGGCTTGTTGCCTTCATCAGGGTCATCAGTCAAAATACCTTTTTAACGCCCTAATTATTTGTTTTACTAGTCATAAATTTTGATTGACTGATTCAATTTATTTCAGACATATAAATAAAATCAAACATGTAAAAAATACAAAACAAAATGAAAAGCACGAAAATACAATAAACAAAAAACAAAGTTCAAATTATTTCACAAAAAAAGAAAAAGAAAATTACATATATTCAATTGATATGCCTGAAAAGGAGGAGGAAGAAGTATAAAACTTATTTAATCCTACCCCTTTTCCACAGCTCAATAATTAATATTTGTACATTTGTTTCTACATTCCATTTGTTTTTAATATTTTTGCTTGTTTTAATTGTAAAGCTCTGTAACTTGTTTTTGAAAAGTGCCATATAAATACAGTTATTATTATTTACATATTGTATTTAATTCATTTAATTTTGATCTGGAATAGAATAGATGTTGATTGCCATTTGCACAGGTACAGGACGGTGCAGGTACATTGGAATTCTTGTGCGTTTCTCCCTGAGTCCAGCTTCTACAAAAAAAAGTAAAAATTATATATAAAATAGAATAGCATTATAAGAAAAAAAAAAGTACAAAAGTACAACAACAAAAAAAAAGTAAAAATAAGTTGTAGTAACAGCTAAGTGATTTAAAATAAACTGTACAGAAGCTATACATCTATGTGAAGCATTCTGTTTTTAGGCAAGGCAAGTTTATTTACATAGCACATTTCGGCAACAAGGCAATTCAAAGTGCAATTGACTGTACTTAAACAAATAAATAAAGCTACCTTTCTTGCCAATTCGTTGACCCGACCTTTATTTTGAAGGGCTCAGGCGGACATCCTTGTTTACTCTTGTCTGCTGGAGCTTCTGTAACCTGTTTGTTGATCGCTCTCTGAGGCTTATTAACACCCCGAGTTTATTATAAGCCGGGTTGATTTCTCAGGGGGTTTCAACTTTCCGTTGTCGGGAAAAGATAGCCGGATATCAGACAAGCAGACACAACAACATAACGTGAAATGTCAGCGGCGTTTACCAGGCGACGGAATCACACTGAGAGAGGCTTTTCAAATGTAGCTTGTTAGCTAGCTTCGTGTACACACAGCCTTTTTTGTTCTGCTCTTGAACAGCCTCTCTGCATGACAAATTAGACCCAGTGTCGAGGACAGACAGGGCGCTGAAACACAGCGGCTTGTTCAGGTTGGAACAACGCGTCAAGAACAATTTCTGGTCGTCAACCTCAGCCCCGGGGCTAACCCCCGGTCGCCGACCGAATTAATGGCCGGAAATCCGAGGAGGGGCGCCGGGCTCATCGGCTTGATGAAGGACGCGTTTCAGCCCCACCAGCAGCCTCTGCAGCCTCACCAACCTGCAGTGGTCGATAAGAAAATGGTGGAGAAATGCTGGAAACTCATGGATAAGGTAAAGACAGTGTTGGGTTGTTAAAAATAGAAAGAAACGGAACTGAAAGATGTTTTATTTCAGCTGCTCCACAGAAACATTTTCCACTGACACTTTGCTCTTTTTCTACATCATTATAGGGGAAAAAAACCACTTGTTTCTAATTGACTTATAACCTAGCTTTTATAATGTTTATAGTTAGGGTTGTCATGACAATAGATATTCTGACGATATCAATATCTGTTTCGATTGCCATGGCAACAGACATGTAACTAAGGCCCCCAACATTTGCTAATTTCTTTTAATCCCCCCCCCCCAAAAAATGCTTGCAAACTCCTTTACACACTCTGTCAAATACACTAAAGCAAGAAAAAAAAGAAAATGAAATGTATTTTTACAATTTAGACAGAGCCTGCTCTCTTTGGGTTAAGTTTCTGTACTTTTTGATTCTGAAACTTTCAGATAACACACATTGTATGCATACTTATATGGAGTATCCAACATGTTGACAACCCTGTATCCACATAGATTTAACTCTTTTAATTCACATGTGTTTGGTCTCATCTGTGCAGCTCCTTGTTCTATACTGAGCTGAGCGATATTTCTATATACAATAATTAATTTGTATAACGGCGCTACATATCCAGGTGTGTTTGACCATTTCTTTTGCAGATTTCATGCAACAACAACCCGTTGAAAGTCCTTTTTTCTATTTTTTACAAGTAAAAGGTTTATATAGTGTGAGTATTATTACTCTAATTTGTCATTTGAAAAGTCTCACTTTGCTGTGACTTTTCTGCTGCTGCAAAAACGTGAAATTCCCTCCAATTGGGTAAAGTTTATTTGATGTTGGCTTCTCTAAGATTTGCTATTATACCATTTTTTTGTTTTGTTTTTTTGCATTCATATCAGCTTGAAGTTGTGGAGATGAAAACCCCCAAATTTGGAGTGTGATGGTGTCCCTGATGCATCATCTAACTAGGACAAGTTATCGTTAAAGAGGTCACAGTTTTGCTAATCTGTTGATCATGTTGTCAGTGATGTCAGTGATGATGTTTCCTGGAGAGCGACTCCATATTTTTTGGTTTAGATCAAAATAGATATGTTGTTCTTTATGGAATCAGGCTAACGTTTCTTTCACTCCTTGCCGACTGTCACTTTGGTTTTTATCTTTTGCACAATCTTAACCGAGCCAGACAGGAGAGCAGAAAGTAGAGGGAGACGAAGGAGACAAGCGTTTGCACAGAAGATTAATTCAGGAGGGCTGGAGGAAGAAGAGAGAAAGACATCTGATAAGGCCGTACAATAATAACGTTGCATGCCTGTGCAGCGTGCTGTGCAAAGAGGCAGCTGTGTTGCCTCGTTCACACCTTACACGTGTGATGTTTTCTCTCACGTCACACATGGCGCTGACTGATCCACTTTGATGATGGAAGTTTTAATGCTCTAGTCAGGTGTCAGACGAGCTGTGTTTGATACTGAAAGTCTTTATGGCTTTGCAGTGAAGTCGTATTAAGATAACTTATCACTGAATACACAGTTGTTTGATTGGATTATTGTGAGAAATGTAGCGTCACGTAATCTATGTGAGAAAAAACATTTCCTTGTTTCTGTGTTTTTTTTAAGTGTTCACATTAATTCGTTAAGTTGTTGCATTTTGTAGCATACATGTGATAATAGTCCCGCTAATTAAGCTACATCTCCAAACTCGGCCACTTCCCATGCATCCCATCTTGGTTATAAAAGTTGTTATACGTGTCATGTAGTGAAGCAGAGTAAACATTAAAGTCCACAGCCTGTCACTCACACAGTTTATTTATACCACTGTGCAAACAAAAAAAACCACTCTCATCCTTCCTGTTTTTTACTAAAGTCCCCAACACACATCAGTTTAGTGAACAGAACATGACAGATGTGAAAGCTACCACATCTCAGAAAGTCTTTTTTTAAAGAGATATAAGTACAGTGTTATTATAACAGATAGAAAGAATGTAAATGGACTTGAGCTTGTTTTCTAGTCTTCTGACTACTCAAACCTCTTTGACACCACGTTACACCTGCCTATTCTCACACTGATGGCAGAGGCTGCTTTGTAAAGTGTCCATCAGAAGTAACTAATCTCACTCATACACATTCATAAGACACTGACGAAGCAGCGAGAGCAATTCAGGGTTAAGTGTCTTGCCCAAGGACACATCGGACATGTGGCTGCAGGAGCTGGGGATCGAACCCCTAACCTTCAGGTTCGAGAGATGTCCGACTCTACCAACTGAGCCACAGCCGCCAAACTATGAAAATTAGACTCCACTTGTAAGCTTTAAAGATGCTGATGTCTATGAGTCCCTAAAAGGAAAGTTTGGCAGTCATTTAGTGTAATTGTGACAGAGTTTTCCTAGTTTTTGACGACCTTTTGACCTCTCCTCCAGAGCCATCACTGGGACAGGGGTCCTAATGTAGCCACGATAGCTCATAATCTATTTGGTGGATTACCATGAAAATTTGTAAGCAAGAATAAGCTCCAGAGGAGATCATCGCTTTTGATTTAAATGACCTCGTATCATTTCATCAACTAACTTATCAAATAATGATAGAGATGTCATGAGCTAATTCTAAAGGAGTGGTATGTGGCCATATTTGAATGGATCAGTATAAGCTTGAATAAAGCAGATCAAAAATTTGATCCTCAGCTGAATCCCTGTGTCCAGCCTCTGGACATGCAGACTGATCCTGTGAGCATTTTTAGATGTATACACAGTGAAGTGTTTACCCTAATGATGGTAATCATATCAGATCTGCAAGGCCATGAGGCTGCAATGATATAAAAGCTGCTGATAGGATAGACTAATGACTTCAATAAAACATTTAATACGTTTTTATTACGCCTTTACCTCAGTGTGTTACTATATTATGATATGTGCAAAAGTTCAACACACAAAGTCCGTCTTTAAGTGGGGTATTGGAAAAACTACAATGACGCAATCCAAATCTCTACACCTTCTAACCGTGTGAGTCTGAAGCCTGCTCTTTTTGAAGATATTTGGAATCGTTGCCATTACAATATTTGTCCAACAGAATGCACGTGCAAGTTTATTTTGATCTGTTACTTTCCAGAGTAGAACAATGTTTGGGACTTTAAGCCTTTATTTGGTAGGACAGTGGAAAGAGTGGGGCATCATGACATGCTGGACAGGAGCCACAGGTCAGATTTGAAACCCGGGCCGCCCCCTCGGAGGACTACAGCCTCTGTACATTGTCTCGCTGCTCTCTAACGATGACCCTCATGGCTCTGATTTAATGGATTTCATAGACTAATGCAAGTCATCCTTTTTGGACATTAATGGAAATGGCGGTGGATTGTTAAAAGAATAAATCCTTTAGTGATCAATGGGCGGCCTGTGGAGTGTTGAGGATGACGCGCTGACCTTTGAGCCTCAGGTGGATGCTGTCTGCAGAAAATCAAAGAATGTATTTGTATCGTAAGCTGCATACTTTTAATGTAAATAGTCTTTTAAAAGTAGTTCTTGTTTTACTGAGCCTGTTCTTGCCTTCTTGTTTATTTGCTTTCATCTGTGACTTAATTTGAAAAATTAAAAAAACAGGTTGCTGGGCATTGTTAAAATGTGCTGCAAACTTGCAGGCACTACTCTTAATGACTTGGCTGTTGTATTCAAACTCAGGACCCTTAAAAGAGTCCAGTCTATCCTTGATGAACCCAAAGGAGTTCATGCTGTCAGCAGATACACCCCTCTGGCATGCAGGACAAACAGACTGTTGTCCCGACCGCCATTAGTGAGACATTTATTTCTGATATTTATTCATGCTGCTGCCCTTTTTTAAATCAATTTAGTGTTTTTTTCTGATGTATCCACAACTTATTTTATTTTCTTCTATAGTCTGTGTGATGGTTTGTGTGGTACTGCTGCCTGTAAAGCAAATTGCCCCTCAGAAATAATAAAGAAATCCTTGATCCGTGGGCACGACCTAACCGCCACACCATCTGTACTCATGATTTCCCAACGATGTCTGGGTGGTGAGCAAGTTTGAACACAAATGTCCAAACAGATTCGTCCAGACATTGAGACGATTTTTCTTCCTGAAATTGTCAGGAGTTAATGTGTGAAGGGGTCAACAGACTCACACTTTGAAGCATGTTCCCCCTGATAGTTTGCAGGTTAGGGGTTGCCCTACTGTCAAATTATCAAACGCATGAGATGAGCGTACTGATCCATGAGTCTGTTTATCTTCATTCTCTCCTGTGGGACTTGGACATAGTTCATCAGGATATGTTGATGATATCTATGACATGGTTCTCCAGCTGTTTACCAAATGTGCATAATGTAAGCCAGGACTGAAATCAGAAAGTTGATCTGTTAGTGACAACATCCGGCTTCAGACTGATGTTTTTTTTCACCTTTTGAAGTGATGTTTATCATTTTAGTCAAATAGCCACATAAGAATATCAAATTAGTTACATCAGATTCACATATATAAGTTTTGATTGCTTGTCTAAATGTAGAAAAAAGAAACTCACTGGAGGTGTGTTTGTTGTAATTAAGAGCTGGAGTTTTTTTTCAATGTAACCCTGGATGTATCAATACCATTCCTTTTTTTTAAACTCTATTTCCAGCTCTCATGGACTCACACACTGCATGCTAGATATCAGTGCATCTCTGATCTGGCTTTAAGGTGAAGAGTGGATTGGACCATAGTAGCTCCATATCTTTATGAATTGTGGGTAATTAAATCAATGAAGTCTGCATCCTGGTCGGATTTTCCGAGAGTCAGCAGAAGGTCTACTTTAGGGCCCTTGCAGAAGGAAGGAATTGTGGGTTTGGAAAATCCTCAGCACTAGCAGACTTTGTGGGGGTGTTTCGGGGAAGTCTGAAAGAGACTCTTATGTCCAGATATTTGCATTCAGCTTAACTGTACTGAAACGTGTTGTGTCCACCTCAGTTTGTTAGTTTTGCTTTTCTGTAGCGCACGCAGGATCTGCACTTCAAGCATTTCACTACAGCTGAAGGCTGTATATTTGAAAAATGATTTTGTTCTGACTGCCAGGTTGTCAAACTTAGATTTAGCTTAGACGATAAAATAGAAAAACCACTTCTTCTTCTGTCTTACACAAATAGAGCAGCTGCTGCAATCAGATGTTGCTTAATAACATCAGTTCGTGATTTAGTAACTTGCAGGCCAAAATAAACATCGACTGTTTTACTCTGTCTGTTCTCCAGCCAAAGATGTTTTGAGATATAAGAAGCGTCACTCTGTAGCAAAGTGTTTTTGACATTACCAAAAAGGTTGATATGTCTTCTTGTTGTCGGTCCCTTCAGGCCAATTTTAGGAGTTAATTCTCTCAATAATAATCTAAATAAACCAGCATTTAAATCTAAAAGCAGACCTTTTATTATTCAGATCAATACATTAGGACTGATATTTAGAAAGGGGGGAACTAGTTTTGTTGAACACATGGGAGCCCCACTGTGTTTTCTAAGACTTGTAAAGTTTGAAGTTGTTCTTTAATATTAACTTGAGGCCCTTTTTTGTCACTTATCCAGGTGGTGCGTTTGTGCCAGAACCCCAAGGTGGCTTTAAAGAACAGCCCGCCCTACATCCTGGACCTGCTGCCTGATACCTACCAGCACCTGCGCACCATCCTGTCCCGGTACGAGGGCAAAATGGAGATCCTGGGGGAGAACGAGTATTTCCGCGTGGTCATGGAGAACTTGATCAACAAGACGAAGCAGACCATGAGCCTTTTCAAGGAGGCCAAGGAGAGGATGTTTGAGGAGAACTCCCAGCCTAGGTAGGCGTCGTATATATCCGGATGAAATGTCATTCCTCCTTGTTGCTAAAGAAGGCTGTAAAAGCAGTTTGCTTGAAAAAGTTGTGAAACAGGGGAAGTGTTTGATAACTGACAGATGTTACAGAGATCATCAGGATCAACATTGTTTGAGTTGGCTGATGATCACGATTGTACAAGCCTGCCCTTAATTGGTGATATCACTGTTGCCTGAAGCTACCTCTGTTACAAGCAGCATGGTCTTAAGAGTGAATTAATCAGGGATTATGTGGTTTGCAGTTCAGAATGATCCCTCAGAATTGGTTGATAAAGGATAAGCATGCCTCTGTAAATTGAAAAGCTTTGCACACATCCAGTCTGTTTTGTTTAAAAGTAAAGTAAAACATCGTCCTCCAAGCAAAACAATTTGAAGCTAAGAAAAGTCCTCTGTCCATTTCTGTTATTTCAATAAGGCTGTGATAAACGGAACGTAGAAACAAAGCGAAAGAACTCATTCATAGTACTGCAGTGGCCTCGTTTCAAACTGCCATTATTCTATTTGGCCGACACAAAGTTGGCAGCGACCCACTGACATAATTACAGTGCATGTGTGGGTTTTAAGCAGGTCAGCTAACCACTATATCCACAGAAAGAAACGGAAAGATTCTGCTCTGTCAGCTTTTTTTTTTTTTCTTTCTCTGCCGCGTTTAGAAAACACTACATGTCCATATTTGGCGGCTGAGAAGTTTCTTCAGACTTTCCATCCCTGTGATGACACACACACAAACAGCATCATCTGTCAAAAGGCAGAGCAGAAGTATAATCACTCAAATGTCTGATACAGTCCCGATTAAACTGTCACAATCACATCCACTTCCTCTCCCTTCTCAGAAATCCATTACTAAGCGAAAGTTCCTTCCTCTGTCGCCCTCCGATTTGTATCAAGCATTTCCTCACAGATTCTCTGAATCAACAACTATTTTGAAGGTTAGCAGATGTATCGGCCTCCTGGGGGTTGTGAAGATCGGACATAGCGACTGAATCATCAGTTTAAAGTTTCAGAGAATTGTGAATCATGAAGATGTTGCTAGTAAACCATGTTGCACCTCATCATGCGTGTGAAAATAATAAATAAAACCAGGTGTAAAGTTGAGGGAAAAAAAGGCTTTGACTCGGTTAATGCACCATACCAGAAGTCCAATGTTATAAGACTTAAGCCCAATGCCAGCTGGTTTCTGTTTGATTGTTGTGTCATTTTCATGCCCTTCTCCCCCTAAAACAGTTAATCACTCACGCTAATCCATACATGTAAATTAATTTTCAAGTAGAAAACATTGTGTTCCCTTTAGCTGAAAATAGAGTCTTATTTCAAAACCTACCTGCAAATGTTCGGCCATTACTTCTGTAAATATGAGTAGACAAGTCGGTGTATGTCTGCATCTAGAGATTATTTTCAGGGAAAGGGTTTTGGCAGTACATTTACTAGACCTGCATGATATGAGAAACATGCGATTTGCATATTGTGATGCTGATTTTGGGTTGAGGCCATTATAGTACAGCTCAAATGTTGATTACGAAGGAATTGCTTTTTTACATAAATCATTATTGTATTATTTACTGTGAGGATGAGGCTATATCCGTTTTTATTGCCTATGCTCATAATGTGATTATTGTGAAATTAGGATTTATTCTACATCTCTCAAAATTAAAGAGAAAGTGGAAAAGATCTGGTCACCAAAAGTTGAAATTCTTTCCATGTCTCGTTTTTTTCAACCAGCAGTCAGTAAACCAGAGATGTTAAGACTGCAGTGACATTTATGCGGACATGTATCAAGCTGGTCAGCAAATATGAAGCTTAATCTTGAAAAGATACCGAAAATGTAAGTGAGATACAGTTATATATGTATCAGCTTTATAAAGGTTTTTCTCTACAACATTTTCGACCAAGAAACTGGATTCTTTTTTGATTGAGTTTTTTTTAGAAAGGGTTTTGGTTTGACGTCAGACCCTCAGACTCCGATATTAAAATAAGAATTTACATGAATAAATGACCAACCTCGATTGGATCTGCAGAGTCCCTTTCCAACTAAGGCGAAGCTAAAGACCCAGCTCTTTCATGAACATTTATGCTCATCATGTGACGATGATGAGGTTGATATCGATGATGATGACATCCAGGATGACGTTGATGTGGTGTAGAATATCTATGATGATGGTATCAAGTAACAGCTTTGGATGTTGTTGATATCCACAGTCTGTGCACTGCCTGTCAGCACCTGTATCCAAACAGACCTGAAGCTCTTCATTTTCACTTCCTGATGTTGTTTTGTCCTGTTTAAGTCCTTGCTTGTGTTGTATTGACTCTCAGATGTAAGTAGCTTTGGACAAAAGCGTCTACTAAATTAAATATCTTTTTTTATTGATAAAGCAGATTCTTTAAAGACTGAATTTTTAAAAAAGGAGGAAAGCTGGACAGTGAGGCTGTTGACAGAATACAAACAAAAAAAGATTGGAATGATAAATTAATGTTAATGATACATTTGGTAAGTCTGGAAGCAGAAATACTTTAAAGGGGACATATTATAAAAACTTGTACAGTGTTTTTGAACATATATCTGGGTAACCTGAGTGTCTACTGACCCACAAAATGTGAAATAAATCCATCCAGTCCTTTGTTTGTGGTCTGCATAAGTCTTAAAACACAGAGAAAAATGCTCCCTTTCAAATTTGTTCTCCTTGTGATGTCACAGTGGGATTCTGGTTTAAAAAAATCCCCTCCCCTTCCCTGGTATCTCCACCCATGGACTCCACCTTCAGCATAGAGCAAAACTTTTGAGCAGGTCTGCCATTTTTATTCTTGCTAGCAAAGGAGTGATGTCTACTGGGAAAACTGAGGGGGGCATTGCATTTAAAGAGACACACACACCAAAATGGAGCGTTCTGAGAGAGCTGGTTTATACAGGGTCACAAACCTCCTCTGGTGCTTGATTCATGTTATATTCTGACCAAAGCACAGCACAGATGTTTCATTTAGACCACAGGGGACTGTTTGAAAAGGTGGAGGAGGGGAGAATATGTCCTCTTTAACAGAAAAATTAAATGATAATAAAAACAGAGAAAAGAGCACGGGGAGGAACAGAACTGAATTAAGGGAAAATGAAATGTATTTTGTTGATTACATGTGTGTGTTTGTGTGTGAGTGTTTTGTTCAGTAACATTTGAGTTGTTCTGTGTGTCAGGTTTGTGGAGTTCTGGGTGAACGAATAGTAAAGATACACTTTAATTCAATATGATTTGCCTTGTAAAGCAATGGGTAATCACATACTCTAATCTTTCTGATCAAATATGAACTCCTGGTTCGTTAATAACCGTCACTAACTTGTCTTTGTGTGTGTCTCTCTCTCTCTCTCTCTCTCTCTCTCTCTCGTGTCACTCAGGCGAAACCTCACCAAGCTGTCTCTGATCTTCAGTCACATGCTTGCAGAGCTCAAAGCCATCTTCCCCAATGGCTTATTTCAGGGCGACAACTTCAGGATCACCAAAGCTGATGCGGCAGAATTTTGGAGAAGGTCATTCGGGGACAAGTGAGTCAAATATGAAATGTGTCAGAAGAGAAACATGTGATCGTGCAGAATCAGGTGTTTGCTTGCTAACTGAACTCTGACATTTTGTATCTGTAGTTTAAGGAAGTTTCTAAAGTTTCTGTCACGTACATTTTATCAGAAGTAATTCAAAACATCTTTTCACACATATTCTGTTTGATATCGGAGCTTTGATTCTGAGCTGGTGGACACAATGTATTAGTGGTGGGAGTCACAGGAAAACTTAAATTAATTAATAAAAAATAATTAAAATATCAATATTATCACCACCCCTGCGACACATGGTCTTCAAACTGAACTCTGTGCCCTGTTCTGTAGGACCATAGTGCCATGGAGGACATTTCGTCAGGCTCTCCACGAGTTTCACCCAATCAGCTCGGGCTTGGAGGCCATGGCTCTCAAGTCCACCATCGACCTCACCTGCAACGACTACATCTCCGTCTTTGAGTTCGACATCTTCACCAGGCTCTTCCAGGTTCGGCCCTGAACGGCAGTGCACCCTGTTGATGCATTTTCAATAAAACATTCAGTAATTCAGAAAAGAAAATCAGAATGACACTTTACTTAAAAGCAGAAATATTTAGAGTTTTAAGAGTTTTTCAAAGTTTGCTGTCAGGATGGAACAAATTAAAGATTCATGCTGCAAGCCTATGAAAATCCAGGATTGAGTTCTCAAAAAAAGGATATCACAAGTGACATGCAAGTCAGATCTTACAGGGGGGATCACTGCTGATTATTTTTGTGAAATATTAATTAAAGAGACCCTGTAGAATTAAGAAAAGTCATCTTGTTTGTATTCTCAAGATCCTGTTGAATGAATTTCTCCTCCTCATAAAGCATTTTTAGATCTGTTTTGAAAATGGTGTCTAGCTATGTTTTTCATTGTAGTCTTCTTCCTGCCGGCCTTAGCTGGCACAGTCCTGTATCTCTTGACATGTAACCATAGCTGTCATTAAGTGGAGAAATGTAAAACCAATGTCAGGAATGTGATTTGTGGATTCTCTGTAGTGCCACTAGTTGCTCTCTCATGGAGACTTTTGTGTGTTTGTGTAGCCATGGTCGTCTTTGTTGAGGAACTGGAACAGTCTGGCAGTCACACATCCGGGTTATATGGCCTTCCTAACCTACGACGAGGTCAAGGCTCGACTACACAGGTTCATCCACAAACCTGGCAGGTGAGACACTGACGAGCACTGTGACTGAACAAAACATAAAATACACTTCTGAACTCTTAAAAAAAAAAAGACTTCAGCTTGGACCACAAATATGCAAAACTTAAAACACCCTTAAAAAGATGTTTCTTTGATTGAATCTGAAGTTTTGGATGAATCCTAACAGGTGCACGTTGAGGTTCCTGAAAGCATTAATCACTTTGTGGAAATTAAAAGCCGTCCTCTCGCACTGTTTGTTGATTCTCTTTTCCTCCTCTCAGCTACATCTTCAGGCTGAGCTGCACTCGGCTTGGCCAGTGGGCGATCGGCTATGTGACAGCTGATGGGAACATCCTGCAGACCATCCCCCATAACAAACCACTCTTCCAAGCACTCATTGATGGATACAGAGAGGGATTGTGAGTCCCACTATGACACAGTGTCAAAGCACTGATTTATACATTTTGGGAGATGTCATTCATGCCTCTTTGGAAGGGTTTTAAAGATCAGAGATTGCTAAAACAAGTTTGGCATATTAAGGATTTGATTGTCTTTTACCACGTTGATAATGGAGTTTACAGAACATAAGCGTAAACATTTTTTTTTTGCATTGGTGGAAGCAAACCAAACTTCAAAATTAACTCACAAAAATGCCTGTAATTTAAGCTCTTTGAAAAAGGGAACAATAGGCCAGAGTCATGCTGCAGACTTAAAGAGTCAGACTGATGTACAAAGCCTTCATCTATCTCTGATGGAAGACAGTGTTCAACCCCAGAGCATATCGTTGTAAGATTTATTACATTAATAGTCCGCTAACTCCTTTTTTATTCAGTTCTGCCCCACTCTAAATGAGCCCTCTGTGAGTCTGGGACTTGCTTTGCTCGTCATCTGAGTTGTGTCAATAAGACTTTCGCTCAGTCAGAGAAAATAGAAATGTGTATCCGTTCATTCTGTTGCAAAATTTCTGCATAAATTAAAATACTTTCATGTGAGCTTTGGAAGGTGATCGCCATTCACGGGAGAATCAGAATCCGGTTTAATGCGAGTACGTTCACACATACAAGGAATTTAATTTGGTGGGTTTTTTTCTGTGCAAAAAAGGAAGAACATCAAAGTAGAAAGCTAGTGAACAGCAGTACTCTTAGTGTCAGGAGACTTGCAGGAGAAAAACAGTCAAGATGAAACACTAAAGGTTTGTATAGAAATGTGTGCAAGAGGAGTAAACTGGGGAAACTACTGTTGTGCAGGAAGGTGTTTAGTGAAAATGTCTATTTTACAGTGTAGAATTAAAGAGAGGTTGCTGCTCTAATCCTGAATAAAACTAACTAGTGTGATAAACTCAGATTACTACAATCCACTGCAGTTTCCTTCAGCTACACAGAGTTAAAGTGTACTCAGTTTTCTTCATATTTTGTTTGTTTGTTTGGCTTAATGATACATCTTGTGTACTAATACTTACCTGTTTGTGTGTTTTGTTCTGTAGCTATCTGTTCCCAGACGGTCGTGCGCAGAACCCCGACCTTACAGGGCTTTGTGAACCTTCACCACAGGATCACATCAAAGTTACTCAGGTTTGGCCTAGTTTAGTTTCTGTGCCAAACTGCTCTGAACATTCAACCCTTTCCTTTTGCCACAGGAAGATGTTTTAGTTGCTGTAACATTCTGAACATTTCACTGTAAACAAACTAAATCAGGCATACGAATTATTTTACTGTTATATTCAGGACATTTACAATTTTACTACCTGACTGAAGTAGACTTGGATACAAACTAGACAAAAAAGTCGATAAATCATGAATTTATAACATCTCACGGTTGAGTACATCCTGGTGATTATGATCGTTGTATATAAACAGCCTGTGCTCCTCTCCTCCTCCTCCCCCTGCAGGAGCAGTACGAGCTGTACTGTGAGATGGGCTCCACTTTCCAGCTCTGTAAGATCTGTGCAGAGAACGACAAGGACGTGAAGATCGAGCCCTGCAGACACCTGATGTGCACGTCCTGTCTGACGGCCTGGCAGGTGAGACTTCTCCAGTTGTAAAGTTTTAGTACATTGTTTTTTTTTTAGAATCTGCATAAACCCTCACAGTCACATGGGAAACATTTTTTTCTTTGACTTCCTGCTGTTTACATTCTATTTAAATGACTCTCTGTGGTTTCAGTCAAATATTCGCAACTGAATTTAAATTTCCCCATTTTTGCATTTTCTCTTGTTTTATTTTGAAGCCTCACTGTTTCCTGTTAAAACCTCCTTTCTGAATTTTATGTAAAACTATAAATTCTCCATGTTTCTTTGTTTAATTTAATTTAATTTAATTTAATTTAATTTAATTTAATAATAAAGCATAATAAACATTTACACAGCACTTTAAATACTCTGTCTTAAATAGTGTTTTAGTATGATATGGCTGCACTGATTAAATTGTGTTTGTGTCTCTGAAGAAGGCTTCTCATTTAAAACTTCCTGTCTGTGTGTCTGTATCAGGAATCGGAGGGTCAGGGCTGCCCATTCTGTCGCTGCGAGATTAAAGGCACAGAGCCCATCGTCGTGGACCCCTTCCACCCAAAGGCCAGCGGGGCTTCCTTTGCTGGTTTCCAGGGGTCCAGCAGAGCAGAAGCTGTTGGAAACGATGATGAGGAGGACGATCGTTTGGAGGACCAGCACCTCGTCATGAGCAGGCTGGCGTGCAGCAAGGTAAGATGACCACTTATACTGTAAAGGGTTAAAATATGTCAGATTACATAAGATTACATTTTAAGCCTTTCTTTGACTAAACAGGCCGTTGCACATTTGTGTCGCCTACTTTTGAGTGAGCCTTTAGAGTTATACTGACTTGTATCAGATTACAGAAGAACACTTTAAATTGAATGTCTTTGTGCCTTGTAACATCTCTGAATATAAATCTGCGTGCAGGTAGAGCGACCAGCCTCTCCAGTGTCTCAGTTACCTCCTGTGCCCCCCCGACTGGACCTCCTGCAGCAGAGACCCTCCAGCTCGCACAGCATACAGAGTCAGGGAGCCACACCCAAGGTAAGAAACAGATTTCAAACCCAGAGGTAGAGGATTTGGAGTTGATGTCAGGTAGATTCCAATGAATCTACTTTAAACTCTTCCAGATTCCCTTCTCTTCTTTGATAACTCTCTCAATGTGTGCACGAGCATGTGAGGAAAAATGAAGACATACAGGATATTCATGTATTAATCTTTTCTGATAATAAAGAGCGACTGGCAGACATAGGAAAAGTTTGTTTTTAAGTGCTTATATGTATTCTAATGAATTAAAGCTAGATGGACTCTTGTTTTAACAGATGCCTTCTGAATTCTGCAGTAATGCACTCACATATCCTGCTAGCCTTGAAGATTATTTTAAATATGCATTTGAACACCTCATGCAGACTCACCTTAATCTGGAGGTCAGTTTCTACAAACCATGCGAGTGGATGTTGATGGTTACAAGAGTTTGTATCCCCACATCTCACCCCCGCCTCCCCTTCCTTCCTCTCCACAGATTTCAGCCACTCACAGAGACAAGCCTCTACCTCTGCCTCCATCCCTGAGAGAACTGCCGCCTCCCCCCCCTCCGGAGCGCCCCTCCCTGCTCGGCCAGGACTCCAGACTCCAGAGGAGACCCCTGCCCTCCACCCCGGACCAGCCCGCCTGGGCCTCCAACTACATGGTGCCCCGCCCGGTATCCAAGACCGCCCTGTCGGCCCTGTCCCCCACCCCTCAGAGCAACGGGACCACCAGCGGAGAGGGGATCAAACCCCAGGCGGCCACGAACGCCATCTACTGCCTGGCTGCAAGGTACAGAGCTCTGCTGCTGAGATATTAGTAGAGACGAGCTCCATTACAGAAGTTAGACTGAAAACATAACAAAGTGGAAAGACTGAATTAAGATTTGGACCCATGAATTTAAGAGTTTATCTAGCATAGAGTCACTGTAGTTAAGGATGATTATGTTATACTGATTGTATTCACCTGGACAGACTATAACTAAAGCTGCAAAGATGAGTCAAGTACTTGGTGAATTAATTAGCAAATATGTAAATAGTTGTCTAATCATTATTTATTTATTTGAATTTTAAAGTCTAAATTCTCAGACTGCAGCTTCTTAAAAGAAGAATATGTGACTTCTTGATCCAGCAGATGTCGCCCTTGAGCACCAGCATGAAACCAAAACAACTCGAGCTGCATTGTTGTGTTAGCATGCTAATGCTAGCGATCTTTATTTTGCTCGTAGCTTCACACTGCATGTCAATTTAAACGAAATGATAGTGATCTAAAAAACGCTTACTTGACATTCAGTTAAGCAGTGAGTACAGTATGTTATTCTTCTTTTCTCTAGTCCCTCAATTAAACAACTTTTATACCCGAGGGGAGGAGTCAGCCGGCCGTCCTGACGATGTAAACAAACTGAAGCTATGGCTAGAAAAGCTCGGAAAGCATCACAGACAGTGGGACTCTGGAGTCACACTCATTGTAGACAGTCATGACTCACAGAGTTATTTTCAGAGGATATACTTGATTCCTGCTACATTTATGTGTAAATTTTCTGTTCTCTTAACTCCATCCTGGGTTGTGGACAAAACAAGGCATTAAAAGACTTCATCTCTCAGTTCAGAAAAGAATGATCCAGAATCGTTAGCTTTCATCTACTAAATCTGATTATTAACATTTTGAATAATAACCACTGGCGCGCTTCAAGGAAAATATGTGAGGAAGGAAAAATGTAAATTACAAGCAGAATTTGCCTTTTTTGTTAATATTGTGTTTGCATGACGGTACAATACAGACATTGACTTAAAAAAGGCAACTATGGGTGTCTTAAGAATAGAGAGAGAGTCAGATCACAACTACAAGAGGAAGTTGAGAACATCCCAGCATGCTTTGTGTTGTTTGTGCACTCTCAGGTCTCTGCCGGCGACAGCGATATCGAGCGGCGAGAGGCCGTCGTCTGACTGTGAGGAGAACGAGTACATGAGTCCCACCTCCCTTCCTGCCTCTGGTGCTCCCTGGGTCATAGCTGGATCCTTGGTGCCCCCTCCCCCGGTGCAGGCCAACCACAACAACGACGTCAGGTAAAGCAGGAGAACCACCAAGTGATGAAGTGGGTCAAACTCTGTTCTGTTTCTTATCATTTAGTACTCAACAAGTGTCCCAGTGTGGAGTAAATCCAACATTTTGGATTCGGACACCTTTCAAACTAAAGCTCAGAACTGTTCTCGACTACATTCAAGCCCGAGGTCTCAGGAGGCAAGGCGTGATGTGAGAAGGTCTGGGAAGTCAGAGTCAGAGTCACGTTCACCACATATCCAAGATGGCAGACAAACAAGAGAGTCGTTGCTATGGAGACAGTTTTTGCCTTTATATCAATGCTGCATGTAATTGAAGGTATTCACAGTATAAACAAAACAAAAAGAACGTAGTGGTAAGCGGAAAAGCTGAAGAATCGGTTTCTTTACATGCACAAAGATCAAACTGGTCACACTGGACTTACAGGATAGAAACTGTGGCCACTACCTCATTTTGAATTTTCCTAAATATTGCCCTTTGCTTTCAAACATCACCTCACACTGGTTCCTTGTAGAAACTTTACCAAGAAGCTGGCTGGGAAAAGTCCCAGTTTTGTTCATGTGTGAAAAAGCTAATATAGATGTGTTGTTACATAAAAACAGGGATGATTACAGCAAACACAAAAACAAGACTCTCAGTTTATTAATGCATATTGTAACAAGTCCTAAACAAAAAGGCTTGAAGACCGTGAACCAGGCAGATTCCAGAAACGCTATACACCTACGAGCTTGTATGTGGTTTTGCTCAAAGTACGGCACACTTAGCCTGAAGGTGCATAGGCACCGCGGATGTATGCATGATTGACAGGATATGTAAAAGCAAAAAAAAGAAATAGTTATGACATATGAATTAAATGATAAAAAGATTAAATGATGATAAAAGAAAAACAACATGTGTGATAAAAACAAATTCCACAATTGCATAACTCTATATGATTCAATATGAATCAAACATGACAACCACTACTTAATAAAAGAGACCAAAGGAGACTGCACCAACGTATGAGGCTGTCCAAGTCCCCGCTTATACTTTAGGTAAGGAGGTCATTCAGTCGGGAGAAAAGGTCGGCAACTAGAGAGCAAAACTTTGCACCAGATGATTTCCTATCTTCTAAAGATAATGGGATTTATAAAGCCAAACAATTCAGGGAAATAATAACAAAAGACACCAGCTCTAGTTGTGTCCTGAATGTGACCTGTGTGGGATGAAAATAAAATTAAAATGATCAGAACTCATTCTTCCTGATTGGCTGATTGGTCAACAAAAGCCAGTCCTTAAAGTTTATCAGACTTAATGATTTATGAAACAATGATTCAGAAGATTTAAACTAAGCCAAAACATGAAGTCAACACCTGGGCCCACATAACTAAAAGTACAACTTAGCTGCTGACAGTTGAGTTTGTACATGTGGATGCATCATTCTAGTCTACTAATCTGATAATTAGCTTCTCTTGGGAAGACTTGATGTGGATCTTTCTTCTCATTTTACCAAGTTGATGTCTTTCAAACAAATGACTCTAATATTGATATCACAGCAGATATAATTAAATCATTTTCAACAGCAACACTGATAACTGGTGGTGCACACTAATGTAATAACTGGTGCAAAAATGGAGCAGCAGCAGTTGTTTTCCTGTCCACCAGAGGGCTCTGCAGCCTCAGGTTTGTTTCACCATGCCTGTCTCATTCTTACACACATATTCACTTTATTATTCACATTAGCTTAGTTTCCTTTAAATTACAGGAGAAGGTGAAAGACGGCAATGTGTGACAAGAGGGACATAATTCACCCAGCCTGTTGCTCTGATGAAGAAGAAAAAGTCATTAAATAAATGTGAAGTGTTCAAACACGAGAGGAGGAAGGAACAGAATTGCTTCTGTAATCATAAGTGAGCTGCATTTATCTCTGTGAACCTTCAAAAGGCAGGAGGAGGAGCAGCAGTGGGTTTGTACACAACTAACGAGTCTTAAATAATTAAAGTGTGATGATTTCTGTTTCCCAGCAGTGAGGTGATCGACAGTGACTCTGAGGATCCACAAGTCTACGAGTCGATGTGTAACATTCAGTCCCAGGCGGGTTCTTCTGAGACGCCACAGACGTCTGAAACAGGTAACTTTACACCTAGCTATCAAACTCACTTTATTATGTACTGTTGGTAGAATCAATGTGATTTTGAATAAGCTCTCTGATTTGTTGGGGAAATTAAAAAAAAGGACTTCTTTCTTGCACAGAATTAGACAACGACATTTTTGAATAGGAAATTCTCCCTGGGAATTGAGGATTTTTTTTTTCTTGAAATTTCCAGAAACCTTTGGAAAAATCTTCCTAAAAAAATGTACAAATAGAATTCTGAAATGTTTCCCAGAATTTTCAGGTATTTCCTTGATAATTTTCAGAAATTCTCCCCGGGAATTTTCATAAAACCTTTAGGAATTAGTCCAGGGAACTTGACCGGTCTGAAGCTTTCAGGATTTTATCAAACTTTTGCAATTAATCCCAAGGGACATTTCTCATGGAGTTTTCAAAAACCTTCTTGAATTCATTGTCCACCAGAATTTTCAGAAACTTTTAGAAACTTTTGGGAATTTTCTCCAGGAATTATTGAAATATCTCAGGAACTTTCAGAGAGGAAACTTCCTGATAACTCCAAAGCTGTTTGATTAGATGCTGTATTGTTTTAGCTATCAAGGTGGTGAATGTATTAAATTCTGCTGTTTTGATAAATGGATCTACTCTTTGTTTCTTTTATGTCATTTAGACAAAGTTACCAGGTTAGCTTAAAATGCCAGTGTACTGCTGATTACGCCTCAGCTGGTGTGTTGAGTTTTGGTTCATCATACAGATGTTTCTTTTGTGGTCACTAAGTAGTGACCTTCATATTTACAGTCTGACCTGTGTTTACTGTTTTCTAACTGTTATTCATAACCATGATGTTTTTCAGAACCCCCTCAGCATTCGGCTGCGGTGTCCCAGGACAAACAGGAGGAGAGCAGTGAGGAGGACATTTATGAGTACGACTATCCCCGGCCTGTAGTTCCTCCCGCCCCCACCAGGAGAGCCCTGTCAGAGATCAGCGGCCCCTCTTCTGCCTTCAGCACTCTCAGCCTGGACGGCCCAGTAGAAGCCAGTACGTGTTTCTACTATTTGTAACGCAGTGTTCTGTAATGTCTGCTATCTGGAGGTAAACATGCCACAGGGCCCAGCTGGGAAGAGGATTTAATTCAAAGGACTCGTGTTGTTTACCTGCTAGTTCTCAGGCTGTATGCGTGTGAGTGAAGTCCTTAGCTTGTGTTCAGCTAACTGATAACATGTTTTGCTTTGATGAAATGACTGTAGGAATGTTTTCTTTCTCAGTGTCAACACATCCGTCTTTTAAAAATGTCTGAAGAGGACAAACTTTTTATCAAGCTGCCTTTGAAGCATTTTAATAATTTGAGGGTAAATGAATTGCCATGACGATATGATATCACGGCAAGAGAGATCCATTCAAGACAGAAAGTAAAATACAACTTGATTTAAAAACGAAGTCCGTGTACAGTCATGACGAACCTTTCCAATCACATAAGGGTTTAAGTTATGGTTAAATCATCAGTATAGTGATATTCCTTGTTTTGTTCTGATTGGTGGAGGTCCTCCTGTGGCCCGTCTGTGGGGACCCACATGCCGCGTCCCACACTTTGAGAAGCCCCGTCATAAAGTTTCTGCAGGACGATCAGACAAGCTGCATACGTACTGTCTGCAGCTTCACAAAAAGCACACCTCTTAACGTCAATGTGACGGTGCCTAAAAATAACCTCTATATTCCCTCGGGTACCTGAACACAACACATTGTTTGCCACATTAACTTCTGTGTACTTGTCTGTGTGTTTCCAGGTATGTTTGCAGCAGGTGGAGAACCTGAACGCCCCCCTAAACCTCTCCCACGGCGAGCCAACTCTGACCGTCGACCTCGGCCTGCCAACCGTGAATTTTCCTCCCCGTTACCAGACCTCCCTGGTCCCTCTTCATCCTCCTCTGCGTCCCCAACTCCTCCTCCTCATGCTCCTCATGCTGCTCCTCCTCCTCCTCCTCCTACTGGAAGCCTGGCTCTGAACGGGGAGATCGAGTGCCTGATGTCTCAGGGCTACTCCATCCAGGACATCCAGAAAGCCCTGATGATCGCCCAGAACAACCTGGAGACGGCCAAGAACATCCTGCGCGAGTTTGTCTCCATCCCCTCGACGGCGCACATCGCCACATAGTCGTCGCTCCAGGCTCCCCCCCCCCCCCCTTTCCTCTCTGTCTGTCTCCACTCTGTGCCATTATAACGGATAAAGCATTTACCGAGCACTTTTCCTGCAGGGCCACAGGGCTCTCCTCTGAGGAGAAAACGCTGCGTTCAAGTCATATCAGAAGACGCAGGAAAAATGAGTTTACATCTAAATCGTCAGCAAGTTCAAGTCTTTGAAATACCTTCCACCAAAGTCATTTCAAACAAACGATGAATGAAGTGCAACAGGTATTACTTCTTCTTCATACAAAATGTATTACTTTGATCGTCTTGTATACGATATGTGAACGCCAAGCAGTCAAAAAGCCTCAAAATCGCTCGTTTACTCGTAATCGTCAATATGAGATTGAGTTTTTTTTTTTTGCTTTGAAGGAGTGTGACGCCTCCTGGACACAAATCTTTTATCTCTTATTTTAATTAAGGAGCTCCTCAGTAGAGGCTGAAATGTCCGATATGACCTGAACGCAGCGCAGATGAAGAATTAAAGCCTTGTAATGTGAGCTCTCTGTAGCCGAGCTTTGATCCCTGTTGTACTCCGCTGAGGTCCGCTGCTCTTACGGCGGTGTTTCCCCTCAGTCTCAGTACGTTTTTTTTTGTTTTTTTCTCATTAAGCTAAACGTTAAAGCTACAGCGATCCGATCAGCAGAGGGATCGTGTTGTTGTGTTTATTTGTTTTTTAAAAACTCGTCCCGCTGCTGGCAGCCATTCAGTTTGGTGCTTTACAGGCTTCTTGGCAAAATGTGGCGTTTCGAAACAAATATGTAGCGACACGAGTTTAGGTCAGACATTAGTGATTTACTCAGTGGCGTGCGTGTGTGTCTGTGTGTGTGTGTGTGTGTGTGTGTGTGTGTGTGTGTGTGTGTGTGTGTGTGTCTGTGTGTGTGTGTGTGTGTGTGTGCGCTCATGCTGATGAATGTGAATGTTCAGTCGCAGTGCAGTATCGCAGGGCTTCACGTCGTAAACCGTCACTGTGGCTCGCTCTGTTTTTTTTCGATGGTATTTGAGAAGTCCGACGTGACTCCATATTTCCAGTCCGATGGCGGTTCTGTGATGAAATAACACGTGTAACGTTTAAGTACTCTCATGAGGTGTTGTGCTGTGTGTAGTACTAACTAACGGCTCAATTGTCAGGAAGTTTCTTTTCTCATTTTAATTCCACGATTGCCTGTCGTCATCCCCGAAGGTCTGACGCTAAAGGCCGCTTGATTTACTTCTTCTAGTTTCTCACTCCGAAACAAAAAGACTGCAGCATGTTCAGGCGGAGTCACTGGGAAATCAGATTTAGGTTTTTTGGATCACAAACCAGAAGGTGGTGTGTGTTTCTTTTTCTGTGGATTCAGGGATGAATGTAATGAATGAAAAGATGTTTTAAAGACACACAGAGATGGATTCATAACGATTGCTAACTTATGACTCGTTCTTAACAGAAACACTCCAAGGATAAGATTTAAACACAACACTCAGATTGATTATTTTTGTTTAGTTTGGGTTAGTCGACCTTCCTCTCTGCCCATCCACTCCCTCTCATTTCTAACTCTGGATTCTGAAAAAATAATCCACCAAACGTCCCACATTTATCTCAGACCTGAACGGTTAACAAACCAGATTCTAAAATTAGTCAAGTGAGGATTCTCAAACAGTCAACATGAAATTTAAAGGATATTATTTTTAAGATTTATTGAAAGGATGAATCAGTTATTTCTTGATGGCCTTAAAATTCACCTTCATCGATTTTAGAATGTCTGATTAGTTTTAGTCGGTTTCTTTCACTGAATATATCAAATTTCTAGTTCCTGTTTGTCAATGTTTCGATTTAAAGTTACATTTTTTTAATTGCGCAAAAGCAAAAATGTCAAATTGAGTTTGAAGACATTAAACTTGCTGACTTTTTTTTTTTTTTTTTTACAATTTTTAGATTTTTAATTGACCGTAATTCTAAAAATTCTCGACTGACTTTTTTTTCTGCACACATTGTGAAAAAACATGGCAGCAGTGTAGATGTCTGGACGTAGCTCGGACTCTTCCTCGAGCATCAACGTGAGCTTTAATCTTTTTATTTGAGAGCAAAAAAGCATCAACAACTTAAAAAGGATCGCATTGATCAGCACTAATGTCAGAGCATCCTCTCTTTAATATAAACCCCCAGCCACTGGATCAGAAGCACGCTCGGAGCCAAGATGAAAAGAGATGCGAGTCCTGAGCAGAGCGGGGGGTCTGATCAGAGTCCTGCTGGACTATCCGTGCTGAATACAAACACATGGCGAGAGAAAAGCTCCGTTCACTGTCTTGAGGTGCCGGTCAGTGAAAGTGTTCGAGTTTAGAAACAAGAAGAGACTTCAACATTTCCTCTTTTTACATCCAAACATCTGTGAAGCATCCTGTTTTGAGTTCAATTCCTTAAAACCCTGAACGGTCACTTTTTACTCCTGCAGTAACACGTCAACGTGCCTTTTGTCAAACACGACCCGCACACGATAGCAGACGAACCAAAGCTCGACACATTTTACTCTTTAAACGTAAACGAAAAGAAAAATCCAATTTCCGGTTGTTATTGGAGCTCTTTTTCTGACCGTGTGAGTTTAGAAAGTTAAGAGAATACAGAGAGGTTTGGTGTTTGTTCTCCACATGAGGTTGTGTCATCATTGCAGGAAACATCGCAGGAGACATGAAACGTTGTTGTACTCTGGAAAATTCACACGTCAGAATAAACGTGGAAATTCACTCCAAATGCAGAAATGGCGACTTTCTAGAAAATGTTTCCGTCTAGCGATTGCAAAAAAACAACGATGTTTTTCCTACAATTCAAAAAGGAATTCCTCAAATTAAGTGGTACTATTTATTACTATCAGATACTTTTAGTTAATAACCAGGTTTCTCCAGCGTGAAATAAAATGTAGAGAGCAGTGTGTGTGAATGTCGATGTACTGTGACATCTCGGCACTTTTCTTGTTGTTTCTTGTTCTTTATTGGCTGATTTGTATCTTAATACTGAAGATGGGTGAAGCACTCCCTAAATGTTACGTTCCAGCAGTATGAAGTCTCGTTCTGAATATTGAACATTTTTGTTTAATTAAAAAAAAGTCTCAGTGATGCGTTTAGATCCCTTTCTCCGCACATAAGAACTTTTTTTTTTTTTTTTTTTTTTTAAAAGCGCTGCATTGCAAAGTGTTCCCTTCTGCACGCAGCGATCATCTCATTAGTTCAAAGGTTACATTTATTAAATATGTATTTTACTTTTTAATCTATTTGTATTGTTTAAACACTTATGTAAGCGATTGAACAGCATAGTGAAGAGAAATGCCTTACGTAAGGGGAATCATTCGGCAGCAGCAGATCAATAATTCACTCACCTCCTGAATCCTAACACGTCTCTCTCTCTCGTACACTAAAAGGCACATTAGCCTGTCGTGCTAGTTGGGACGCCCTCCTTTCAGGATTTTGTGATCAGGCTGTGGTAATCCAGATTTCTTCTTACAATGGGTTTTGAAATACATCGCCCCTTCTTTTGAGGAAATGGTCGAGCATGAATTAAATTCTGACTGAAACTGAAATCTTGCCCGCTTCAGACTTTGGTGTTTGAACACTCCGACAGGGACTAACTCTTGACCTGCGTGAAGAAACACTCGAGGTTTTCCAGCCGTGTTGAATCACTGCCAGAGGCCCGGCTGTCTTTAACAAAACACACACTCGTACTCACACTTTTGACAGTCACTGGGTAAACTCAGCCGCTGTATGATGAGTGTGCTGTGATCATTGTAACTCGCCTTTACAAGAACTTGCCTACTAAAAAAAAGTTGTCTTCTTTGTTGCTTTTTTTTTTGTTGCTTGTGTAAATATGATTTTATTTATTGTCTTTTTAATATCCTCATTATTCGTTTTGTTGCCATGTTGTCATGCCTAAGCCATTAAGATTTTTAATTAAACAGTATTTTCTTTAACATTTGATCTGCGTGGTTTGTCCACTTTTCAGAAAATGTGTGCTCAAACAGGCTGTTTGATTTTCCCTTCATGACATCACAAAGGGCAGTAGCCCCTCCCCCAGGTGGGTGACACTCCACAGCTAGGTGTTTGTTCTGAACCTCTGAGTCTGCCTTCTCACCGTAAACAATAGGACATGGAGCGAGAAAGCCAGATCCACCCTAGTCCTTCCGGAGAGGGGGCGTGGTCAGACACAGCTCATTTACATATTTAAAGGTACAGACACAGAAACAGCCTGTTCTGAGCAGGGCTGAAATAGAGGGGTTTATAGACATGATCAAATACAGGATCAGAGTGGATTTGGAACAAGAAACCTCACAGACATGTTTTGGGGAGGTGTGAATTTTGGCGTCCACTTTGGACGAACGATGAAGCATCAAGTCCCATTTAGAGGCCCGCTAATCTGGATTTGGTTCCTTTTTAAAGTCTGTATCAGGATAAGGTTGATCTGATCCAGTTTTTCTGTTGAAAACAGGAACTAAAGTGAGCAGGATAACCAGAACATGGATAGAAAAAAGTGGATTTCCAAATAAAATATTCTTATCCAGATCCAAACCTTTTGATCAACAGGGCAAAAGGACAGAAACAGAAACGAGCTAGACACTGACCCCAAAGATTCATATTGCAGGTGTTTTAACAAAATGCAGTTTATTTACATGAAGGGGAGTTACAGAGGGGAGAATCAGTCTGCACAGAGGGTTTGGTTTTATCTGTCCCAAAGATTTCAGCCTCCCTGGATAACTCTTAGATCTATTAGTAAGTCTGATTGTTAAACCTTTTGGTTTAAGCCACGTTTAGTTATAATAAATGACTTTCTGTCGTCAGCGGCCCCAGTTGTTAAAAACGGCCCTGTGGAAGAGAGCACTGGGTGGAACAAAAGAAAACTAAAGGAAGCGAGAACTCTGGCTCCATGGTATCCTTTATAAATCTCCTTTATCTCAGGCACTGACGGACAATAAGGGGGGGGATATCTGATGTGTTTAACAGCGTGAGGGGCGGCCACGAGGGGCTTGAATTTCTTACAGATGTGAGCAGTTGTTTTTTTTTTCAGCCGATCATCTGTCCAGACTGCAGCTGGAAACCGGAGCTTCTGTTGGAGTCGTTTGGAGCTCGTGCTGACAGCGGTCTGGAGGCAGCGCTCCTTCCTGTCTCCTCGCCGAGGGACTGAGCAGCGCTAACAGAGAGCTCACTGAACTCACTGCTGCTCTGGTTCACATTGAGACCTCGGTCAAAAGAAAAGCCCGACAGCGACCGCAATCCAACATTGACCGCTCTGACGCACCTCTGCTAAAACAATAGAAGAAAAAAAAAGACACAGTGTCTCTTGAAATGAAACCTTTTTATTTGGCATTATTTTTTGCAAAAAAATATATAAAAAAACGCAAGCATCAAAGAATCACATGTACAGTACTTAATTTACACCAAAAAAAAAAGAACAAAACTGCGATGTGAAGTTTCAAACTAGGTTTCCAACTGGTGAAAATATTTAAAAACCAAAAACGTTTCATTTGAAGTATCAAATCAGAAATGTTTCTATCGCTTTCAGCTTTTCTAAACCAAAATAAAAGCATCGCACTAAATGTACGCAAACTTTTAGCCTGAGGACGTCCTGTACCTGGATATTTCTACAACTTTCACTTCTCAAAGGTTCAGTGGAAACAAAAAAAGAAAGCAGGAAAAGTGTCACTACTTTGTTAATGCTGCAAGTCTTCTGGGCAACGTAACGCTCTCAGAAACTAAAACAATCTTTACACGATAAACTACACAGTGAGCAATCAGTACATCGTATTCACAACACGGGCCTTTAAAGGAGCGCAGTGGTGAGTCTGCATGTTTCAGCTGGTTCACTATGAATCACGTCACCTGACCAGTCTGTGCCTCTCTTCTGTTTTCTGATGATCCAGTTCAGTTTCTGTCAGATTCATCTTTTTGGGACTAACGACAGTGGACATTTAGCATTCTTGTTTTGTTTTGTAAAATTACAAAAAACATAAATGTGTTTGTGTTTTATGTATTTAAAATATGAAAAAAGATTTTAAAAAAGTATTCCTTTAACTAATCTCTCTTTTTGGATACTTTACTCTCTTATCCTGATATTTGGCTTTTTTGCCTTTATTGCTTTTTCTTTGCACTCTGTTCAGGCAGCAGCATCATACAAACTTTTTTGTCATTTTCTTTTTAAATATATCTGATTTTTAATATTTAATTTACAAATACCTCAAAAACAAACATTAAATGGTGAACAGCTTTTCTGTTTTTTTTTTCAAAGGTTGTCCAAGAAGTCTTTCTTTCAAAACCAGATTTCTGATGTTTTTCTCTGTATGCTGAATGTTAAATAATACATGTCAAACTGAGGAGTTATCTTCCACAGTTATTGCTTTACGCTCATTTCCTTGAAACCGGAGACTTTCTGGAGTTCAATATCCGCTTCACGTCCATTTCTGCTTTTATTAAGGTCGGAGATTTGTGGTCGTTTGGTGGTAATGCAGAGCGGACTGAAAGAAAAATGATCCGACTTTGAAATGAAACCTAAAATGTTTGCTGGTAGATTACTTTAGTAAAGTCAGATGATGCTGTTGATCTGCAGTGCAGAGGGTATAAAACATCGATATCACAGACTGGTCAGCTGCTGTGTGAACGTTATCCAACACAGAAACATGCAGAAACACTGGAACCGTCCTTCATCCAACTTAGCTCTCAGTGGAAACACACACACAAAAAAACACACACAAAGAGCAAACCAATGAAACAAAAAAGAAATTCAGTGTATGATACATCCTCCAAAACAGGCACAGCAGATCACTAACTTTTGACCTTTTCACCCTCAGAAACAGTCCAAGGCCACCTCCAGCAGGTCTGTACACTAAATGTATTTACAAACAGTACAAGGGCTTGACAGCAGTTTGCAGAAGAAGGCCGACAGTGTGTCTGATTGACGAGACTTTGTCCATCACTGATTTTTGGCAAATTTTTAATATCAATCATAATCAAACTGAAGCAAACACACGGACGAGCCCTCCCTCAGTGTGTCAGTAAAGAGCTGCCACAGAGGAGCAGCCAGCGTTTGGTCTCTGACATCATTTCCTGTCCCGAAACTCACCTGGACCCATGAACACGGATCAACATGCACATGACCCAGACGCTACCAATCGACTGAGAATCTGAGTGCCAAAATATCTTAAATAACAAAATATATATAATATGTACACTTTCATAGAAAAACAAAAAAACCAAAGCAGACGATGCGTACGTGACATCATCAAAGACGCACACTGAACCACAGCCGAGAAAGAGCTGAACACAGTTTGAGGAAATCATACAAAACAAATGGAGAAAACGAATGTTCAAGGAGGAAAACATTCATCCAAAAGAAAATACACATCTGTACAAAGAAGTGTGTGTGTGTGTGTGTGTGTGTGTGTGTGTGTGTGTGTGTGTGTGTGTGTGTGTGTGTGTGTGTGTGTGTGTGTGTGTGTGTGTGTGTGTGTAAATCTACTAAATACTGCTCAGAACAAAGCATGACGGGGGAATGTCCAGGCTGCAGGTCTCAGATCAGTGGGAGCCTCTGTTTGTTGTCTCCTCTGCTCCAACGTGCACACACACACACACACACACACACTGACCGCCGGCTTCGTGTGTGCTTCCTCCTGCTGCACAACATCACAGCTTTACTGCGGAGACAGACGAGGACATCAGAGTTAAACACCAGCTTCACTTCTACATCACACACACATACTGTCTACATAGTGTGATTTAAGGTGCCAACAAAGCTGCAACCTCCGCTGTTCAAAAGTGAAGCTATTGCAGAAGTGCAAAAAGGTGCAGTTCCTAAAGTGGCCACCAGAGGCTGGCAGCAAAAGCCCCATAAACCCATTTATACAGCAGAAATAAAAATGGTTCCAGCCATTAGTCTCTTTAGATCATGTTTTAATTAATAAAAACTGTATTGGGGTTAATTTTTCTTCTCATTATCACATTCTTTTTTTTTTTTTCAAATAAACCTCCTTTAGTGTTGAAGGTTTTCCTCGTCTTGAAACAGATTACATGTATCATCATGAAAAATGGCCAAACTAGGGCGACTGTCATGTCTCTGTGTTGGTGTTTTAAAACCTGAGATCTGCTTGTATCAGTCTTTAATATTAGCTGCTTAATTTCTTCTATTTAAGCCACATTTGAAGCCAAGACAAAAACCATAAAGCTGTGGAGCGACTATTGAAAAAACATGGGTGTATCCCTTTAAATCACAAACACTTATCTCAGCTCCTGTCTGATCCTCATTTCATCAGAAAGTGTTTTTTCAGCATGCAGGCAGCTAGTGAGGGTTTATTTACGGCTATTAAATATTTGATGAAAAAGCCACGGCTATTAACCCGAATCCAACACATCCGCATTAAAACAGCTTCTGTGGTGATGTTGAGCATGAAAGAGAGAAAACTCTGCATCTTCTTACAGACATTAATGAAACATTTTCACTGTCTGTCTTATTTCATGTGAATCCCCCATAAGTGGTCAACATGAGGAGAACAAACTGTGGTGTGTGCAGTCATCTGCAGCCTCTAGGGGGCAGCAGTGAGGTTTTTTTTTTTAAAGGCGCTTCCTTTATGTCGGTAACAAAAGCATTATATTCATTCAGGCCGATGGTTACCTGCTCGTTGGGGCCCTTTTTGTCCCCGTTGACAGCCTTTAGCAGGACAGTATCCTCCGTCTTTGTGTTGCTCTTCATCTCCACAACAATGTCATCTTTGGTGGTCTTCTCTTTGGAGCTGCAGACAAAATAAAAGGGAGTGGGATTTGAACACAAGAAGAAACAGGTAAATGTTTAAGCCAACTACATTCATCTTTTGAAATAAGCAAAAAGTTAAACATTACTCCCTTTTTGTTACTAGTCTCGCATTTAAGCTTTTGTTTTAAACATTTCTGCATCAACAAACGAGGAGCGCCGGAATAGTTCAAAATGTAACCTCCTCACTACAGCGTGGGGTCTTCAGAAGAAAAAAAGCCAGCAGTCACATTCCCATCTTTATTAAAGGGGAAACGGAGGGGAGAATCAATTTGTAATGGCAAACAAATCCCATGAAAAGACCAAAAACCTGCAACGTATAAGACCGTCTCTCAAAACTTTCCAACATCCCTCGCCTTTCTTTGCCACTTCATTTAAAAAAATAAATTAAAAAAAAGATGAATTAGTTAATTTGATTTCATGCACCTGAGCAGGCTCTCTCGCTCTCTGGCCATCACCAACTTCTGGTTTGTCTTTGTTCTGCCTCCACAACCCATCACACACATTCCTCATTACAGACCCCACAGATTTACAGACATGTTTTTGCCTTAATTTTCCATAAACTTTTTAAATGACTATAAAACCGTGTGGTCGCCCTCTTTGTCCAGCTCACTGAGTCTGGATTGTGACACTAAAAACATCTTTTGTTAGCTCACAAAACTTTGTAAAGTGACCTTGCCCTTTGACCTTTTGACTACAAAAATCTAATCAGATCGACCCCGACTCCAACGTGATGTTCGTACTCCTTTTGAAGAAATTCCTTCCAGGTGTTCCCTTGATATTGTGAGAATGGATATCAAGAGAATCTAATGGAAGGACACCCCCAACCCCCCCCCCCCCCAACCCCCCTCGGGTAGATTTTCAGAGTCAGCATAAGCAGTACTCACATCTCCTGTTTCCCTGAGCGTCCACAGGGGATCTTCCCCTTCTTGTGCAGGAAGTAGAGGACGCTGCCGAGGATGGCGAGCAGCAGCAGACACAGAATGATCACCACGATGATCACCCCACTGCCTTCAGCTACAGAGAGAGAGAAATCACAGGTGAGTGTCTAGTTGTGCTCCTCATCTGTTAAATGAGGACAGTGGTGTTTAATACTGAAGGCAGCCAATAATGACAGCAGTGAGGTGAGGTTTGAAGGACGAGGGAAGTTTAGGTGTTGCAACATGCAGGAAAGGTCAAACAGAAAAGTTTCCGTCTTTACATTATGGGAATAGGATTAATAGTAAGGTCCATGTGGTAGAGTATGTAGTATTACTGATGTCATTACATGGAGGTCACATAAACGGAGCAGGGGTCCGTGTCTGTTTGAAATACTACCTCGAAATATCACCGCCAACACAAACTAAGTAGTGTACTTTGCTGCCTTTGTCATGTAACACATACTTTTATTTATCCTCTTAAAGGCACGGTTTCTCTGAATTTAATCCTGAACTACTTTATACTTGATTTTTTGATGAAATGTTGGAGAAACCTGGCACCAGAAGACCCTTCAGGATTAAGGTCTCTCTCCTCTTATTTGAAGCTTTACTGGGAACTAAAAGTCAGACGATCTCCCCCTCTCATTCTTTGATTTCAAACACTGTCTTCTTGAATCCGTCCCAAACTTTGAAGACATGAATTACTAAATGACTAAAGGAGCCGTTTGAAAATAAGAATAAGGAAACGTCTTTTTCTAAACAACAAATTGCATTATTGTTATCAAGCAGCTTCAATTTTAATATGCATAAGAATGATAAGCAAAGCGTGAAATTACATCTATTTTAATTCAGTGTAATTACACTTCCAAGGCCGCAGAACAATGTCATTTATTTTGTGCAGCATCTGTGACCTATAGCTTTAATAACTTGACTTCTCTAGATAACATTACCCAGTTTTTCCTTCTCTGTTCTTCAAGAAAAGGAAAAAGGAAACACAGTTGATGATGCTCCCGTAGTTGACACTTCTCTTCATCTGTGTATTAACATTACCTGTTTGGGGTCCCTCTATTGTATTCTTAAAGGTCACATATTCTCCTCCTCTTCACCAGTTTAAATAAGTCTCAGAGCTCCACAAAACATGTGTGTGAAGTTTCTAAATCCACTCTGATCCTGTATTTGATCATGTCTATAAACCCCTCTATTTCAGCCCTGCTCAGAACAGGCTGTTTCTGTGTCTGTACCTTTAAATATGTAAATGAACTGTGTCTGACCACGCCCCTCTTGAAGGATTGAAAGGCTTTGGCTTCCTGGCTCCATGTCCTATTGTTTACAGTGGGAAGGCAGAGTCAGAGGGCAGAACAAACACCTAGCTGTGGGAGTGTCACACCCTTGGGGGAGGGGCTACTGCCCTTTGTGATGTCATGAAGGGAAAATCTCCAAACGGCCTGTTTGAGCACACATTTTCTGAAAAGTGGAGCAGGCTAAAGACAAAGAGGATGGACTTTTCTCATAGTTTGGGGGTTTGTAGACCGACTAGAGACATATATTAAATTTAGAACAACATGTAAGTGTATGCAAGTCTATGTTGCATTATATGTGACCTTTAATAATTAAATTTCTGGGTTTTATTTGCTTTTCCTGCAGTGATTTATCCAATAAAGGCTTTCGACTGTACAGAATGTGCATTGTATGTGAAACGGCGCCATTCATTTTATAGGTCTGAGTGTCACAACACAGGGTTGCTATTCATTCTTTAATTAGATCTCCATCTCCTTGTAGTAAACAAGTTTAGGAAGCTTCTACTCCAAAAGGCTGCACGAGTGTTTAAATATGGCTCATAATCATCTCGGTAAACAATTAGGAGTACGAGTGATTTGTAAGCACTCCACTCTAGATACTTTCCTTTTTAATTGCTGTCGTTTTTTTAATTGTCTGAAAGACTCATTATTTGCCCGTTGTGCTCCCTGTGGGCATGTGAAGATTTTAACGGTATGAAGTGACTGCTCCGATGGAGTCAGAAAATTGCCCCATAATCAAGCCCCCTCTCCATACCTCACTGGTGGGGAAAAATCCACAATAAAACACGAGACTGTCTGGAAAAAGACTGTAAAACTAAGACTGTTCTCTTCTTTCTGTACGTTTGTTTAAAGAATCTGAAATATACAAACAATGTTTTTATTTCACACAAGAATCATTAGAACTGTTAGCGTGCTTGAATTTACTGGTGTTGTGATTTTTCAAACAGAATATTTAATGTGCCCACAGGCCATCCCACAGATCCGCCAGCAGACCAAAGACAGTCCTGGTGTGAAGTCCCTGTATAGAAATCATAAATAATGTATACAGTCCTCCAACCCTTCATTGTCACAGGCAGAACTTAGTGTAAAGCATGAACAGCGAGACAGAAGAGCGGCTGTGAGTGGAAGCGAAAAGTAAAAAGAGGCGACTTTGAAAACAGGAGGCGGCAGAGCGACGATCTTACCGGGAGAGAAGGGAGCAGTGGAGGTGAGTCTGGGAACTGTGGACAAGTAGAACAACACTTAGAGTCCGCCCCGAATACACACACACACACACTTCTCTCATTTAATCTGATTATAGCTGCCTTAGCAATTACAAATGTTCACTTATCATTCTTAAGGTGTGAGTAAAGCAGAGCTGAATAACAGGATTTAAAGAGTATGAAGCCCTCTTCAGACAGAATATGGAACAATACAGACTTCTTGTATCCTCTAAAGCAGACGTTCAAACCAAAGGGGTCAGGACTCCAGAGAGATAAAGATATGATTCATGGAATAAAAAAGAAAACTTTTGTTTAAAAGAAGAGACTCTTCTTTCATTTATGATTACTTTCAACTGAATAGTTTCACAATTTCAAGCCTCTAAAAGTCTTCTGCAGAAAAACTTCGGAAAAAAACTTTAAAAAAAAATCGGTTTCACAAAACAGAAAGGTTGATGCATCTTACTCTTCAGCTCGGTCGTTTGACGTTGACGGTTGCCCAAAAGTACTTCAAACTATTAAAGCTCAGATTTCTACTCTCCATCATGGCTTGTATTGCAAAACTGTGATTTCAAAGGATACTATTCACGAGGATACTTTTTACAGTTTTTTGCTGACTTAGCATTAATCTGCACAGCTCCAGAAGCAGGAGAACACGGCTTCATCCAGTAAAACATGCATTTATTAATGTGTTGCTTTAAGTCTCTACAAAAAACACTAATAGGATATCCACAAAAAACACATTACAAAACTTGCTAAAATAGAGCTAGGGATTAAGGTTGTCAAATTTTAAAAAAATGCAGTACCTTTGATTGCCACATATTTTAAAACTGTGCAATTTCTGTTATTTTATCATGAACATTATTGAAAAGTAGAGAAGCTTTAATCAAACTTCAGCTCTTCAGTCATATTATAACCAAAAGCTGCTCCAAGCGAAAGAGAGACAGCGCAGTCTGAATTATTCAAACAACATTTGGGTAATTGAAGACAACATATTTCTGCAGTATTGACCGTGTGGAGGAGTTTGCCTGCAATTTTTGGGAAATACAAACAAAAAAATCCTCTTCTATTGGCAGCCCTGGACTTCTGCTTTGTTGCTCTGGTATTGAAACAGTAGTATAAACAGTGTTTGAGTTTTACTGTTATCACGTCAAAGAGTTTAAAATCCTGGTGTGGTGACAGCATGACTAAGGATGACGGAGGTGAGTCAATATTACCACTGTGATGTCACAAACCTGATAAACACTGACACACGCTGAAGAAGGTAGAACCCAAAACCTCAGCATGCGTCAGTGACTGTTGCCCATGATTTCATAAAGATTATTATGAAGGAAACTTGTGCATGCTTTCTCTACGTGGAAACTCACTAAAGTAAAACACTTTCACATTCAAAAGCCATCACACACCCCCTTTCCTTTAAAAGTATTTACATTTTTCATCTTTTGCTTGCACAGTCTGACATTACAAAATGTTCCCTGATCAATCCTCCTGACATGAAAAGCAGGCAGAGCAGCTCGTGCTCATGATCGTCATTAATTAAGGCTTCAAAGGCGAAACCAGAACACCCGACTTACTTTAAACTCACCACAGCTCCCTGAATGAACCAGAAGCCAAATATTCTTTTGGTATTCCTGTACATTTTGCCATAGCCTTGAAACATAGGGATTAAATTCACTTAAAAACTTACACCTGAAGGGGCGCCGGTGGACTAGTGGTTAGTGTGCACTCCCCATGTACAGAGTCCTCTAAGCGGGTGGCCTGGGTTCAAATCTGACCTGTGGCTCCTATCCCGCATGTCATTCCCCACTCTCACTCTCTCTCTCCCTGATTTCGGACTCTATCCACTGTCCTATCTCTACAATAAAGCCCCCAAAAACACCTTACCCTGACCCTTCAGGATATCAGAGAACATTTTTAAATATGCAGCCTTTAATGCAAATGTCAAAGAACTACTTAAAACCCTCTCTGTCCCATGAACATACAGGATGCAGGATGTTACAGTGCAAGTGTGAGAGAGAGACTTACTGGCTTTGATGCTGAAAGCTTTGACCTCCGTGCCCATGTCATTTGAAGCGTTGCACAGAGCACTAACGTCCGAGGTGACTTTGACCGACACCACGCTGTGAGTCATGTGCTCGTTTGCCTTGATCACCACCTCCTGCCAGTTCTGTGGAGAGTCACACAAACACAGCTCGTAAATGACGGAAACATGCACATTTCAGAAGCACATAAACGGTAATATCAGATGAAGTGGGTTTTTAAGTAAGTAAGCCGTCTTTACTGACGTCTCATCTTCTTTTCCAAACTGCAAAATAACTCTGAACATCGGTGTTTATGCAGGAATTTACAGTAAATTATTCAACAAATGTGTCCAGAAGATAATATGAATCAGTTAGCCATCAATTAAAGAAATCAAAAACTGGAGTGAATATGTTTTTTTGTTTCTGCATCACTGTGAAACTGAAATCTTGTTTGAACTGCATTAAATCTCCACGTATCCTGAGATAAGTTAGTGCTGCGGGTGAGGCTGGATACCTGGCTGCCGATGATGTTCCAGGAGATGCTCGGCAGGGGATGACCCTGAGCCTCACAGCTCAGGTTCACCATCCGGCCGGCTGCCTCCTCCAGCTGCACCTCCTGCTCCAATCCCACCATCTGAGGACCGCCTGGACAAACAGACAGACACATGCAAACACACAGTATTCAGAGAGTGTACAGTAAACAAGTGTACATATTTCTCTTAGGATTTTCCACAATCTTAATTTGCCCACTGTAACTACAGTTTGAACTTCCTCCATGTTTATCTTCTGTCTTCATTAACTCAATAAGTACACTACTCAAATAGTCAATCAACCCTCATCTGCAGAGAGTTTTTTTCTTTTGAATAGAAACATTCACAAAAGAAATCCTGTTTTACTTCTTGTTTAGTGATGAACTCGACACTTACAGCACAGGTGTCTTAGGTTAAAGCCCTCCACATTGTTTTTTATTTGTTTAAGAGAAGAAACAGCACATTTTTAACGCTGATGCATTTTTTTCTTTAAATTCTAACCATCAGCGATTCAGCACTCTTCGTTCTAACAGAAGCAGGTGTTTCAAATCAGCGCTCTCAGGCTAATCAGATTTGAGGACTTGGATGGCAACTAAAGACTCCATTCTTAACCCAGAAGAGGACTGAATATGAAAACATGTGCATATAGCTGCATATTTAAGACAGACATAGACAAGACTTTTGAGTTTATTTTCACATTTTCTGCATTATTTCATTTTTGGGAGGGACAGGAAACTTGGGAAAAGAGAAGGGACAACATGCACCAAAAGGCTGAAGGTCAGAGTCTAACCCAGGGCTGATACTCTCAGAACTCGGGGTACCTGCTCTACTTCTGAGCTAACCAGCACCCCTAGATCTGGCATCTCAAACATCTGCATAATCCAGGGAGTAGGTGCCATATGCTAATGTGCCTTTTTTCAATATGCCAACTACAATAGCCCGGCAATAAATGCATTTGTCCCTAAAATCTCTGCATTTCTCTTTCTCCTGAATTGCGGTTTCTTCTGCAACAGAAAAAAATGAATTCACACTTCTTGATATTTGCGTGTGTCGAACATAGCAGAGTTGAAAAGTTCATGGCTGGCTCTGTAAATTTACATACCGTCTCCAGATAACCAGAACTGAGCTCATGGCAGACTCAGCTCCTTTACATACCGTCTTCAGATAACATGAATGAATGTCATGGCCTCAGATTGACACTAAGCTGCAGTCAGGGGGAGCTGGTTGCAAATAACAGATTCTGGTAACGGGCATGTTATCTGTTCTTGAAATTTGTATGCCGGCTCCCCCCGAGCAATCTTTTTTGTTTAGAGAAGAGGCACAATTGGTCGTTTTTGCTCTTGGCGGTAGAGAAACTTGATCTATTTATGCTTTGAGTCCATTAGCAAATGTGTATAAAAGTAACAGAAAGACAGATACTTGTCTTTATTTATTTTCAGATTCCCAACAAACCACTCAAACTCAAAAAATCTGGATGGAAACTAACTTAATTACACAATAGAATTGAGGCCTCAGCTATGTGTTTAATGTAATCGACTCTAGATAAGTATTTAGTTTGGAAGCTACTCTTGGCATCAGCGGTGAGATAAAGTCGTAGAAATCATGACTGACCTTGGACGATGATGTGAACGGAGCCACTGGTGTGCAGGGCAGGCAGGGAGGGAACCGTCACCTCGCAGATATACTCTCCAGATGTTTCATAGGTGGCGTCCCTCAGGTGCAACGTGTTCCCCTTGCCAACCTGTTGCCCATTCTATACAAACACAAACACACAGATTTAAAATAGTACACATGTACAATCAGTGAATTGAAACAGGTCATGTTGGCAAACCAGTATGATCAGTGGACCCTTATCTGTTAGTGGTGTGGCTTTAAAGATGGCAGTCTTTAGTCCAGATTGAAATATTTGAAAACTGAATTCCCTTCAAGTGTCGTACGTGAAGCATTCATGGACCCAGAGGCAAAAAGTTTGAATAATACAGTTTTATTCATGACCAACAGGTTACCCTGTGCACAGTCTATACATTCTCAGGTGTGCACGGTTGCAGGAACATACCAAAGAAATAAAAAATGAAACCTACATGGCACACTAAAATACCTTTATTTTATTATATTTTATTGTGAGCAAACTAGCAAACTGCATTGCTCACAGTTTTATTAATCTTCAAGTTTCTGCAAAACTAATGACGATCCAATCAACCTCAGCTGTTGGCAGATGTTAGCCTGATCTCGTGCTAAATATTACATCTTTTAGGTACCTCATTCTCATTTCATGTTTACCTCAATACATTTGATTTGCTTGTTTTTCCTTGAGAGTCCTCACATTTGTACAGAAAATCAACAAATGATTGGCAGCCAGACCAGATCGCAATTTTAAAAACAGCTCGTCTATAATTCTTCAGTGCAGGAAATCAAACCATTTCCCAACTGGCAGAGACAAACCAGCCATCGCGCTGTAGCAGTCAAAAACCATATGCCCATCCTTGATCACACACCTGACCTTGAAAGTGATCTTCTCACATTAAAGTTCTGGTTTTATCTGCTCTTTAGTGTGTTTTCAAAGTGTCCTGTGCATGTTTAGTCACATCTATGTGCAAAAATTCAAAGTCCACGGAAACGCAGCTTCTCCTACGTCCTCCTGTTAGCTGTAGCATTAGCTGCATGTAACGCTCGGTTCTAGCCCCCCTCAAAAACAATTTGCCAGTGTGACGACTTGTCAGTGTGAGATCACTGATCTAAGCCCATTGGCTCGTTGTGGCAAGCCCAGCAGCTCAACTTGGGGCGTGACATTTCCGAGAACCGTGCTGAGCGACTGACCAATTACAGCAGAGCCGACAGGCCGACCAATCAGATCAGACTTGGCACACGTGGGGACTCTGAACGTGGGCACTTCAGAGCCTTAGAGAGAGAGTCAGAAGCGAGCCGGAGCGGCAGTTCATGAAAACAGACACTTTTTTTCAAACTTTAGTTATTGTGAACATACTTTAGTAGGTACATAGATTAAATATATGAACCCCAAAAAGGGCAGAATATGAGCTCTTTAATACCCCAGTAGCAGAACCACATCAACAGTATTTACAAAAATGTACACTAACATGCCTTCAAAGAAACCCTTACTTTGGCTCTGACAAGATGTGTCTACGTCTGTAGACTCGTGCTCTTGTTTCAGTTAAAGTCTGTAACTTGTGTTTATGCTGCTGCTCTTCTATACATCCCCTCTCATACTTCAAATTCCTTCACCGTTTTTCATGCCAGTGTGTTTGCAGTGTTAACTGTAACCAGACTTACTGGTGGTTTGCTCACAAAACAGCTTCACAGAAACAAGAAGTTCTTTTACGGTTCTCCATTCGTAATAATAATCATCATTTAAAAAATTCCTGTTACATATACTCTTTACTTTTGCTTACACAATTTAAAATCAATTTAGTCTGATGTGTAATAATATCCAGTGTGTTAATTACCTTGTACCAAACAGTTTGTGTTTTGAGGGAGGACAGAGCGTTGCACGAAGCAGTCAGGTCTTCTCCTTTGAGCATGACTTCTGAGTCTTTAGGGACCACCACAGCCGGGTCCAAATCTGAACGCAACAAGAACAAGACACAAGAAACAAAGGGTCACAAGGTTGCTTTGAAATAGTTCAATCGTTCATTCTAAAACTCAGATAAAATGGTTAGTATGCATCTTAAATGAGTTGTTTCAATGGAATCGAGAAGTGATTTGTATAGTCCAGCACAAAGATGAGAGGCAAGAGAAATCATCTAGCCTCCATCCAAAGTGAAAATACATCAAAAAACACCTCAAAGTCAACTAAATAACATGTTGAATCTCTGTTGTTGTTTCTATCTTTATGTCTGTTTTTTAACATATGCCATTTTATGCTCATGTGTGTTTGTGTATATGATTGTGTGTGTGTGTTTGTGATGGCTCCTCACAGTGCACAGTCAGCTGCATCTCTCCTTTGACGTCCGAGTAAATGTCTGCGTCCAGAGGGCGACACTGGTAGATGCCGCTGTCGACCCGTGTCACTGGTGACAGAATCAACACATCACCGCTGCTCTCCAGGCCCAAATCCGGCTCCTGCAACAACAACTCTCGTTAGTTATTTTAATCCAAGTTGTGATCATGTGAAAGTAAAAACAGAACTTATAACAGGTGAGGTTTAAGGCAGGCTGTATTTCTAAGAGAAAAGTAAATTTGTCACAATAAAGAGTCCTATGGGGGCAGTCGCAGAGCTAAGCATAGTCTCTCTCTGGGTAGAAATAGACTTTGTGGGTAGAAAACAGGTGATTAATCAAAACCTGCCCACTGGTGAATCATGTAATCCTCTGGGAGAGAGATTAAAAATGGGCCAAAGAATCCTTCTTTGGTTGACAGATTTTTCCAAACACACATATTCATCGCTTTGCTAATTAAAGCTGGTGACATCTGAGACTTTCTGTCAGAGTCAGGGGATAATTTTGGCTATGAAAGATGTCTTACAATAATTTCATGCAACATTTTAAGGACCACTTTCTATCCTGAAATCTTGAGCTACAAAGGCATAAACAATTTTACACTGGAATCTGTTAGGATGAGAAACACAAGTGCTGAGATGGAGGCAAAACTTACTCAAACCTAGATGTTTAACGATAGTATCAAACACACTTTAAAGTTAAAACAAGTTATGATTTGATGATGGCCTTAAGTGTAAACGTAAGTTGGAGTTGTATGAAATAAATTAAGTCTTTCACAGCACAATTCGGCTCCTAAGTCCTGGTTTAACAGCCTCTTTAGAAATGCCTGTGACTGTCTAGTTAGCAGAAGTTAAAATGGCAGTCAGCTGGGTTTTTGCATTGTCCACACATACAATGGATGAGTGTCTGACATGGGAATGAGTCCTACCCATGAGCCCTGTCAATGTGGCCTCCGGTCTCAGACCCCAGTCTGGATCTGCAGGGTCAGAGCTGACAGAGCCTTCTCAGAGTGTGCACACTCATGTCTACATGGGGCCCTGTGAGCTCTGCATATCAAAAACATTCCCTACATGTCTCCCGTGTGTCACCCTTTCTCTATTGGGGACTTTCAGCGCCAGAAAGAGTCGTCCATTCTTACTTGTTCTCTGTTGAAAATGAAGGGCGACGGGGGGTTGCCATCACCCTGGCAACGCAGCTCGACAGTATCCCCCTCTTTGACCAGGCCCTTGGGCAAGTCCTTCCACAGCTCCACCATGGTGGTGGGGTCTGGAAACACACACACACAAAATCGAATTAGGCAGGCTCATTCAGCGTGCTGCTAAAGTCATTTTGAAAGACCATTTCCATAATGCTGACAGCACAAACTGTGTAGGTTTTAGACAGCCACATTATCACCACAAACTTGCACAATGAAGCTCATTTCATGGTGAAGGGAAAGGGTTTGTTTTTGTTTTTTTGTTGTTAAAAAAAAAAAACCCGTCAGGAAATGTGTGTGTCTTGAACCAAGGTAAAAATGTTTTTGCCTCCAGGGCTCTGGAATCTTATTGTTAACATCAAGCAGAAACGGAAAAGCATAACAAAGGAGGATTAAAGCTGAATCATAAACTTGACCTGTATCTGATCCATTTGGCCTCAAAGCAGAGGGAGCGAGTTGCCAAGTGCCTCAGACATTTGTGATACCTACTTCAGCTATTGTCAGTGGTTCATCAGATTGCTCTAACAGCCGGGCTTATTGGACAGAAGTCAAATTCAGTGCTACTCACAGTGAACAGTGATGTTAATGCTGCTGGACTCCACTGTCCTGATGGCTCCAGGGACAAAGAAGCTGACCTCACAGGAGAAATGTGCGTCTTTGTCCTCTTTAGCCACCTTGTACTCCAGGATGCTCTGGAGGGAGTAGAAGCCGGACAACTCTTGGAAAAGGATCAACACATTTACATCTGGAGAAATGGAGAGGGGGATAGTGTTAAGGCACAAATGGACATCACTCATCAGGATATACTCACACTTTAGGGCCACAAAACAGCAAAGCAATTTAGGAGTGTAACTTACAAAGCAGAAATTATGTAATGAACTTTGGACAAAGGTATCTGCCAAATGAACCTTATAGGGGTGATATCTTCCTCACAATAAAAACATGCTGAATATTAGAAAGCAATGTCGAGCACGGTTGACACTTTGGACGGTTGGATTATTTAGTTTTTTTCAGTTCCTCCTGCTCGGGAATTGAATCTCTGTGACAAATTTCCCGGATATATACACAATATTTGTGGTGATGTGTGATTGTGGACCAACCAACAAAACATCCATTGGCAGCCCAAAAATCAAGCTTCTAGAGGGGATACTAGTAACCTTTTTATGTTGAAAAAACTTCACTTTATTATTATTATAAAATAGGTCAAAACAATGATGCGTTAGTGTAACATGGCAGACCTTCTTAGATAGATGGACTGATTTCATTAAAGTCTTCATATGCGATTTTTCACACTTAAATGTAGAAATCAAGTATATCCTCTGAAAATAACTCTGTGAGTCATGACTGTCTACAATGGGTGTAACACCCGAGTCCCACTGTCTGTGATGTTTTCAGAGTTTTCAGAGTCCTATCTTCAGTTTGTTTACATCGCCGGGACGGCCGGCTGACTCCTCCCCTCAAGTATAAAAGTTGTTTAATCGAGGGACTAGAGAAAAGAAGAATAACATACTGTACTCACTGCTTAACTGTGTTTCTAGATCACGCTCATTTCAGGTAAATTTACATGCAGTGTGAAGATACGAGCATAATAAAGATCGCTAGCATTAGCATGCTAACACAACAATGCAGCGCAAGTTGTTTTGGTTTCATGCTGGTGCTCAAGGGCGACATATGCTGGATCAAAAAATCACATATAAAGCCTTTAAATTATTGTGTCATGCATGAATTATATGCCCAGCCCTATACAGGATTACAAAGAGAGACAGAAACAAAGACTACTGTTTACACTTACGTCCTGCTTCAGGTATCAGTGGAATGTTGTTCCTGTACCAGGTGATGTTGGGTTTAGGGAAACCGTTCTGAGCCTCGCATGATGCAATCTGGAGGGACAGTGACATTGGCTTTTAGATTTTTAAATGTTGTCAGTGCAGCTGTAAGTAAAAGGGAAAAGTCTGCAACTGAATTGTTCTTAACATGGTAATCCAACAGTTAACAGTATTTCATGATGTCTGTGAACGATTTGAAGTGAACCCACCTTTGAAGGCACCTCATTGGTCACAGATATTCCAGTCAGGACCCCCTCCATCACTGGAGGCTCTGGAGGAGCTGGACCAGGAAAATAAACACTTCAGTCATTTACAATAACATTAAAGACAAATTTTATTAACATTATCAAGACTTGACCTTTTTTGCGATTTTTTTTTGGGGGGGGCTTACTTACCAAACACTCTGAGGTGGGTCTTGCCCTCAGCGTTCCCGGCAGCCATACCGTTAACTTGGCAGAAGAACTCCCTCTGATCTGAGAGCTGGACGTTTAGGATGGTGAGTCGAGTCCCGTGCTGGTCTGAAGTCACGTTGATGCGACCGGTGTACTCAGTGTCGTTGTCCGCCATCCGCTCATTGCCACCGAGGTAGAAAATCCGAACCCGTGAGCTGCTTGTTTTAGCTCTCTGCAGAACAAAAAAATAAAAAATCAAGAAATAATTTACTTTTTGATCAACTCTGATACTTTGTATCACAAGAATCAGTAAAAACTTTTGTTACTTGCTTCTGATGGAATGATGGATAAAATGTGAGTGAAGCAGGAAATGAAGGAGCCAACATCAGCTTTGAGTCTGACGGGCTGAGCAGCGCTGAGTCTTTCCTCCCTCATCCCAACATGGCTGTGACTGAGTGGGCCATTTGTCTTATTTTACCAACTTGTAAAATCTCAGAAGTTTTTTTTTTTTTCCACAGACATGCTGCTCTAAATAACTCCAGCCAGACAAAGTACCAGTGCTTTCCATCTATCCCGTTCTTATGCTGAGCTAAATAAGACTGATCTTCATACAATTTTTCATTGTCAGCACAGTTGTCATGGTGTTAGACAGCTATTTATTGATTTACCAGATTCCCACGCCTTACAGTCCTTCTGCTCATTTCAACCTACCTATTAAACCCTCCTTCCCAAAGCTTTCTAGTCATCCTTCTTTTAAACCTGCCTCGATTTGACCCTTGAACTTTTACCTGCTAGTTTTGACTCATTTTGATTTCTTTGCCAGATGCTTTCCTTTGACCAACTTTTGACTGCCTCCTCTTACCAAGAAACCTTTTTCACTCCATCTTCTGAGTCTGAAACTGGAGCTTTTGGGTCTTGGTCTTGTTTAACTGAGCCATTACAGCGGTGTCTAGATTGACTGTTGAAATAAGCGACTCACTCTTTAAATACGTGGCAGCAGCTGCATGATGTAATGCCTCTGCTTGCTTTCCCTAAAGCATAATATAATATTTCATAAAAGTATAACTCCTTATGAAGTCATTCGAGGAACTTATTACTCCTCCATTGGAATATGCTGCTGGAAACCCTGGCACTGTAACACATACAGTATATAAGGAAAACATATGGTCGACTGAAAAAACACAATATCTACCAGCTAGTGTTTCGTCAACTGGCCACTTTTGTGTTTAATATTGTCTGTGACTTTATTCTGGGTACATTTTTTAAATAATATTTGTATATTGGGGATGAATCGATGGCCTGACAGGAACCTTTCTGTTTGAAGTTTGCATTTTCTCGAGGTTCCTTCCTCGTGCTCTGGCTTCCTCCCACAGTCCCATGTCCCACTTTCCTCTAAATTGCTCATGAGTGTCTCCATGTGAGTGAGTTGGTTGATGTACTCTACATTCATCACCCCGCTGTTTACTTGCAACATGTACCCTTGCCCACTGACATTGGGATCAGCTCCAGCCCACCCTCACCCTGAACAGGAGAAGCATTATAGACAATGGGTAGATGGTATGTTCATTTTAAGCCAATGCTGTTCTGTTTTATACACTACCTCTGACAGTTTAATGGTTTTCTAACACTAATATGGGTCAGTAACCTGTCTACAAACCCCCCAATTATGAGAGAAGTTCATCCTCTATGTGTTTCACTTTCCCCACTTTTCAGAAAATGTGTGCTCAAACAGGCCTTTCGGAGATTATCTTAAACAATAGGGCATGGTGCAAGAAGTCCCAAGCAACATCCACTTCCAGAGAGGGGGCGTGGTCAGACACCGCTCATTTGCATTTAAAGCTACAGACACAGAAACAGCCTGTTCTGAACAGGGCTGAAATAGAGGGGTTTATAGACATGATCAAATACAGGGTCAGAGTGGATTTAGAACAAGAAACTTCACAGATATGTTTTGGGGACCTTTTATACGTATTTAAAGTTGTTGAAAAGGAGGAAAATATGTGACCTTTTTATCTGTTTCTCTTGCTTTACATTTAGCTTGATGTGTATACCTCTTAATTCTCAAATGTCTTACATAGTATCACGATCGTGGAAGAACACATTTCATCTCGTGTGTATATGGTTGAAATGACAATAAAGAAAGCTTAACTTGAACTTGACTTGACTATATCTTATAACCATTTAACCTTAAAAAAAGAGCGTGTTCATGTTATTTTCTAATACTCTGCAAGATTAAAGTTTTAGTACTTATTGGCGAGCATTTAGCTCATATTCTTTTCTAAAATGACTATTCATACTTTTAAAATGTATCCTGAATTCATCTCGTAACAATAATGAAGGGATCACAACAAGTTGAAACTACAACTCTGAACTGGGCTCTTGGCTCCCTGACCATCATTCAAATGACTAACCTCATGTACAAAGCCCTTCTCCTTACATGTGTGGTCTGTTAGTTCCTGACTGGCAGTGTCAGCTTTCACAGCAGGTCCAGCAGTACTCACCACAAACCACTGGATCATGACAAAGCTGGGCTCGTTGTTGTCGGTGAAGCTGTAATGGCAGGGGATCTGCGCCGAGTCATCCAGGTAAACCTCAACACTCTCCTGCATAGTCACCTCCACCTTGGCCCACACTGAAAAACAAAGACAAGCACATCAATTAAAATTCATGCTCTCTGGGGTTAGTGGGAGATAGAACCATTTTATTATTGAAAGGTTCAAAGACAAACTATCCAACATAAAATTGGCATTTCACTGTGAATGTGTTCTCTCTTACTTGAATCTAATTGTAATACTGACCCTTAAACCTAATTCAATTCTACGTAAGTGCATTGTGTTTGGCAGATGACTGACTGTCCTCCCTGCCAACCTGGAACCAGTCTGCCATGTTAAGGGAACAAAGAAGAAAAGGCTTCTTGTCCACATGGCATCATTTTCATCCTCCTTCTGCCTGGCTGACTCTAGCCACAAAACCACTTCTTGGCCAGAAAACCAGTTCCCTAGACATCGTTGGGGGAATGCAGGCATGAGAAGGCTAGCCAGTTTGACACTGGGCTGTTGATTCAGAGAGCCAAGAGCTTTTTCAGCCATGTTGGACTTGGCTGCTGTCAGAGAGGGCCCCGCTCGCAGAGTGACAAAGAGAAACAAGACGGCATGAAAAAGACTCTTTTCTGGTTTGAGGTTGTTATGCAAGATGGTGAAGGATATTCCCCTCCTCTTCTTCCCTTTTACACCGTCAGTTGGCGTTGACTAATTTACCAACGTTTCTTATCTCAACTGCCCGTGCTTAAACTTGGCTTTTGAATTTCTACATTTTTCTGCAGGGCTTTCGTGTAGAAGTGCAGAACAGAGACTGCTGCCTCTTTAATCATAGATTTCTTGCAGTATAATCCTAACTATCAACACCCAAGTCTTAGGCATGCGTTATTTTTCTATAGTTTTTTTGCAGACAAAAGATAGTGGTGGGGTTGGTCACATGAAAAGACATATTTTATCCTAAAAAATGATTTTTAATGGTTTGGTTCCCAAGTTTTGAGATAAACTTGGTGGAATAAAAAGAACAATATTAACATTTGAAATGCAGTGGATTAGAGGTATGAACCAGTGGAAAGCAGAAATGCAGTGACCATTGTGAGCCTGTTGTCATAGAGGTCCAATGCTAAACAGATAGGGCACTCTTCAATGTATGGAAATTACCAATGAATCTACCAATCTACCACTAAACAACACAGAAACTTTACAAAACACTAAAAGAAAATTCAAAGAAGACAAAAACATTATTGTCTTAAAGCAAATTCATTGTGTGCATTGATATCAGTTGAGGCCACACAAGAACAGACTTAAGTAGAAAAACATCAATTTGGGGGTTCAAGTAACGTAAAAGTTGCACATGCATAAAGAAAAAACTGGGGGAACCATGTTCTTTGTTTTTGAAAATTCAAAGGTTCTTAAAAAAATAAAGGAAAAACGTTTAGCAACAGGCTGAATCTCAGTGTCCTCGTATGTGTTTTCCGCGTTGGCTGAAACAGACCAAGCATGAAAGGAGCTTTAAGGGTCCAGTTGCCACCCTGCTGCCCCCATTCAGCCGGCTGCTCCCCCATCATCCCCCCGTCTCCCCACCGTCTCACTACCAATCATTTCACAACTCATTTTTTTTTCTTTCTTTCCCCTCCCTCCTTTCTTGAGACTATGCGCAGCCAACCATTCCTTTCAAGAAAACGGGCACGCCATTGTTCCCCCACCTGGGTGGACCACATCCCCCCTCACACATATACACACATACACACACAAACTGCACCCACCACACAGCCAAAAAGATGCTTTTTCCATCCCTGAACTAAAGGTTAAAAACAGTTCATCGTGTACTCAAGTTGTTGTTTATTGTGATAAAGATGACGTGAGAAAGCTCTGAGACAAGAAGCAGATTATGGAGGCTGGAGAACAAAATATGTCACAGAAGTCAGTGTAAAAAATGTTGTGTCTCTTTGGGGCCGTGCTGCTAACTTTTCAGCTAATCCGATTAGCACCGGGGGGCTGCCGGGGATTTAGCTTCCAAAGCCAACCTGGGACCGTTCTTATCTGTTCCTGTTGTGACTTTATGCAGCACAGACTTTAGCACAAACACACATGACCCATGATCTATGGACCCTGACAACCAAAACTGCTGCCTGCCTGCTGATGTGTGCGAGTGTGTGTGTTTGTGAGTGTGTGTGCATACATTTGTGACTGTCTGCTGTCTGGGTCCAGATGATACTGAGCTAATTCATTCAGAAAAAAAAAAAACACAGCACTCCTGAATATTTGGATGTGTTGACAGGATCAAGCCTGTTACTGGCAACAAGACCCTAAATGGCCTGTCAGAGGGGTAACGATAGAAGAGGGCGGAGGGACAGACTTTTCCCAGTTCAACCACAAACACATACACAATTCAAGGTGCCTATAAATATTTAACTGGAGAGATTTGTTGAAAATATCCTGCCACATTTAACATTGTTCTATCATTATGTCATTGTTGAAATAAGCAATCAAATGGTTAAAAGCTAGAGGTCAAGTCCTCGTTTTGTTCTATAATGTGTTTCGTTGCTTCCTGTTGTTTTTCTTTTCCTTTCCTACATGCGTATCTATATCTCTCCAGAAACTGATTTAAGTTCTGTGGTTTGCCAATAGTCACAGCAGGACTGGGTAAGGCTCAGAAAAAAAAAAAATCTAAATGAGTGCCAAGAAAATACATTTTAGTGCCAATACCAAAATGTTGTCCACATCTTATATGAAGGAATATAGAAACTACGACAAAACCTCTTTGTTTAACTGAACAAACGTAAAATATCTCTGAACATAAGCTGATGAATAATTCAATAACAACAAAGTACACAAGATGACAAACCTAACCAGACATTCAATGTCAGCTCTTAGTACTTTCTATTTTAAGCCCTGGTAGTGTTGCTCTTGGGATGCAGCGTTGGGAGGTTGGTCAGTTCATCTCTTTAGACCAGAACTACATTTTTATCAAAAGCCACACTGCCTTGAACTGTTTCACAGACGTTCATTCTCCCCAGAGGATAAATCACACTGATTTTAGTTATCTCTTTACTTTCCCTTAAGTTCCATCAGTGAGTCAAGTTTTTACTTCTCCTAAGAAATATGTCTGTCTACATATTGAACTGTTTCAAACTCAGATATTATAACTACCTAAAACTTGGGAAATATATTGAACTGGTTATTATACTGGTTCTTGAACTTACCAAAGACCCCCAGACCAAAGTAATGACCTTCTACATATCTAGTGAAGATGAGGTACATAACCTGCTCAAATTAAGATAGTAAGCGTCGTCATTCTTAGCATCTTTTTAAAACGGCAGCCCATTCCCATCCCTCTAGTTGTCTTTTTTATAAACTTTTTCACTCGATTACTGAATTGGAAATTGAACCAGGCCACTTGAAGCACAAAACTATCGAAGGAAAGTCCAGTTTCTGTTCGTTCATATCATATTTTCATTCTATATTCTATATTTTTTTCTGGGCCTTTTTGCCTTTTTTAGATAGAAAAGCTGAAGAGAGAAAGGAAATGTTGGGAGGAGAAAGTTCTGGGACGACGTGCAGCAAAGGGCCAAGCTGGGATTCAAACCCACGGCTACTTCGTTGTGGACTACATCGTCCATACTTCCAACCTTGGGGGGGTCACAATTACATGCTTTAGAACAGTCTTAATTAGATTGTTTACTGTAAAGTCTGCAACTTAATTTTGTGATGACAAAGAATTTGACAGAGGATATTGACAGACTTAAGAGACGACAGAGAGACAAACAAGTTAGTTTCCTGTCCTTCTATTTGTGACAAACAGAGCCACACAATGCTCTCACAATACAAATGAGACAATGACACACATAATGACGGGGGATACTTCCAGGACAGCTTCTGTATACAGTCGCTCATTATGCGCCGCACACTGAGACAATACCCTCAGACGCTAACTAAAGTGGTCACCATTATTGGCTTTCCCCTTTGATTAAGGCTGTCAGCTTAGGGGTCCGGTAGATCTGCAGCTCCACCACTGATAAGAGTGCAAATCACCTCTGACACGACAAACCAGCCTCATTTACTGGGCCTAACCCTAATCCCTCACATGACTGCTGAGCCATGAAATGAGACTGAATTCTTCTGAGAACATTAAAATGTCTTTAAATAAATGATCTGTAAACTCTCATGTCTACTGGTCTTGTCGGGCTGGTTTGGGGGCCAGTATTAGAAAACAGCAGAGAGAGGGATTTTTTGTATTTCTTTGTTAAGCTGTAACCAAAAAAGCATGGTGTCTAGGGTTTGGTAGTTAAGAGATGAGAAATACAGGATCAAAGACCACTGGATTCTGCATATGTGATGTTATATATTTCATTCCAAATGCAAATCCTCAGCAAGAAAATATGCTTTCAATGCTACTTATGTGGAAATGGAAGAGTAGAACAGGGTTTCAGACTTTTCCAGAACCTGCAGAGTCCCTGAATAAAAGTTGTGTGTGGACACTGAGTGCACCTCAGAGAGAGGAGGGTGTAAAAAGCTAGCATGTAAGTGTGGATGACAGGGAGGAGGATTTCTCAATACGCAACCCTAGAGTTGTGTCGAACACCTGGGGGACACTCTGCACCGCCTGACATCAAAGAGCGCTGACACACACTCACACACAGTCAACGCATACAGCCCTACAGTGGAGATGAGAGCTCCTTGTCCCACTGATGCGGCTGTGCTTTCAGAGGTAGCGTCTGGCACAAATCTCCCAGCAGCCTGTTCCCTGGGTGACAGTCAGTGGCAGAGAGGGGTCCAAGCTTTATTCTTTAACATAGAGAGATAAGGAAGTGCTGCAAATCTCCTCAAAGGCACCTCTTTCTGCATCAGTGATCCTCCCGCTTCAAAGCAGCAGAGCACATAACAGCTCCGGCTCGGGACCCTAAAGAGATCTGTGACTCACGAAGGTCAAGACTAAGGGGAAATGTAGGGGCCTGATCCTGACTTTTTTTTAATTTGTGCATCTTAGTCCCAACGCAAATATTGCAAAAAATTAATAAATTGGCACATGCAACTGTTGCACAACACTTATTTTTTCCTCTAGATTTGGGAATACAAAGCAATGTTGGTTTGTATT